AATAACAACTGTATATATATATATATATATATATATATATATATATATATATATATATATATATATATATATATATATATATATATATATATATATATATATATATATATATATATCTTTAAAATACATTAGAATTGCCGAAGCTAGACGAATATAGCCGAAGCGCATCATTTAAATAGTATATGTTTACTTCTTGTAAGTATATATACTATTTCCACAGCTATTTCGACGGTCTCATAAATTTATATTTACTTGAAAATGTAAAATTAACTAGAAATTGATGACTCTATTCCCATTAAGATGTATTATTCTTGTAATATTAACCACTATGAGGATATTTTTCCAGCTAACTAACACCTTAGATGGAGATGTATGAAAAATCTATTGTAACCTTAAGGATCTGTACCATTTCAATTTCAGCATTAGACGAAAGAAATTCTAGTGCATAACTAACACACAAACATTAATACATACATTGTATAATGAGACGCACATCATAATAGTCCGTATTTAGAACGTTTTCAGCTATGCATCTGTAGACGCCATTATGTTCAACATCCAGTTTAGGTATAGACAATTCTGAGCCGTCGTTGTTCAATAATACACCAAACGGTAATTCGTAAAAATCCCTCGACGATTCGTTCCTGTATCGCCAACTTAATAACGGCTCTGGTTTGCCTTTCAATACTCTGGAATGTAAAAATATTATACATATTTTTACCAATTTTGCAAAATATATACACGTTCTGTATATTCATCACTAAAGATTACTAGACGCTTTTGAAAAACGTGATTTCTAGAGAACCTTGATGATATACCAATAACCAACGAACCGTACATTCATTGTCATATTGAAAATTAAATAGATTTTGTTTTAAGAATACATTATGTTTCGAAATTATTCAAGGAACAGATTCGATTATTAAATCTCACCTACATGTTAAGTTTGTCGAAGTTCCCTTCAGAGGTGTGACACTCTTTGGCTCTTTCGATAACTTTGGTGATTCTAAAATAAAATAATATTATTGTGTTAGAATGTTTTACCATTATTTTATACATTAACAGCGCTAGAATTGGTGAATAAATGCCTGCACAAGAAACTTCTTTTACCAGAAAAATAAACATTCAAGCCAGATTTTTAGTTTTATTAATATCCCGGGAATCATGATCAATTATTCTTAATAGGCAAATTTAATACTGAAATTAGGTTTTTTTACGAGCAATATTAGATTTTCTGATTTCATTTTACTTTCATTTCAATAAAGAGTATATTGAAAGGAAAGTGTATGTTAATGAATTGATTTAATTATTTAATAACATGGTTAAATAATACTTTATTTGGTAGGGATATACATCATATGTACATAATATATTGACTACTAGCCCTCCGACTTCACTCGCGTGATTTAGTTCTCATAATTCTAAGTCTAGTGAGAAAATACCACATAAACTTCACCACCTAGGATTGAATTTCTAAATATCCTTTCTCAATGTTCACTTATATCATGGAATTAACCCCTGTACAAAAATTCAAGAAGCAATACCTAGAAGGTACAGTAGTTTCAACTGTGCTTTGATATAAGTCAGTAAGGTTTGTTTTATATATATAGATTCATATATTAATATTTTGATAATCCTTTACTGCCACGTCCCGTTAATGGAAAATGTATTTTGATATATTTCTACTCACCCAATCCGACTACAGTTAAAGTCCCGTTCACTTTCACTGTCTCATATCCATTATCGGCTTCGCATACATAAGTGCCAAGGTTATCAAAATCCACCATGAGCAAATAAACAGTGGTGCCGTCATCAGAGATTTGTACATTGAAAGTGGGTGAGAGTTTAGTTCCATTGTGATACCACGTGACTAGTGGTGTCGGGTGGCTGTCTATGTGACATTGGAGCTCTGCTTGAGAGTAAAGTTCGACCGATTTGTCTGAGGATATGTTAAGAAAAATATTATAAAAAGCAAACCGGTTGTAAGCGAGTAAATCACAGTAACGAGATCTGGCAGGCGTATCTGCAGACTTGCTCGCCGGCAAATGCTGCAATCAATTTGAGCGTATGTACGAGATATCATATTGACGTATACCTGTAAATCCTTTGACCAATGTCATTTTCCGTCTGAGATTAACCATGATACTATCTTCTGCGATACCTTCAGAGTTTTCACCGATGCAGAAATACGTTGCGTTGACTGATTCCTTTGAGCTATTCAATGTTAACACGCTCCGATACATGTTGTTATATAAAGGAGTTATCTGAAGCAAATAATGCAATAATCCCTTACTTATAAGGCCTTAAGAAGTCTGTAGTTACTATAGAGTCATAGATATTTAATCTCATGGACATGTATAAAAAAGTGACTTTTTTCTCAGTCAGATATAATCGAAAAACTACTTGGCATCCTCAAATTTGCTACTTTGAACAATTAATAACTGAGAGACAATGATAAATGAACTCACAGTATGATCAAGGAAAGTTTCAGTCTCCCGATGCCATATCACCCTGGGCATAGGCCTGGCGGTCACCAGACATTTCACATCGACGCTCGTTCCTTCCAGTACTGTTATGTTCCTTTCCCCTTCTATTACAACAGTGGGCGCTATCAAAATATCTATGAACATCGCGTCACTTGCTGTAATTAGATACCAATTCTAATGTTAAACAACGCCATCTACTACTCTCATATGGAATCATACGTGTCGGTGCAAAAATTTGTATTTTACAGGATCTTTGAATTAAAAGGCTCACCTCGTTGCCTTGAATAGAATGATCCTATCTTATACGGCCCTATTACTTATTGACATGTATTTTACACTTTTTTTTTCAAAATACAAATCTCCGCTACATTTAATAACCGATCCATACATAGTACTAATCCTAGTAATCTACCTTCAATTTAAGGGAAAATCGGGAATCAACGACATGGATGTTATTGCCGATAACACTTTAGCTATCGGATTCATAACCCAAAATAGTTGAAAGATCCTTGCTCTAGCTTAGTCTATATAAACCCATTCCTTACTTCTTTAAATCTCAATCATTATTCATACAATATTCGAAAGTCCGATATTATTTTATATTTTGTTTGGTGAAAGTGAACATTATCTTCTAAATAATCTGTTTCAATACCAATAACTACCGTTATCGTCACAAGGCGGTGACTGCTTTTTATTGGGACGAATTACCATAGCTATAATGCCCCTCTTCACTTACATCCACCCTATTACGATAATTGTTATTATTAAGTTATTCATTCATTATCACCTCTATAAGGTCCTCTGGAGCCGACACAAGTCCAGTTTCCACCTTCCGTTATATTCTTAACATCGAACATGCCATCATAAGTTGCATTAACTCCAGTATCCATGACAACGGTTTTGTTGGGAGCGACCCATTGAACTGTATCAGCATTTTCCACGTGACAAATCAGTTGTACGTCTGAATATTTCAGCTTTCTAACATTATGCGGACCGAGAATTTGAACCGAAGGTTGAGTTTGGACGGTGACATTCATAGATTTCGTGGTTCGACCACCTGAAAAAAATTATATATTCTAATCAGTGATAGATTGAATTTAGTCATTGATCTGAAACATGAATATGAACATCTCATCAGAATTGATTGATTATTAAATTTTTTTTTCGGAATTTAGGTAGGGTATATATTAAAATTGAAGTCAAAACTTCAAAAAATGTTGTGATTTCAAAATAAAATAGGATACTATATGGGTGAATGTGGTTAATCTAAATACATCGTTTTAATTACTTGCTTTCAATTGTGAATTGAGTAACAAGACTATCAGTACCAACATAAACAATATTCAGTTTCTGTTGAATCTGAAAAATGTTTTCCGAAAATAAATCTTATCCAAATTTTTTTTATAATGCGAATATCAAAAATTAATCTACCTACTCAGATCACCGGTTACAACATCGCATACATAGAACAGAAAAAAGGGTAAAAATATCATATGCTATGATATATGCAAACGGGAGCACCGTTTGCGTATATCATAGCATATGAGGCTACGATCAGTCGCCATTAAGATACACCATTTGAGTTATATTTTATCACAGGTGACTAATATAAGAAAAAATATTTATAAAAAACATGGATTTTCGTAATACTCATATAATATTAATGATTTTTATTTAAAAAATAGTTTTTATTGAAATAGATTACCTATAAATACAGTAATTGTCAAATGGTATTAAACGCTTTGCAGTAAAATCAATATTACGACCGCCCTAGCTACGCCTACTACGCCCTACAAGTAGCAGTGGCATTCGAACTCTGCTTATAACAATGATGTGTTTATAGCGATATTGGATTAAATAATGATAAGAGGTTACCTTTATTAACAGCTGCACAGGTGTAACTTCCACTATCATCTTCAGTAACTTGTAATATTGTTTTGTTATATTTGTACAAGCCATTCTCTTTGGGTGATATGTACACATTAATTACTGAGAAACAAAGAAACACATTGGTGGTTTTAACTTTAATAGTTTTAGTAAAAAATATTACTAATCAAAAGAAAATTTACCAATGAAATTTTAATTTACTTAGTAATAATATTGTAAGTAATGCACAAATGAGTAAGGATGTTATTTTATTTAATGCGCCCTCATCATTTTCAGCGAGAATAACAAACAATTACCTGTTCCTATTCATTTAGAAAAAGTTTTGCAAAAATAAGAAACTGCTAACATTTCCCCTTTTGGTGCTGTCCCAATGATGGCGTTATTTTATAGAAACTTTAATCGTATGTAAACTTATTACAGAAACTAATAGCTTTCAACTCACCATCGTCATCCACATGGTTCGTGCCTTTGAATATAAGTTGAATATTCTGTGGAAGAACATCGCTGTACACCTCGCACGACACCACGAGAGTGTCTCCATATAACACGGTTATATTTCCAGGCCCAATATTTACTTCCGGCGGGTCCACTATGAACAAAATTAAGATTCTTTATGTTTATCGAAATAATTTGCATTTTATACTGTAATTGAAATCCCCTGATTCCCATTAAAAATGAATCCATTCATTGATTCATCCATCTATTAAAAAAAATAAAAAGTGAACCGCCCAACTCTAACTATGCCATAGCTATAACAACTTTTTATACACATATTTTACAATGAATATGTTGTTAATATTCTTAAATCATATTCTTAATTTATTATTTACATATTAAATTAATGGTTTTGATAGTTGTTAAAAGAAATCTACATGAAAAAGAGACTGATTCGCCAAAATATTTTTATGAACCAACATTCATTGTTAAAAATAAAAATAACCGAGATACAACAAAAATCGATTATTTTTTGGACCTGGGCTTTCAAAACGCACCTTTAATTTTATTTAAAATCCATAAGTACAATCTAGGGGAAGGCCTTTGCTCAGCAGTGGGCGTCGTTGGACTGATGACGATGATGATGATGATAGATACAATTCTGGTTATCACCTGTTAGCTGCAGATGAGTATCGGCAGTAGTAACGCCAGCACTGTTATGCGCCACACAACGATACGTGTCCGCGTCTTGTTCACGCATATCCTCTATCACGTACTCTATTGATGTACTCTGCCTATAATATTTATATTCGGTAGGAAACATTAATAAAAATAGTAAGAAGAATATTAGTTGCATGCGCGATATGAATAAATTGCAAAAAACGTTTATAACAGGGGTCTCAAAATTAGAAAGAGCTATATATATAATACATTTATAACGTGTAGGCGGGCCAAGTTCAAATAAAATAATAAACATATTGAATTATTTTAAAAATAATAATCAATTTATCATTAATTAACATTCTCCTCATCTAGGCTCGCGCTACTCTTAAAACGTATTTAAAAATAAAGAGCCCATATTTAAAAAAAAAATCTTTTTTTCTGTGTCATTGCGGCCCGTGAACCCTATCTTTGACATGACTTATTAAAGAATTGACTTTTAATATTCCGATTATAAAGTTTAATTAATTAAACATTTGTTAGTCAAATCGATAGTAAAACTAAACATTTTGTTATAAGCTGGTGTTTTACTGTCATCAATCCACACTAGGCCCGTTCTACCTGTTTGGGAGTGATATTTCCCAGTAGTACAATATATTATATATATTGTTGTGATGTTGTTCAGTCGATCTTTGACTGCGGATATGAAGCAACATCAGATGGGTTACCGAAAATTGCATTAAGTATTTTAATCTTCTCCTTTGAAAGGCACATTAAGCCGTTGATCTCGATTGCATCATTCATTAATCCACGTGGTTTACGGCACGTTTTGTAAGTTTGTGTTTTGTAAGTCTCAACAGCGCGGCCATTAATACCACTCATACTAATTAACATGACACTTGAAGTCATGTCCTGTTTCTTTGTGATTTTGACAATTTTTATTCGACGACAAACAGAATGCGCCCTTAATGTAATGTACGAATTATAGTTTTAATAGTGATTATGATGATAAAGTATAATGTCTTACAATGTAGATGTGTAAGGTTGCAATTTCGTATCTGAACGTGTCCACACCGCGGCGACGGGTACCAAACTCTCCACGTCGCAACGCAACGACACGCGGGAACCCACGCGACCGGATAACTTTAAACAATTATTTAATAATCATTAATTTCATAGTTTAACTATAGATGGCGCTAGTTCTGTTCCAATTTGTTGTTTTTTAAACAATTACTTATAATGTCGACGATTCACGATTCATTTTAGTTTCTAAAACCTTATCTAAGTTTGTATTCAATTTTTCCAATAAAGAACTTATATATAAACAAGATATTTTTATGTTTTGACATAGATTAAATACTGTACTCACTTGACGTGGAGCCGTTAAGTAAGGAACATCTAGAAAAAAAATAAAGATGATACATTATATTGTCACACTTTTAACTATAAGTGACGCAAATTTCTAATACGCTGAAACCTTACCAAATAACAGTGTATAAGTAGCACATTGAAAGTATATATAGCACAAAAAGCAAGAGATAAATTATTTATTAATTAATGAAATAGTTATGAATAATCCCCAAAATATTGTTATGGCACTTCATTAAATATTTTTTTGAATATATCTTCTTATAGTCCTAATAGTTTCAGAAAAAGACAAAAAGAGAGGTAAACAAGATGAATCTATAAGGGTTCCGTTTATTGCCATTTGTCCCCGGAACCCTAAAAAGAAAACATAATGGCGGGTCGGGAAGACTTCGGTAACATAGCCATACTCCTTACCTGGCAGTTTAGCTTGCACAGCAGTAGCACCAACGCGTCTCAACTCTTGATTATTCACATGTCCATTTATCTGAAAAAATTTATAGGTCAATAAGAAATATAGCCCATTTATTTAGAACTAGTGGACGCCCGCGACTTCGTCCGCGTGGAAGTCGGTATCCCGTGGGAGTGAGAAGTTTTCCCAGTAAAAAGTACCCTATGTGTTATTCTGATGTATAACCTATATTGCTGTAAAGTTTTATCCAAATCCGTCCAGTAGTTTTTTCGTGAAAGAGTAACAAACATCCATACATCCATACTTACAAACTTTCGCCTTTATAATATTAATAGGATAGGATTTCTAAAGCGGAATGTTCGTTGAGCAACATTTGTACAAACACTGTTTATATACAAAGAAAACGAAACATTATGTTGTTGACAGCTTTACCATGCCTTTTGGATTAATATTATCAGCCTTTTTAAGTAGGTTTTTTAAAGTTATTTTTTTATTAGAATTTTTGACTTTACTAGACTTTTTTTATTATTATTGGTTGATTTAAATATATTTCTGTCGCTGTTTTATCGTTTCAATTATTACCAATGTCAACGTTCCTCTGTCGATAACACGTGTTTAGTAAACATTTTTATTTTATTTATTTATTTACAATGGGCTCACTCTTGACGTCGATCTAGCCCAAGGGCACAGAAGAGATCATATTGCTATGATGCTCCACTCAAAGTGAGGAAGCAAGGAGAAACATAGTTTATATGCAAATGTCGACAGGATCGACGTTCGATGTTGTTATATACTGCTTCTTTTCAACTTCCAAAAGTAAGAAACAGTGTTTACGTAGAGCTTGCTTAATTGTCGCCTTGATTATTAAAATAGCGATATATATATCTTACCGCAACGTAAAAGAAATCATCTGGCGGTACAAACGCGTCAGCCAGATATATCCTGTTGTGATTATCAACTTCCTTCAGGGGCAGCTCGAACAATATCTGACCATTGAGGCTCAATATCTCAACATATTCCACTTTCACTGGAGTATCAGTTTCACTGAGTGATATCATCATATGATTATAAGTGCCTGGAATTTATAATACTCAATAATCATAATTTCTTTATTGCGAGACGTGATGGTCAATACGTTTTGTATATGATTGTCAAGTTTAAGAAACTTTCGCAACAGCCGGTCATTGGATGGGTGACCAAACATTTATTATGTCGAGCTCTGTTCTTCGGAAGGTTACTTTAAGATCGTCGCGGCTACAACTCGAGACTTTTTAGTATCATAGGGATGACCTGTGCCATCTAGCACGGTCGCCAAACAGAAAGAATTTCGTGCGTTGACCTTTGTGCCTGCTGATAAATATCATAAACATTTTAGATTAGACAAAATTGGCTAGATGCATCTGTGCGAATGCAATAGCAATATGTTTTCGCACGAGTGAAAGAGATATGTAGTATCGGGTCATTGTACGAAATTCTCTGTGTCCAGCGACCGTACTATAGCGGTGGGGATCAATTATGAAGTAGTGGCTGTAAGTGGCTGCCTGAATTTCTAATCATGGATTTTTTTCTGTTTAGTAAAAAAACAATACCATGAAAATATGGATACCATATGAAAATAGAGTTAATGAAAGGTTTATTAACTTATAGCCTATGTCACCCGCGTATAGTATAACTACATACCCGTAGGTAAAATAATTTTTACAACCTGCCCAGTTTCGGAGCCTATGCAATGCAAATAAAATATATCCTGTAATCTAATATTAGTAAAGATAAAATAACTAACCCTTAAGCGGTCGATGGCTAGTTTCCTTCATAGAGGCTGGCGTTCTCACAGAAAAACCATGAGTAAAAGTGAGATTGGACATTCCCACCACTTTGACCGAATAGTCCCTCTCGCTGCCCACCGTTATACTCCAATTGCCAGGCTCAGGCTGCAGTACCTTAACTACCTGTTTAAACGATTCAGTTTACAACGCTTCTAAATTAGAATTTAATATGTATACTAATATTATAAAGCTGAAGAAATTGTTTGTTTGAAGGCGCTAATCTCAAGAACTACTGGCTCGAATTGAAAAATCCTTTTTGTGCTGAATATACCATTTATCGAGGAAAGCTTTAGGCTATATAACATCACGATACAACTATTAGGAGCGAAGAAATAATGGAAAACGCGGACGAAGTCGCTGGCGGCCACTAGTTATCTATATTTACTTGTAAACTATAGCGCTGTATTTCAAATACTTATAATACCGGGTAATATACGCGTTTTTTACGAAGTCGGCGCAGGTCAGTTTAAAAAACGCGTATAATACCCGGTACTATAAGTATTTAATATTATCTAGTTATGTTATGTAGTTTAATCATATTGTCTTGTAAAATTGATTAAAATCCTAAAGTTATCTTCAATAGAGTTTAAAGTCGATAGAATAGAAACAATCTGCAACATATCAAGTTACCACAAATTATCAATAATGGCTATTGATTTTGAGTTCTATATACAACAAATTAACGTTTAAATTTAGTTTTATATTATCATGCTGTGAACTGTTCAAGTAAACGTCTGTGACATACAAAATTGTTCTTCTGTCTTAAGTTTTTAACTCTTTATAAGCCACGTATGAATCCGGGTCCAGTCACTATAAAAAATAGAACATTTATACAGCAAATAGAACCTTATGCCACTCACCATAATTTCCGAAAGATCCAGCGTCGTAATGAGTTTAGGCGGACCTGTCAATTCTTCACCTTTGGGATCGACCACTTTGATTTGAGGTTTGGACCCTGACACAGACACTGTTACTTCACCCACGGTGCTGTCTACAGGTATCTACATTAGGGAAACATACACTTCATTAAAATCATCGGAAATATAGTTAATACTTCAAGTAAAGAGAATAGTCTTCATCATTTAAACCGTACCTGGGTACGACTTGTCTTAATTTCACTCTAGTCATAAACAAACAGAATTAGCGGACTTTGAAGCGTCGTTTTAGAATGCGTATTTATTAACAATTTATTGACATACATATGACCCTCAAATTCGTTGGTGGGTCTGGTAACTTGACGAATACCTACCATTAAATAAATTAAAACATTGTTTGTGAATCATTTATACAAATTCAATAAATATTGATTCATAAGCAGTAAATATTTTATATCTCTGTCTATCAATTTATTTAGTTTGGAAATCACTTACCTCTTGCGTGTGATTGTATCCCGCCGGTAATACACTAGATCCAAGATTCACATTTCTTCCTCTGATAGATGTTCTTACCATTTCCAACACCTTTGATAGAAAGTATCATAAATAATATTATCTTATCACTTCTTTCCTTATTTTTATTTAATAATTATTTTTAAGATTCAATGATAGAGTTTGTCATGTCTCGAATAAATAAAATGTGTTTGTCGATTTCAACCGTTAACGCGAGCGAGAGAGTTAAAAGAATCGTAGGAAATGGGAGGATTTCTATCAACCCCGCCGGGAAAAAGGCCTAAACTAGTATTTTTCATAAGCAGTTAATAGTTCTTAAGCAGTAAATAGTTAAAAGTGCACTTTTCCATCAACACCATATGATTTTATTGGTATTATTCACCTAATAATGGGATAGTGGGTATGATAGTGGGATAGTGGGATATGGATTATTAGAACAAGATATTATGGACTATTATTATGCCTTTCATAGTTAATATTAAAAATGATAAAAAAGAACACTTACATTGTGAACATTCGTTTTGTTGAGATTGAATACCTGCCCTGAGCTAGCGGCGGCAATTTGTTCGTACACCTGATAACTAGGCTTCTGAAGGTCGTTACAGTGACCCGTCAATACAAACACTACCTGAAAACGGCGTAGTATATTTATTGACAAAATGTTGTTATCCTAATCATTTGGGTTTCTAAATGTAAATTTTAACTTTTATAATAATAATAATAAACCTTTATTTCAGACCCAATGATCCATTTTAAATTACAAATTATAGAAACATTACTCCAAATAAAAATATTACGTAGTATAATATGGCTATTATATTACATAGATTCAATAAGGTTAAATGACGAATTTAAGTTGTAACGAATGTTCTAAATTTGATAATTTGTAACGGTAATGTCGCTTTCAACTTATGACAAGTTTATTGGCCGTTTGTGCAAGTAAGTAAGTAATTTATCCACCAAAAGAAGTGTCATAGTAGTAAAATGAAATGATATATCGTCATAATATTCGCTAAGATGTCGTATCCTATGGTAAGTGAGTTTGGCGGTACCCCAGCAATTAAATCAATCAAAAATGAACAGGCTAAGTCATTCACTTAACTCCCTGCTTTGAAACACACTGTAAACCTGGCCCTGGCTGCATCTGCAATCGCTATCACCAACCAATCCGCACCGTCATGGCCCATTCTGCCGATTCCATTGATCCATAGGGAGGCCTGCACCCCAACGTTGTTAACATTAATAGGCCGACGATGAATACTAACCTGACTCTGTTTCCTCTGCACCATATCCAGTACTTTCCCCACCAATCTATGATCACCCGCGGTGGCATCGGTGAACACGTACACGAATGACCGCGGCCGACTCACTTCTAGCGCCATGTTGATACCAGTGAGCGATTTCTCGGGACAATCCCCGCCGCCATACACGCGGACTATGTTCAAAGCCGCCTTGAACACGGCTTTGTGACGGGTCACAGTCGGCGGACCGACGCCTAAAAGACCGGGTGAATTTTATACATAAACAAATATATGTTATACATCACATGTGCACAATCGATCAGATATTAGTGCATCACGTATGTTATCTCGTAGATCTAACTTGTGACTACACTTACCCTCGCATCATTAGTCGAGATAAGTAATTACTTGAGAACATGTCATAATATAGGCAACATTCATAATCAATATAATCAATCAACATTCAGAATTATCCTAATTTTGTTTATTTCATAACTTATAACTATCATTACAGGTGTAGCTCAATGCGATAGTGAAAGCAAAATGAATGAGTTGAATTATTAAACATGTAATATAAAAATCATTAAATTAATAGTCAATAAATATTCATACATAATATATAAAAATAAGATATAAATGAGTGTCATATATAATAAACAAGGCATTAAAAATTCAAATAACAAAATTACATTAAAAATGAATATAATCTATAAAAATTCAGTATAGCATTATAAACTATATTTAATCAATATATCTATATTATCAGCGATAAGGTTAAAAGTGCTGTATGCCCGCGTCAAAGGCGCCTGCATCATAAAGTTGGTGCGCACGCGCCACACAAACAACAACTGTGGTTTTCGGCGTCGCCACACGTAGGTATCTGTCTAGTATATGTATTGACTCCAATATGAATATTTCCTCTAAAAATTTTGAAGATTTAGGAAGCCAGTGTAAGCTCCCTCCCTAAAAAGGATACACTCCGTATAGTCTCATATACAAAAATCTTATAAATTTATTTTGTAACTTTTCGAGCATAGAAATATATTTGACTTTATGAGGTAACCAAACGTCTGAATTACATTCTAACTGACTCCTAACCAATGTATTGTAAAGAGCAACAATAGCTTTAATATTAGTAAAGTTACGAACAGTACAGAAGGTGAACCCTAGAGTTTGAAAGGCCTTTTTACAAATAGTTGTGATGTGATCACGAAATGAGAGATTGGTCACAATTGTCAAGCCAAGGTCCCTAACCTCCGTGTCTCTCACCATCGGTATTTCCTCCAAATGATACCTATATCGGACAGGACAGTATGAACGCGAAAAACTGATGGTGACAAATTTCGACGTGTTAAACTTTAATCCTTGCTCCACTTAACACTATCTATGTCCTTTTGTAGTCTCTCATAATCGGCTTCAGTTCTTATAGATAGTGACAGTATAAACAATAAGCACATTGCATCCTCTACTACTTCAGGTAAGTCTTTTATCATGAGAACAAATAAATGCCAGTGGTCCTAGATGCGACCCCTGACTCACATCAACCTCGCAAAATATAGTTACGATCGACACCTCGAATACTCAACTGCTGTCTATCTCTCATATAGCTAGCAAAAAATAAGTAAATGAAGGATAAACCAATACTAGCTAGCTTTAATAGGAGCACGTCATTATTAATTACATCGAATGCTTCTTGAAGTCAAAATAAGCTGCATCGGCCTGCCTCCCACCATCTACAACTAGCATGATTTTTGACATACGCGCGAACAAATTGCTAGATGTACTTCTGACTGGACGAAAACCGTGCTGAGCATCGTGCAAATGTACACTTACCTGATGTTTTTGTATATTATCGATTCGAATATTTTGGCCGGAGCCGAGAGAATAGCCAAAGGCCTATAATCGTCACCTGTCGATTGCGGTGATCATTTAGGAACCGGTAGTAACCTAGTTATTTTCAGTCTTTCGGGAAATGTAGTAAGTTTCAAATAAAGATTATAGATATAGTGTAATGGGGCTGTCAACACAGATTAACAATTCTTGAAGATGTAAAGAGGAATTCCATCAGGACCCCCTGTTCTTTTTTTGTTTTGAGTTGGCTAAGAGCCACGTCCTTGAAATGTACTTCCTCTAATTGAACTCTGGCCACTCCGTTCCCAGCTCCGGCCTCCACTCTTGCCTTGTCAACGTCCAATTCAGAGTGAAAATATCTATTAAACTCCACCACACACTGCTCGTTTATCTCACCGTCTTTCAAAATTTTCCGCGGATTCCTACTACCTTTAGTTAATAAAATTCCAAAACGATTTTAAATCATTTTCTTTATTCTTTTTCTCTTGCTCTCAGCAAATAAATCGTAATCGGTATCCGACCTACTTGATTTATACTGCTTATGTAAATGGGCCTTATATTTTATTTTATAAATAATATGCGCCGTGTACCACTCAGGATACGAAAACTGAATTTTATTTGAGTCTTTGTCTTCTTTTTTTAGAACACAGCAATCTAATAATAAGTTAATGATATTATAAAAATAATCCAAACCTATTTCCAAATTCAAAGTATATATAGGAGTCCATTCTATATGAGCTAACTTTGAATATCTAATCTAATCTAAACTATAATAAAAACGTAACCGATCGATGTCTGTACATTGAAGATATATGAAAAAAACTGTTATAGGGGACATTTATAAGCGTAATAGAATACAAAACAATGATTTTTAAATTTTTTGTCTGTTTGTCTGTTTGTCGGTTTGTCTGTTTGTCTGTGCGTTTGTGCACGATAATCTCAGAAACGGCTGAACCTATTTAAATGCAGTTTTCACTATTGTGTTGCGGCATTCTTCCGTTAACATTTAGGGTAAGATTTATTACAATCGGTTCACAAATAAAAAAGTTATGTCAATTTGAAGTGACGTGGTCGCCAAAATTGCTATGAAATATTTACTGTTTTATAAAATTTTCATCTTTGACATGTTGATCATCATCATTAACTCTTTCACAGCCAAACTACAGGGCCTCAGGCCTTTGTTTAATAATTGTTGGTCACCCATCCCGTGAACACCGTCTTGCGATAATTGCTTAGCAATAGCGATCGTGCGCAGCGGCGCATATCCGTAGCGCCACCGAGCTGTGAATTAATATTGTCTATGAAATGATAATTTGTATGATGACAAATAAAAAAAAAGATTCCAAAATTTTGAGAGCTCCGAAGTAAGTTGACCTCATTATATATGGCCAATCATATTAAATAGGGTTCAGCTTATAATGGACATGTGGTATACGATCACGAGAATAGGAGAACAAGCGGAAAGAGCCTTCCTATGATGCAATTAAGCCTTGAGTAGTTTACAGTGAACGCATATTTTTATCAGATTAGGTTCACGTCGTCGTCGGGGCCAGCGAGAGGTGGTTGGCAGCCGCTCCCGCATTGCACGATTTCGTCTGTCTGGGAGAGGCACTCGATTTAGCCGAGTCTCTCCAATTTTCATCTGCAAGGGGAGCAATGATCCAATACTTGAGTGTCCTGGTGACTCGGCCATAGCTTGCCGGTTTTCATTTCCCATGAGAAGGTGTAGAGTACGGTTTTTGGTGGGTAGACCTCCGGGGACCCACTGGGGCAGCTCACTGTCGGGTTCACGGAGGAGAATCCTACTCATCCCTGTTGCTTGCCAAGGTAACAGAGACAATGTCAGAAGTTTTTCCACGATGTTAAAAAACTTAGATTCACGTCAACTGAAGTTAAGAACGTAAAAGACAACTCGAGTTATATATTTTTTTTCTCTTATTACTATTTTTTATTTTAATACTCTTTTTTTACATACAAATTGCTGAAGATACGTACTTCAAAGTTGGTATTTTCAGTCTTCGCTGGAAATAATGGTTTATTCATTGGTCACAACACATATAATATTACGCGAGTCTGAGGATCGGTTCAGAGTAGCTTGGTGGCGTAGTGAATAAACGCCAAGGCTCGCGATTGTAGTTGTTAAGCAACTTTCGCAAAGGTCGTTCACAGAATGGGTGTCCAAAAAATATTATCTCAAGCAATCTCCAAGCTTTGGAAGGCACGTAAAGTGATTGGTCCCGGTTGAATTTGCAGTCGTTAATATCCTCCAATTCGCATTGGGCCAACATGGAGGGTCGTGGCCATCCTCCTTAATCCATAAGGCTCCTGCTGTTGCTGACGTAACAGAGCTTATGATGATGATGATGAGGGCCGTTCAAATCTGACGGAAGCCAAACAACCAAATCCTTCCTCTTTTTATAAAGAGGAAAGATTTTAGATTGTTATTATTAGTATATCTTAGGTATAAGAGGTCGATGGCGTAGTGGGTTAGCGCATTCGATTTAAATTGCAGTGAAATAAATGTGTAAAATACTGCACAACAAGTATATACATGAAAACTTATTTTACGTAACTAAGTACAAACGACAAACTCATCGCTAGCAAGCGATTTCTTCCAGGCAACCTAGCATTACATGAAAAAAAGAACAATAAATAGCCGATTGTGCATACAACTAGATAAATAATAAAAAGATCAAAAACAAAAGAAGGACAGTTTCCAGCTACGATAAAATTCTCAACACAAGCGACAACCAGAGCGCGAGAAACGAGAAAAAAGATAGAAAATTACATTCGGTAAGGACAGGATGGGTGACCAAAACATTTTATCCTGAGCACTGTGTACAACACTGACACAATGTACGTTAAGCCGTTAGTCCTGGCTGCATCAGCAACATTAACACCCACCGATCCGCATTAAGTTATGGCCCATTGATCTTATTTGATTCGGACTCCATCCATAGGAATAAAAAAATTCTACCAAAATACTTCCCACGCAGACGAAGTTGCGGGCACAGCTAGTAGGTAATAAATTGAAATTGGCTTTATAATAATTCCAACTCGAGTGCTTACCTATGTTCGCTTATTGCACTGTTTTAAGTGTAGATCTGAGCCCTAAATCGAACTATGTATCTTAGACCACGATCCAGAACTCACCTCCACAATTACTTTAATCGGTGGGTGCTGCTCGTCCACCTTCAAAAGAAGCGACCCCAATGCAGTCATACATACACTCCCTTGCCTCTCACAAGTATTTAACAGTAAACCTAAAGTTCTATTGTTAATGTTACGTATCGTATTACACTGAATGAACCCACAGTATGATTAGAAAAACTCATAATCTTAAGTATAGTATCACCGATGACTAACACCTTATTATAATTATTAAGAATATTGCTCGATTATCTAAAACAATAACATATACAGCCAGTTGCACAAACGTCCATTAAATTTATCATTAGTTTAAAGCGACATTACCCATGCTAATTTGACATTCATTAGAATTTTAAAGCGTCATTAAAACTTAATGGACGTTTGTGCAACTGACCGATAGTCACTATCACGACTGTTAGATGGAATATAAACTATACATAATAAAAATAAACAACGTTTTTGGAGATATACATTAACACAGACAAGTTCAAATATATATTTATCGATATTAATATTTTTCGGTGGTGGTACCCGTCGCAACTCGAGGCGGGGTGTGGCCACAAGACACGCGCCGCCTTACTACCACCCGTCCGCTCGATGGCTCGATATAATTGTACAGTCAGGAATGATTAACTCAGCGTCGTGAACTGAGTTAATCCCTCCTGATTTCTCTGAGCCCTAAATCGAACTATGTATTTCTTCTAAATTGGTCTTTCCGCTCCTTTTCGTCACTTTTACGAAATCTATTTCTCTTCCCCACAACTACGTTCCAATTTTCTTCTTTTGTTGCTACAGATTTCTTATTATTCTCTTCTATATTATTTCCCGTTTCTGATAGTTGGTCGATATCAATTGTCTTCTACCATCTGCACTTTATTTACTGTCGACTTAGATAATTTCGTGGTCACATGATTACCTTCATTCGAATCCTTATCATTATCGATCAACTGGATTTCCTTGTGCTTAACTGCGTTAAAAATGACATAACTGGACATTGAGTTATGCTCTCCTCGTTTTCCTTTGCTTTTTAACCGGTTTTAAGGTTGATTTTAATTGTATTTTTCTTTGTATTAACAGTTTAATTTCATTTTCTAATATTTCAACTTTGTTGGCCTAGTTTTGAACTACCGCCAAAGTCGTTCCTATTTGTTTTAGCTCAGATTCTCTTTTTGTAAAACTATTTAATAACAATTTATATTTTTGGCTTGCTCCTCAAATCGATAAATCATATCTGAGCGAAATTCCCTCAACTCATTGAGTAGATAAACTTCCGTAAGATCACAAGCAACAGATGGTACTCGTAATTCAATTGTTTTGTGTCGGTTACCACGCTCATGTTTACAAAGTTACTCAGTGTGAACGTCTTATTCATAGTAATAATATTGCCTCTTAGCGGGATATTAGAGTTCTTCGTTTTAGGTAAAATACGCCCGCATTCAGGACATGTCCAGGTTTTCTTATACTCTTCTGAGAAGCCTTCCAATCTTTCAAACGTTACAGCAAGACATTTGAGGTGGTATAATATGCACTTTTCTTGTGAACACCTCATATAGATAGTATGATAGATATATCATAAATAATAGCTTCACAACCATAACATTTCGTTCCCATTTATCCAAAAAGCCTTGGAAATTTATGAAAATAATACAATTTGAGCACCGTTAGTTGAAACACGTCCACGCGGATTAAAGTGATGTTAATTGAGATCCGAAAATGTGCCAATTATAATTTCATTTCATAAAAGTCGAAACATGTTGTGTGATTTCTAAATATACCTTAACCAATTTTGCGATTAGAAAATAGTTAATTAATTACAAAGTTTGTTTCAAACAAAACATCTAGTTATTCCACATTTGGTAATCCTTGATAATTGATAAGAACCTCACAGGCTAAGAACTTGAACCTCAGTCGTACGCATGTAAACATTTTACCTTCAAGCAAGAATTCAAGGGTTACATAGATAAATGATAATGTTTATGTAACCTGATATGCATATTATTACAACTTCCTAACTCATCTATGATAATAATTAATTTACTATATTTTCATCCATATCCGGAGAATCCTCGTAAGGGCTGGGTAAATTTGATGCAGGAAATATTAATTGAAAAAAATATTTATCAAGCTAAATGCCGATAAAAATACTATTAATTATAATATTTGATATAGAATTTTTATACAAGTTAAAAGGTAAATGCGAGTATTAATTATATAACAATTAGCAATACGTATCAATATATTTAATACTAAAATGGATCGTAGGGAGCGGGCAAACGAAACGCCATTAGGTACCCATTAAAATATCCCATGTCAAATTCACATAAATTGTACACATAACATTACATTAAATTACTGAATATGTAGCCTCTAATAAGTTCCCAATGAAACAAGGAGTCCTATCTTATAGTTCACCAATATCTTAAAAATTGATATAACTTTAAAAAATTCAACTTTAAAAACAACTTCACCTGGATCGTGAAACGGCACAAACACAAAGTCCGCTATGATATTGCTCTCCTCCAAAGCCGTATCCAATATCATCTCAGCACTTTCCTTCAACTGTCTGAGATCGTTATACATAGAACCGGTTGTATCAAACACAAACACGAGGCTACTCTTCTCGTCATCCTTACTCCGAACATTCAAATTGGCATTGCTGGTTGAATTCGGAAAACCTGCCGCAACTTCAAATGAATTCCAAGTAACAGCCACTATGAAATAGACACGTAACACCCGTAGAGACATTTCGTGTATGACGATGTGTTTAACACTGAAGGCGGTTTTGTTCGTTCGTACTGTTTGCCAGTTATCTGGCGACCCTTGAACTGACAATCGATGTAGGTTATTACAAGGCATTAATTACGTACTTCGGCTGTATCTCAAGGCAATTTTCGAAACATTTCGCAAAAAAATATGTGATAACTGAATAAGTTCATTGTACAATTGTTTGAAAAGTATCATATTCCGAAGCCGAACAGGCCCGTACGCAGATTTCAAGGTTTTACCATCTCCGAAGTCCCGAGTTATATTATTTTCTGTATAATCTCGGATTTGGGTGTTGTGGCGGGCTTTCATTGATTAGCTACTTTTTTAATTACCTAGGCCATAATTTGTGTAACAATAGACTGTGAAAATATATTTCATAGTAACCTACTTGCTACTGTTGTAAAGCGAAATGATAAATCCATTGATTTTATTACATATTTCTGTTAACAAGAACTATGTATAAAATTAATTTTATTGATATATATTACACTAGCTGTTTCCCCGCGATTACCCCGCGTATATTCCCGTAGGTGAAAGAATTTTCATGATCGGATCAGTATTACCAAAATTTACCTTACAAAGTTAGAAACGTTCTTTATAATAATAGGTTGAGGGAATAGTTTCCTCGCATTTGATATGATTTTTTTTTTAAATAAAGTTTATTTACATTTCGCTAAAGTATGTATGTACCATTTTGTGGTTTTGGCAGTCCTCGTTTGATGTTAACCTGACACTACTTAAAGAATTCTAAAGAGACCGAAATAGGTGGAAATCTTTTGGTGCAAAGCCAGGACTAAACGGCGGATGCATTAACACCTCCCAGTCAAATTCTCTTCATTTTTTATGAGTGGCAAAAGATGTGCGAGATCTAGTTATCATGATGAAAAACCACACAGCTGGTTAATTCTTTCCACTTTCTTTTAACTTCTTGCCTTAATCTCAACAATTGTTCGATGGTCCTGCCTGGCGATAACAGCTCATAATAAATAACGTCCTTCCTTCCCACCTTGTCGCGAGTTAACCCGGGTTTCGCCACAGTCTGTGAAGCTTGACCGTCCTTTGACCTTTCATCCACGTTTCATCACTAGTTATCAGCTTCTTTAAAAATGTCTCGGTTTCATTACGCTGGGATAAAGATTATTTTTTTCAAATGCTTCAAAACTGTTTTGTGGTCTAACTCCAGTTTTTCAGCTACGTCGAAACTATTGATATGCTGATCTTGCTCCACTATTTAAAAATGACATCCATTTTATCCGCAACAAAGCGAGCGGAGCGAAATGCATCTTTGACATTTCCGAACTGAAAACGCTTAAACCAAATTTGGTCTAATCTCACAGAAACTGCACTTGGTCCATAAACAGCACCAAATATTTCGCGATTCGCGTTGCATTTTTACCTATTATTACTAAAATTTTAAAATGTGTCGAATTTCTTCATTATATTCACTCTGTTTCACAGTTAGAAAAACAAAAGAAAATCAAAAATTTTCCTTATTTGAATTCGGAGTTATCTTCTTTTAAATTTAAACACTTTATGATATCGAAACCGGCTAGCCAGATACAAACGGTATAGCCGGAAAGATATCATTACACTTGTATGCATAGTTTTTACTTAAGACTTTCCCAAACCTAATATCAGTTTAGAGTAGCAGAATTGAGTTCCTCGTAACATACTAATTATCACTCTAGACAACGGTAAAACAAAAATAAAAATTGAAGAAGACATTTTAAAAATAAAATCTTTATTATTAAACTTCACACTTCACATCTCTATAAAGACATTTACTTAAAAAAAAAACAACACATCACCTAAAGATTGCTCAAAGTTCACATAACGTTTTTGAAGGGTTATTGCTTATGAAAAATATTCATTTAATTATATTTATTTTGTCCTATTCATTATTAAACATGGATGAGATTAAATGTAGAAACTAAATAATTCGCTAAGAAATATATGTATAAATAAAAGCAGCAACCGCCTCAAAAACTGTTTCGAGTCTTCTAAAATATTCTAAATGAATACATAGAAAGACATTAACACTATAAAGAGAATACAATACTTGTATCTTTAATACTTGAGCAATTCAATGGTCGAGTCTATTCTACTTAATAATAGTCTAATTGTATGAAAAAAAAATTAAATACATTAAAAATAATAAATATATATACTTATATATATCATTCAAAATAATAATGCAATATAAATATTTCATCATTTTAATGACACCATAAGAGGCCATTGTTATTTTAATGAAATCTGAACATGAGTTTTTTCCGTATCTACAATTTATCTGGTTAAATCAAAAACAAGTGATTATTATTATTATTTTGAATACCAATACGCATATCGAACTTACGCATACTATTTTAATATGTATGCTACTTAATCATTTACATTGCATTTTATTTTATATCAACTAGTCTACAAACCAGACAAATTCGAACTCTATGTAAACAATCAATAAGACGAATTCAATTTTCTAAAAATATGTAAATTATCAGAACTATCCGTTTTATCAAATTTAAAAATAGGTCGCAAAAAGCACTTCAATTCGATAAAAAAAAATGAACGTATTTATACAAACTGGATTCCCCTATATTCCCAAAAGATTTTCACAAACGAAACCACAGAACCACACAAACGAAAATATTTTTTCGGTCGAAACATTATCAACCTATTTTTTCCTATTAATGGAAAAGAAAGATTAATAGGAATTCAGTAACTGAAACCTGAAAAAAAAAGAATGTTCAGTAAGGCCTATGAATGAATGACTTCGACATTAATTAAAAATAAAATGTTAAGTTTAGAATTTTAACTAATTTAAGTTCGGAGTGGACGATTTTAGTCTTTTTGCTTTCGGTACTCAGTCCCTCACTTCACTTGAGTTGTATCCTTTGCTTGTAATAAAATGTTATTGAATAATTTTAATTATTCTTTCAAGTACAGTCTGATTATAATATTATAAGATATAGGCGTCCTAAAAATCACACATACACTTGTTAGAGCAACAATACTATAATACCATTGTTGTCATCATATTGGTGGAAAAATTCGCACCCAAACTAAAAGAGAAGTAAAACTTGTGCAGAGAATCCAGTTTGTATAACATTGAAATGTGTATTATAAGATTAATTGTTACGTCCATTAAAAAGAAAAACTTTAAAATATTTTATGGACAACTAATGCATTTATTTATTTAATCGGTGGTAAAGCATTTTCAGTATTCAATATTTATACTACAGCAGTCAGCCTTCATAGCCTGTAAAATGCATAGTTTATACATAAATGTAAGATATTTTATATTGTTAGTATTTAAATAATAAATCACTAACTTTGGCAAGTATAATAAAGTATATAAAATGAAGATATAATTTGTACTTGAATAAAAATCTTAGTCATGGATCAACTGTTTATGGATAAATAGTTGTTTTCTAGGAACAGACATATACTTACATAAAGATATATATTTTTAGTTATTTTATTGCGAGACCATAAATCATTTAAAGTTCCTAAAATACCTTTGAAAGCCTACATTATTTTATACCAAATTCTTAAATTATCAACATACTTAAATTAGCTTTTCCTATTTTTGTTGTTCCTCAGAAAGAGAAACAAATTTTATTGTAACTTAAGCTAAAATTTTGAACACATTATTGCTTAGCTGTGAATTTTAGAGATAATATTTAATAATGCTAAATTATTATATAAATGTTTCCAATTATGATTTTAACATGCATGAAATATTGTATATTAACAGCAAAATTCAGTTTATGAAATAATTTTCATATAAATAGATAATATCATTTGAAACACTATTGGAGTGATAGAGTAAATATCAATAAATAATCTATTAGAAATATTGGGGTTTAAAAATATTGAAATGCAATATGTAATTCATATTATTTAGTATCTTGTGAGGCAATCACATTACAATCTACTCTGTACAAAAGAGCTTAAATATTCACAGATTAATTTGCAATGGCATACTAGAACACAGCACTTTTATGTAAAAATTCATATAAGTTACTGTGAAAAAAACTTATACGTCTGGTTTTAAAAACTGATGGCAGATTGCGAGTTTACTGGTTACTCATTGGTCTGAACATGATTAAGTTAAACATTATGGATATGATATTAATGTTGGTTTGTTAAAGGACGGAGTATTTCACGAAGTTAGTTTATGTATATAGATCATTAAGACTGTGTAAAAGTACCCAAGTACAAGCAGGATGGACGATACAACAGTCAACTATATATAGATTCTAAGAGTACAGAGTCGATTTTACGTACATTATCTTTACTTATATTACCGAGTCCAGCAGTGTCCTATAACAGCTCTATGAGTACTTAGCCTATAAGTTCAATAATAATTATTAGTGATTGTCTAAAGGAGTTCGTACAAAACATCCACCTTAAACCAATGCTTCACAATCATGTAATGAAGTGAGAGCTTTATATAAAAATCTGTACAGTGGCATTTTCAACTACTTATATCGATTATCATCAACAAGAATGTGAAGATTATTCTAGGAAGTGACTTCACTTCACTTGAGCAACAACAAACCAAAGTACGATCAAAACTTTAAAATTTTTCTGTAAACATTACAACTCGCATTGCAATGCCTCACTGTGAGTTCATTAAAGTAGTGTCAACAGAGTTTGTGTAATGTGCGAAATCCTTTACATACCCCCTAACCAGATTTTATGAATACCAAACCGTTTTAGTCAATAAACCTTTCTAATGTGGCAATTATCATGAAACCTTATTACATATAGGTTGGTCGATATAATTATTGCTTATTTTTTAGTACACTGCAGAAAAAAAACGTATTGCAGTTTATTCACTGGGAGTTGCCTACTCTGTAAATTGAAATTTTATGCTTAGTCTTCTAATGGGCAGGTACAGGCTCGTCAAATATCCAGCAGAAACTGGATTGTTTGGAGCGAATAAAAGTATTTTGCCAATACAGCTCTATTAAATTGTACTTCCAAATTAAGATAATGCATGACAAGATAATACATACAAAACACAATTCTATGTATCGGAAATAAATTCTCTACATTATAGTATTTAAGTTAATACCATTTTGTACTCTACTGATAAAGTAAACAATAATACGCACATTAACTCGCCATTAGTTTCAGTTTACAGAGTAGGACATAATGTTCATATTTAGACTGCGTCATCAGCTGGCCTAGGACGGCTCAATACTTTTTGGAACACCAAAACTCTCTCGCCGACTTCTGCTTCAGGGTACTAGAACAAAAAAAATATACTTTAGATATTAATATTCAGGCTATGAGCATTTACTATACAAAGACTTATTTCAAAATAGTAGTAATGTTATTTTAATTCACGGCCACGTTTTATTCTTTAATACATAACTAGCTTTCCGCCAGCGGCTTCTCCCGTGTGGTCTTGCATCACCCTATCTATATAAAAAAACCGCATCAAAATTCGTTGCGTAGTTTTAAAGATTTAAGCATACATAGGGATATATGGACAGAGAAAGCAACTTTGTTTTATACTATGTAGTGAAATAGTAGAAAAAAAATATATTACACAATATCAGCCACTAGTAGGTACAGCAACTTACACAAAACTAGTACAGCGACATATTAAATACTCACTTGTGTATGATAAATATCATGAAGCAGCCGATATCCTTGAAGTGCGTTCTCCATCCTTCCCTTGAGTCTATCAAACATGATCAACAGGTGCGGAGTAGCTCTGTTCAAGTATTCATTCCTCCACCATCTCAGGGGGTTATTGAAAAAAGTCTCGGTTTCTGTAGCTTTAGGAATACCTTCTAAGGGCGGTTCGCATGAGAGATACTTGGTTGATACGTTCATATGAAGATGGCTGTGAACACAGTAATATTATTATAAAAAACAAAACAAAACATATTTCAACAAGATAATGGCAAGTGGATTTTAATGAACAAACAAAACACACATTAGTTTACAGACTCAGTAATGTGTAGAATACTTTTGTTCCACTAAAACGTTGTAAATCGTGTCCGATGTCCTATTCTAACAATTCAAAGATACTTTGATAGATTTCATTGGCAGAAAATTTTGAATACAACACCATTGTGTTTGTAAAGCACATTACTGGTAACTTGACATTATTATTATAAAAATTATACTTTTCTATGTTGTCTTGCGGCTAACTTGTTTGACTGCATTTTAGGAAGTATAGATAAATAAGCGCGGCTCGTGGCCACAAGTAGGTGTTTGATGTTCTCATATTCATTAATCTCAATTCAATATTTTTCATCAACATTTTAAATTTATATTCTATAGATTTTATAAAAATGATCAACATATGATATTAAGTAAAACATGATAAGTAAAATTATTTTCACATAATTTTTTTTTTACATCGTCCGTCCATACACCACTCATACTTATCCTCAAACAACTTACTACTACTTATTATTCTAGGTTACAAGATGAAATTGGGTTGCGCATTAGAACAGGACATGGAGCTTCTTAAAATATCTTTGATCCTAATATTTGATTATGACTGACTGAAACATAAGGTAATTAGGGTCGCGAGCTCCAAATTAGTTAATCCACCAAAAAGATTAAGAACCACTTCACTAAAGCTTTGACTATTTCATTTGAGGTCTAAATTCATGCGTAAATTTTCATAATTTATTTTATTATTATTTATTACCAACCTGTAAAGCGGCGTGGAGTGGCATGGCATAAGGAAGAGTATCGTGGTATCGTTCCGTTCTGCGGCAGCGTCACGTACTAGCGGCATCACATCGAGCGTACCCCTTTGGTGTATAGAACCGAAATAACCTGCTATGGTTGCATTACCCAACAGTATCATTGCGGCGAAAGTATACAGTTGCCATCTACGACAAATATCATACCCTTCAGTATTCATATCAAAAATTTTTTACTAAACGAACCAAAATCTAAGGTTTATCAAAGTTCCTATGATTAAACGCTATCTTCATAAAAGATGTAAATACAATAGAATCCGGATATAACGACGGCCAAGAGACAGGTGATATTACGTTGTGCTAATCAGAAATCGTATTAAACAAATAACCCATGTTATTTTTTTAATAATTACATACATTATGTATGTGTACGTATTAAGAAACTAGCTTTCGCCGGCGGCTTCACTCGCGTGGTCCCAAGGGAACTATTTAGTGTGATAAATAGTACCCTATATTTTAATCCAGGCTAAGAATTATCCATATACCAAATTTCACCAAAATCCATTTAGTAGTTTTGTGTGAAGAAGTAACAAAAATCTAAATGTCCAAACTTTCGTCGTTATAATATTAGTAACATATGTATTAAGACAACCAGTACACAATAAGATACATTGAAATAAAAATTATTTAATTTACTTATGAATACACGGTAAAAATAGAATGTAAAATGTACATAAATGATAAAGGGAAGTTCATTTCTGTTTATTTTATATAAATAACGTCAAATAGTTTACACAAAATTATACGCAATATATACACACACATACACAAGAATCGCCAGCTTTTAAACATTGAAATTTAACACTTTATTCTTCAATAGAGAAACTTTGGGATGCCATTTTGATACGCCCGCTGACTCGTCTACCGTTATTTATAAATTATCGGAATAAGCAGTCGCAAAGCACAGTTGCGGAGGGCGGTGCGGATATAAATTCTATAGCTATTCACTTCGAGTTGTTCGTAAACACGTTAACGGAATTCGTCGTTAAAAGCGGTCAGTCATATTAAGCGGAGTAATAAGCAAAATATATACTTCCATAAATAGTAACTACGCTTAAAATAACATCGCTACAAAATTTTTTTTTTGGTTGGTTTTCATGTGTGAAATCGTCCTAAACAGAATACACTGTATTTATTATTACATATTAAGGTGAGACAATTCAAATACACTTGTTAAAAGTGCTTTTGAATCGTCCAAAACTTTTTTCCCTACAACTCGTTCAGGACGTTTTTGGCTGATAAGAAGAACGAGCAAGAAACTCACCAACTGTAATAGGAGTGATGACATTCACAAAAACCATATCAATACATTATAAATAGACATAAAATAAAACTATGGTCTTAAAAGGATAACATAATAATTTAATAACAATGGCAAAATATTAAAATATGAATTAAACTGAGCGAAACACTGGATTCTGGCGAAATCCACAAGAGCAACGCCACTAATTAAAAAGAAGAAGAAGAACAATAAAATTTTTGATATAATGAGTTTAGAAGAAATCACCTATCCAATTGCTGGACCATCTTAATTCCAATCATTCTTATCTGTTATATAATCGGATAACTTGTAATAAGCTTTTTTAAAAAGTATTTTTAATAGTAGATTTGAACTGCATGTTATCTATTAAATATTAATATTTGTTTATTAATAAATATTTTGATATACATGCAATAAATTTAAATAAACACATTCGACTCGCCAGATTTTAAAGGTTGCAACATAACACTTTTTTCGTCAATGAAGAAACTTTTTCGCTTAGCCTTTTTGAATCGTGCACTCACTTGCTAACCGCATATTCATAAATTATGAATATTTGTAAAATAAATAATCGCAAAGCACATGCAACGCGGAGTACGTATATATATATATATGGCGCAATTTACTTCAATTTATTTCTAACCCCGTCAACGCACATCGTCATAACCGGATGTACTTTCATAGTACCTCAATTTTAAAACCTAACACATGGCTATAGTTACATCGCTACCAGCGTTGCCAGACGTCCCGATTTAGGCGGGATGTCGCGATTTGTTTGGTCCCGCTTTCGGGGATAACTCAACCGTGCGTGCAGCGTGCTGCGGAAGCTCAGCCGGGTGCTATTAACAAATGTGGACTGGTCGCCCGCCCGGCGCATAATGATAAGTTAGAGGTGGAAATAACGACTTAAAATTTTTAAGCGTTGTTACGTTGTACGATTTTTAATTTGCGTTTTTAAAACTGCTTATTGTTTAAACGCAAAAAATATTTGAAAGCTGATTATATACTTTTTTTTACTATGTCCCGCTTTCGACGATAGAATCCTGCTTTTTTCACTCAAAAACTTTCAAAATCCCGATTTGGCAAAAAACAATCTGGCAATGCTGGTTGCTACACTGTATATTCAAATTTAATGTATATATTAACAGGAATAACTTACTAACTTGTTTTATGAATATACTTTCAAATCAGTATTTGATTGGGCTTGTCTAATGATTATAAACTGTTTATCAATATGATGGTTTATACTCACTTTGGTGCTTTCCTACTCCATCGCACGACAAATTCTTGTTGTACATATAAAAGTAATGGCACCACTGGGAGCAATAATTTTAACTCTTTATGAGAAATGTAACTGAAAAAAGCATATCAAATATATGAAAATATATATTACAAGAGGGACAAGAAAACAAGTGGAACATGTTTGTTTAGCCATATTTTCTCCAATAATGGTAAGCGAATTTAACTTTTGAAGTTACTTTAACCAGCAACATCTATACCTTCTTCCAGAGACACAAGATGTGCTGACGCACCATGTACGAAGAATAAAAAAAATCAATATAGTGAAATAGAAAGACAATTAGTTTTTATAATGTGTAGAATAAATAAATGTTGTATAATTATCATAATTTACCTATGGACAGCAATGTGAACAGCTACCGCGGCCAATAATAGCATACTGACTGTGTGCTCTCTGGGTCTTCGCAGTACGGCCACAAGAGACAGTATCAGCGGCAATACATTTACACCAACAACTGACACCAGCCCGTGACTCACATACCAATACCTATGTCACATATGATTTTTTTAAAGATACAAAGGAAATGAATAACTGCATACCTGCCTTTCCAGTGCAAATCAGTAAGATCATGTGGGTCTCTACCTTGCCAGCACGTCCCCGCGGGTACTAATCAAAGGGCAGGGGTATACCCACTAAGACACATCAAAGTCCCTCTCTACGGTAGGCGATGCACAGAAACAAGATAAAAAGCCCATCAGCAGTTTGACTAAAGAAGGAATTGATTTTATACCTACTCTAGGCCACCAGCTACAAAACGATGTACCTACCCTAAATCATCTATGCAAAAAGTAATATTTTATTATAACCAAAGCAGCCACATCAGTTTCTTATTCTTATAAAGACTAAGAAAACATAAAGCTTTATCAATGAAACCTTATAAAGACTATGAAACTGGATATGCAGTGTGAAATCTAGCAATTAATAAAAAAATTAAGTAATTCAAATGTACTTTCTTGAAAAGTAGGAATTACACAGAAGTGATTCCATTAATGAGACTATATTTTCACAAAGAAAGGATTGTCAGAGACCTTCTTTTTATTGTTTAATATGTTAGGTTTAAAATTATGTACATGATCACCTATTTTTTTTAGCTGGCATATAAAACTGGATATTTTGACACTGATCAAGTAAAACATACCTATCCGGTAGCAAGATTGCAGATTTATTACAGTATTATATCTTGTGAATGTCTAACTTAGTTTACGTAATTTTTATTTCCAACAATACTTATTAACAATTTAGATTTTGAATTTGTTCCAACAATATAGCTATGTAATATTATATAAAAACTAACTTACCATGGATGAACACCATAGAATGAACCAAAATCATTAATGACATTAAACTTAGCAAACTCCCATGGGGTGACAATCCAACGTCCATAGAAATAAGAATCCACAGAAATGAGAGCTCCTGCAGCAATCAGCCTACAAAATACCATTTATGTAATAAATCCTACTACATTTTTATAAGTAACAATAGTCTTGATCAAATAAAGTCAAACATTGTTTAAGATTTTACACTTCTACTGCCTTACCAATAATCAAGGTATAAGCAATGAATAGTTAAATAGTGTTTTGTCTTTTTCACTTATACTGAAAATCATTAAGTTAGTTAAGTTAAAAAAAGTTAGGGGTAATAAAAGGGTAGTCCCTTTCTCATATGATTAGGAATGCTTTAACCTGGGACTGTTAATTTTTTTTAAAGATATATCAATATAGCATTGTGAATTCAACATTTTTCATTCACAATGTGTGAATGTGAATGCAAAAATGATCAAATATAATATTTTCTTGTATCTGGAAATACTCATGTATGAATAACTTACATAATGGGTACATAAGTTCTTACAATCAATCTCAGTCTTCCTTCTTTAGTAGTTAAAAGGTTGTAGATTCCGAAAACAGCCCACATCGGTCCGGATGTTGGTCTAATGAATACAGACAAAACAGCTATCCACAACCAGACAAAACTTTCTGAAACCAAGAATATTAAAAATCTCAAACTTGACTATGTAAAGTTCGCAACTTTTCAACTACAGGATAGCTGATATCTTAAGATTTTATTAACATGGCATTGATATTTTAATGTCAACTAAGACATTATTGAATTCCTAAAAAAAAAATAATTTTGCATTTCATATTTTCTTTTCAGAATACATTAATGAATTCAAAATATTTGAAATTATTCAGATATTTTGTTAAACTAAATTGATTCAATATATAAACAAACCTTTGCTATAATAGCTTTGTTTCCCATCTTTAAATGGGAACTTCGAGAGAGCAATTATTAATAATGAAGTTTCAACAGTCTGTAATAATGTCCTGCTACAAGTGTAGAACCAGAACCAAGATGTTAGCACCAAATACAAAGCCCACTTTCTATAGCCAGTCCATTGATAAAAGCAGTAATCAGCATAACCACTGAAGATGGCTTGGAAAACACGAGGCAGAATTATCTGTAAATAGAGCAATTTATCAAAACGAGCATCAATTAAAATATTGTAACAAAAAGGCAGTATTGTAATTCTTAACATCCACAATATTATCATAGATATTCATGAACACAATGTGCTCATTGAACATCATGATGCTTGCTTAATGAGAGAATTCTATTTAGGGATTTTAACTTCTACAATAATACAATTAGTGGAGTTCAGAAGTGCCTTAGCCACTCAAATGATTGTGGTTACAAAAGTAACCAAAATATTTTTGTAGTCTTAACTCGTAGACAGCTAGTTGTTGGCAAATTCAATGATTGTGTATGTAATCTATGGTTTTTGGTACTTAATACAACATGTTCATTAATCTTTATTGAAAAATACCACAACTGAATACCTATTACTTATTTATTGCTTGATCAGTCTATGTGATATCTGTGGCTGTGTACTTAGTTTGACATTTTTAAGGGATGATAGTTCACGATTTGAGCTTTCAAGTAGCTAACACATTTCAGTAAAAGTTTTTCCTTATAAGTAAGAAACCTATATTATTGTGAATTGCCCTTACAATTTTCAGTTTCTTAAAAATGTATTTGACATATTATTATTGTGATAAGTAATTTAACTCATAGTTTTTTTTAATGTTTACATTTAGTACTTATGCAAACAAATATTACAATTAGTTTTAAACATTTACTTATTAAATACTTTATAATAACAAGACCAAGCTCTCACCACAGCTTCAGGGTAATCCAGTCCAGTAAGTTTTAACACATAATACAATACTGAAATTAGTGCAGGATATAAGTAACTTCTGATTCCTTGCTGCCACTCCCAAGTTAGAGATCCATAGCCAAATACTTGCTTATGGGCCACTTCCAGAGTCTGCCAGTACTCATCTGGGACAAACCATGTTCGCACCAAGAATACTGATACAAGCCTCACCACCAGTATCGCTGCCAACACATGTAGTGGGCTTAGGCCCTTTGCCAACGCCATTCTCCCGCCTAAATGAAATAGGTTATAAATGAAGCTATAAATAGAAAAATATAAAATGTTCCTCAATTATTATTAATGAAGAAAGAAATTATAAACAATTACGTTGTTCGAATTTTTGTATCAAAACAAAGCTTTCATTCTAATTAGAAAGATTATGCTTAGCGAATTCATGATGCGAATCAAACTACAAAATGTCAGATCGACTAACGCGTCCCTTTCAGAAACGCTAGAAATAAATGAATGACTCGACAATCATAAGACAAACTTACTTCTTATTATTACCAGACAAAATACATTTATATTCTGTGTGATAATTTTGAATGAATATCAATATATAATATTTTTTATTAATTACTAACCTCTCCACAAAACCTGCCGCCGCGTAATAGTGTTGCAAACACCGGTTAAGACTCAAGTTATTTTTGATATCGGTAATTATATAAGTATTGCTCCATAAACCTTACATGTTCGTCATATTTGAAAAAAAGAGGTTTATATGTATAGTTTCATATCCAACATTCTACTTAAATAGTGTTTGCTATTTAACAGAGCATGACTTTATGGAAAATTACTACCAAAATGAAAGCTTCATCGAAAAATTATTGTGAAACACGTTATATTATGCTTAAGTCTTGCTGATCGAATAAAAACGTTATAAAATTTCATACAAGTCACAAAGCAAGCCTTTTTTAAATGCTTTATTTTGTCATGTTAAGATAATAATAATTGCTGTTTTATTTGAAGATGAGAGAGCGCCAAAGAAGCTCAGTGAATAGCTAATGGTGGCATTGTCTTGTTTAAACTAGATTAAACTTAGTTTGTCTGTCTGTATTAATTCTGTAAAAAAAAACTAATAAATCAGAAGTAAACTTATCTTATTATGCTACCGTGGCATAATTACTCATCTATTATACCTATGTGATTGATTACGGAATATTAAAAGTAGAACAAATATTTTATTTTATTTGTACAGTAGTACAACAGAACTGGCACTAGTGAGGCTAACATTAGGTAATGAAATTGATATGGAAGTCAGATAGATATCCAGCAGCAGAAACCAGGATGATCTTCAAATGCTGCCGTAAGGTTTCTCGGTAAACTAGGTACCAAACCCTGTCACAGACTCTTAATACATCATTACTACATCATTCTATACTTACACCATAAACAAAAACTGTAATTAGGCACAGTTATGCCCTCAAATGCCACAAGAGCCCTCTTTTTGAACAGAGTTTACCCTCTTTATTGGACTCACCGAGAGCTATGTCTAGTAAACTCGCAACTTGTCGTATCGTAAGGTCCTAGTAGAAATCGGGTTTTTTCAATTATTACTTAAGGTACATCTCTAGTATATGTCAAAGACGTTCAAAAACTATGGCGTAGTCGAGTCCACACAGATTTGTAATAAACTGTTAATCTTTTTTAAAAGTAAAGTTTGTAACATAATTTGTCTTTATATATAATTGTTTTATCAAAGTGTTTAAAAATATCTTTGATAAAGTCATTTCATTTGTCACAATATTATTTTACCGCAAGGAATCCAAACTTCATTGAAAATTAATTTCCTTTGTGTTAAGATTTAGAACGACAAATTTACGAATGTTGATTTTTAGGGAAACCGTATCGTATCGTATTGGTATTTACTGCAAAGCACTTTAATCTTATATAAAAGATGTTTTAATTTAAATATGGGTATGTATTATTTTTATTATAAAAATCCTATTTAGGAGCTGATATTTACATAGTGTTTTGTTAACAGAAGAGTCTAAAAACGAAACTCTGGACCTCGCAAGGCGTGGGTTGAAGAAAATAGAGAAAGCGCCTGCAGACGAATCTAAGACGATTATTAATTTAATCCTCGATCAGAATGAGTTGCAGAGACTTGACAACATAGACACCTATAATCGTGTTGAAAACGTAAGCTTCCGTTTCATAGTTGTTTTTGACTCCTACGTTAATCTATTATGCTCATCAATTATAGTTTAAATCCAATTTTAAAGATGACCAATTCATCAGTCATATACACTTCTTTAAAATCATCACTGCCAACATTTGTTAGTCTTATAAAACTGTTTAAAATTAAACTAAATTTAAAATACAATAAGTCATATTAATTGTTTATTTCAGCTGTCAATATGCAACAATTTCCTAATGCGTATGCATGGGGTGTCCCGTCTGACCAATATCCGCATACTTGCCCTGAATAATAACAATATACTTCAGATTGAAGGCCTGAAGGATTTGATTTACCTGAAAGTACTAAAACTAGCTGGTAAGTACCTATTATGATATTTCTATGGTACTGCTTTTTTTATTTTAAATAGGCTGTAGAATTTTGATATTACAGTATAAACAAACTGATATGAATTATGGCATTATAATTACAGTTAGCAGCCCCCTTACTCTTGAATGCAATTGTGACCGAACAACATTGCAATTGTGCCGTTTTGTACTCTTGATTGGTTGCACTAACACTAGAGTATGCTTATGAACTATCAGGAGTGCAGAGTGGCACAATTTCAATTTCGATTGGTCGTGATTGAGTTTGTGAGTTATGGAGCAGATGTCCTGTGTAATCCATTCAGAAATTAGTGTATTTATGTAGGAATCACAGATTTGGATTTCTACTGGTCAATTGGCATACTCAGGAGTGTGCATTGTATGCATTAAATATATTAACTGTTTGTGAAATGCCTGCTTCATAAAGATTTTGTAGGATATAATAGTCATCATAACAGCTTGCTGAAAGCTGTAGCTTGCAACAGAAAATATGCATTTTTTGTTTCCTAAAAACTTTTGTTAGCTAGTGGGCAAGAGGACTGTAAATAGACACTAATGAATATATGGTACAAAATATAATAATGGATCACAGCAAATATCAAAGAAACCAAAGAATCGACAATGAAAATAACAGTAACATTGAGCAAAAAAAGAGATAAAAATGACAAATAAATAAACTTATTAAAAGGACCATGTCTTTTCTCCACCTTTCCTTCACAACTGTCAGAAAATAGCCTGGTTAAGTAATTATCCCTTTGCCTGACTATTTAATTGATTTTGTGATATTAATCTAGCAACCCTAGTTATAATTTTTGTCTATTCACCTTTTAAAATTTGAAGTTGGTTCAATGTTTTTAAGTTTTTATTTTATGCATTTTAGTGATATTTTGAGTTTTGGGGTAACAAATATCATGCATAATTAATGCAAATTTAAGACTGAATTGATTTTCTGATAGATGCCATTGCCAGATCTGAACCAAATTAAAATGGGTCCACACTGTTGGAAATAGCTTTCAAATAAAGAAAGAATCATCAAAATCGGTCCACCCTGTAAAAAGAATTGAGGTAACAAAAAGGAATAACAACAAGTCTAATTGAGAACCCCTTTTTTTAAGTCAGTTAGTAACAGAATAATTTGTTTGCTTCAGATAAAAAGTTATCAGAAATGTTTAAATTGTGTAAAAACATAAATTAAATCCTGCAATATGTTTTTAATAGAGATAGCAGCTTGAAAAACCTATACCAAATAGGACATTAAATGTATTAGTTTAAAAAGTAGAATAAGCAAACAATTGTGATAGACGCTATTCATTATATAACTTAAACAACTTTACTAATTTCTTATAATTACACACACACTTCTCATTTAATGAAACAAAAAATTATTTATTTATTTTGTAAATATACAATTTCACATGATACATATGACTAGAAATGGTACAAGGGCACTGCTCATTTCAAATTGAAATTTCTACCAGCAAGCCAAAAACGGAAAAAGAATACAGGAAGATATTCAGTGTGTACCTCCTAAATAAAATTAATATATCATAAAGTCAAAGTTTTTAAATTATATGGTATTATGAGTTATGATGGGAAAATTTTGCCCACTAAGAGTCTGTAGGTATTATAATTATTACCATTTGAAAGGATAATACAGATTAGTGGAAGTTACAAAAGCTGGAACACACTATTGTTTCCGCTTGATTTGCACAATGATCATATAGAAATTGACACAATCAGGTCAACTATGTATTCTGTAATATATATGCTGTATAGTCTGCATACATTTGCATTCATAGTTGGCCTAATAAAATATACAAGGTAATGTGAAATTGTAAACTTCAGTTTATGACCTGTCTATGACTATACTGTCTAGGTTATGTAACTTGTAAGTATTGCGCTAATGGAATGGTTGATAACCTTTTCATTATTTTTACCCCTATGACCTATCTACCATTCAACTTCTTTCTCATGCCGCGGTGTCTATCTAGATGCGTCATGATATTATAGTTTTACTTTCGTTAAAAACACATCTAAAATTAAGTTTCAATTTGAGACTGTTTTATCATTATTTTATAAAATTTATTCTAAACTAGCTTATGCCCGCGAATTAGGTGGTACCCTATAAAAGAATGGTGCCATTCATTTGCACGGATAAACACTGTCGATCAGCTGAGTAACCGTAACAACGTTCTATAGTGCAGCTGCACCCAGAGCACTGCTTGACTGTCAAAGGTCACTTACGAAACACAGTCTTATTTTATTAATAGCAAAACATCCTCGATATTCGAAGAAAATTACTTTAATGTTTATCTTCGAAGACACTATAATAAAAAGTTTCTATTTAAGGTACAGCATCAGCTGTACATGTAATTAACCGACTATTGTCCAATGTGTTACAGTACTTTTCTCTGAAAACTTTAAAGCTATGTAACCGATTTGAAATACAGATAGTAAGAAAAACACAAATCTAATGTCCATACAAAACTTAATCATAAACTGTTAAGAATAAACGCCATCTAGTATCACCATCATCAGCCCTTTTACGTCTCTATTGCAGAGGTTCAGTCCTTATGGATTGGTTAAAGAGGATGAACCAAGGCCCTCCATACTGGTACAACGCGGACTGGAGGGCATTAACGATTGCAAATACAACTTGAACAACGGCATAACGTATCTTCCGAATCATGATGTAAATTGAAATAAAAAAAAATTTGGTCACCAATCCCGTGACTTTAATTTGAAAATTCAACCTTGACGAAATACTTAACGCCATCTAGTATAGCGCAAATCTATAGTTTGCGATTTGGTCTGTTATTTTTATTGTTATTTTTGTTATCAATTACTATATAGGTACTAAAATATCATTTTTTATCACAATATTAGGAAATCTTTAGAAATAATATTATATAGATTTATTACAATGACAAATCAAATTGTAAACAATGTTGCTATGGTAACATTTTCTTCTACACTAATATTATAAAGAGGAAAACTATGTTTGTTTTTAATGAATAGGCTCAAAAACTACTGGACCGATTTTAAAAATTCTTTCACCATTCAAAAGCTACAACATCCACGAGTAGCATAGGCTATATTTTATTGTGGAAAAAAATAGGGATCCGTACAATATTTGGGTTTTTCGGACACAAGGTGTAAAAAATCAACCAGAAAAGTTATTAATTTTGCGTACGCTGCTTAAACTATAAAAGATAGAACCATAAAATGTTCAAATTAATTGTAGATCTTATAAATATCTACAAAAAAGTCCGCGACACACTATACCTATGTTGAGTGAGGTACAACAACCATTTTTTTATTTAAAAATCTTGTTTTTTTTTACTACATTTAAACGCTTTTATTTTACTCATGCTAATAATCCCTATTTCATCACTAAGTACAGTTTATGTAGATAATATTTGGCCTTTGAATTATTAAAATTGGACGTTTGTTTTTGGAGTTATGGCGAAATTAAAACATTACGATTTCTGCTGTATGGCCCGTTGCGAAGTGGACGTCACCAAGGCAGGGGTGCGCGTGCGGAAGGGGAGTTTAGATCTATGAGTAAGGTACCAGCGAACCACGTGAGCGAAGCCGCTTGTGGAAAGCTAGTTATAAAAACACTCCCATTTACATCCCTTTAAATGTTAGATTTCGGGATAAAATATAAGTTATGACCATTACGTCCTAAGCTACACAAATACCAATTTTTATTGATATAGGTCCTAAAATAAAGAAATTTCATACAAACGTTTCAACGCCTCTACATAATAAGAGGAATGTATCCTCAAAATTTTCAAACGACCAGCGGTTTAGGCTGTGCCTTGTCTGTCAGTCAGTAAGTCAGGACATCTCATTTTATTAGGGTCTTTGTTACCTCTACACAATAGCTTATTTACCCTCACGGGAGTAATTACCCCCTATGTTAGGAATAAGAACCACTGCCTCTTGTGATCAGAGTTTATTGTGTATATTTTAGGTAACAACATCAAGTCGATTGAGCATTTGAACAACAATATGCATTTGGAACACCTTGACCTGTCTAACAACCAAATATCATTTATTGCTGATATATCATATTTGAAACACCTAAAGGTAACTTTTCTTTTATTGAACTCCATCGTTACAGACTGCACATAAGCATAGATATTCTTATTATGGCTAGAATAATGTAAGGAGGAGAAGAGGATCTATTTATGAAGATTGTTGGATGTTAATGACTGCAAATGTAGTTGGGACCAATAGCTTAACCTGCCTTCCAGGCCATATGGGACGAAATTATAAAATTATAGGCTATATGATTAGCGCAATTGGTGTATGAACGCGCTAATAACTACACTTATTCCTTAGTCATGATAATTGTATTTTTTCGTTATCTTAACTTTTCAAATAAAGATGCACCAAGTTATATCTACGCTCGTGAATATAGTAAATATCTGCGTCTTATTCGATGTTCATCTTGATAATAAGTCCAACGAACCGCAAATTAAAAAGTTTACATCCATACGGGTCGATTGGGTAAGCCGTAATTACAACCACTTCCCGCAAATTACTAGATTGGCCACCGTATTGTGGCGATACGGACAGTGAGTACTTACCCTAAGAAATCCTGCTATTTTTTAGAATCTGTTTATATTATGTTACGTAGGATTTTCGCACTTGGACTTTAAAAAAAAAAGTGGGTCTTCTTAAGTTATAATGTTATTTAAATATTATTTTCTTTGTTTAACAATCAATATTAGTACCTACTTTGATTCTGCCAATTTCTTTTAGACATTTTATCACCTGACTTTATAGCTTTAATTTTATACCCATATTTAATATTTTAAATTAAGTATATTTTAATATGAAGATCCTAATATAGTTATGTATCTATTGTTACCATAGCATTTAGGCCTGGAAAGAAACCGCATTATCGACCTCCGTCAATGCGACCGCTACCTTCCTCCACATTTGGAACATCTTGGGCTCGCACATAATAACATTCAGGATTTAAACGAGATCTGTCACCTGGTGCATCTGAACAAGCTTGACAGTTTCACCGTTCAAGGCAACCCTTGCGTCGCAATGGCTGGCAAAGACAAATTGTATCCTTTAATTAAATTATTATTTTCATCTAAATATTATACAGGATTATATGTAAAACATCACCAACTTCGCAGGATTAGATAAATAAATAATAAACGACTTGAATGTAAATAAATAAACACAACGTTAAAGCTCAGTAAAACTAATGTGGCGCATGTGGGTTAATCTCATTTGCTTACAGCTTACCAATTTCGCCATTAATTAAATCATAGTGAATCTTATTTAGTTAATTTTGAGGAATTAAATACAATTCATAGGTGCCCCTCTCACTCACGCTCAGAGAGCTTCAGAAGCGTGGATATTGATAAAACGAGAGCTTGACACTAATCATTCTAATTGGCCGATATTATTCGCCCTACGAAATTCAGCCTTCTGCGCGGGTACATCAGTGAGCCTCAACAGTTGTCTTTTACTTATAGTTCAAGGAGCGCAGGGACATAACGTTTTCATTTCGTTATGAATAAAACATAGATGGTTAACGTCACAACAGCACAATACATATTAATCATCCTTGTTCATAGCATGGAGTTATATTAAAACTCATGCCCGTTTTCATTTACCTAGAATAAGGCATAGCTTAACTAGAAATCACTTAACATTAAGAGTAGCGTAAACAGATTAATCGTTTCACCAAACCTGTAACGTTAGGTTATGCCTTACTAAGCACTTGCTTAGATAGGCAACGTTTGTCTATGATTTAGTCACGTTAGTACCCTTTACACGTGAAGAGACAATAATAAAAATAAAAATTTTGAGAATCTCTTTATTTATATCTTAATTCTAATATATAAACTCATTGATTCCAATTTATTAATTTTATCCCTTGACGCTAGGCCTCCTAACGTCCTAGTTTTAAGCGTTGCTTGAATTCGTTAGATGTCTCCTTGTCATTTTAGAACCGCATTTTCACCTTTGACAATACCCAAATATTTATAAAAAATGCCTTTTTCGTTAAACGTCTTATATCTTTAATATAAAGACTCATTTTGCTACTTTCTGTTTAACACCTTATTTTAGTTTATCAATTTTATTTATACAAAAATTCAACCTTAATACGACACTCAGAGGGTTCGACTATCGGCCGTTTGTGTTGAACTGGATTATGAGCGTTAAGTCCATTGACGGCTTCGTCGTCAGTGCTATGGAGAGGTAAGGAGTTAGTTCAGTTGGTCATTATATCATACAGATATATTATCATACGAACCACATAGAAGGCCAATAACACTACTTATAATTGCCTCTTATAAGTCACGCGTGACAAAGAACATCATATGCATCGTAATGTTTCCACATTTTATAGCCTCGAGTGTTGATGGTAGTGTGTAGTTCATTAGTTTTGACTGTCAATAGGTGGCGTTAGTGTTATAATTTAATGATATCTATTATTAATAGATTTTTTTTTGTGGTTTATTAAATTGTTTTTTTAGTATTTTGAATACATTTGTCTAAATTGAGCCCATATGATCTACTCTTCGTTCATTTTAGACAAATAAAGGGACTTTATAAAGAAAAATATCTATAGTTCATTATATCAGTAACATTGTGTAAGCCTACGAATGAAAACAGAAATTTTCATTAATAAAAAGAAAAATAAAATTATCAAATTATAACAAAAAAATATTGCGCTAATCAATGATAAAGAAAGAAACTGCGGCCTACTATTTTAACATAAGTATAATTTATATTAGTTATTTTATTTTTGTTTCATTCGTATACAGTTTAAAAGCAGAATGGCTGTATAGTCAGGGTAAAGGTAGACATTACCATGCCGGGCAACATCAAGAGCTGTGCGAATACTTAGCGTCCACGTGTCCGCTCACCGCTGACGCTTTAGAGACGGAGGACCAAAGAAAACTACGCCTTATTCTAAGCAAAGTAAGATTCATAATGTTTTATATTCAGATTAACTAACACAGTTTAATTCTATTCGATACACGCGTATACTTATTTATAGAAAATCTTTGTCCTACTAATATGCTTTCGCCATTATTTAACAAACAATTTGTAAATGGAATATCAGGGTCACGATTATGAAATAAAGGCTATTTAAATTCAATATCATTTCTTCAGTCTATTCTGTTACAAGCACTTCTAGAAATTGAAAACTATGCCATATGTTTGCAAATTTACGATGAGAGATCGGTTAATTGATTAATATACCGTATTGTACATACTTACTCATTGATTTAATTATAATATGCAGTTCGCGGGCTGTGTTAAAAAGTAGTACATTTTAAAGTAGTGTTGTAGTGCTCATATTTTTTTTCGATAGATATCAGACATATAATAATACGGCAATGTTATTATAAATTAAGTTTTTCGCGGGCCTATTCCGGGCCCCGGGCCGTCTGTTGCCCACCGTGGGTGTAGAGGATACTCATCCCCAAAACAGCACGTGAAAGGATCACGAGTATGCCGCATGAAGCAGTTTTCTATACGCTCAAATATAATTTGAACTTTACTATCCGTTTTTATAATTTTATTCCCTTTCATATGTAAAATGAGCGCAAATAATTAAGTAAAATGAGTAAAAAGGATATATGTAATAATAGTATATCCCTGAGTAATAAATGTAATAAATATTACTCAGCGATTTTAACTTGGTATCGCTCTCGCACTGTATAGTACACTAATAATGACAAAATTATCGGAATCATATACAAGCTTATTTTAGCTCGCTAAATCGTTTCTAGTTTTTGGCTCTATTTTAGTACTTAAGCTGCTATAAAGGTCATATGGATAGCAACAAAAATATTATTATGAATTCTTTTTGCTCTTAAATCACTATAAAAATTGTGATACAAATATATTAATATAAAATGTAACGGAATGTGTAGGCTCAGCAACACCAGCAACAATTGAAAGATCAAAACCACAGTTCTTTGAAACCGAAGTTACAATCGCCCAGAGTTCAATGTAAGTTCATAATCGATTGTTTGTTTATAATGAACGTTTAAATTCTCTGAAACTGTATATATCATTATGCAATTGTTGGATTGTAGCTCGCATCGCCTCACGTCATATGGGCAGGTCGCCGGATCGGTTGACATCCAGTTACCATTCAGCGATGTCAAAAACAAATTCGCCCTCCCACCAAATGTCTATGTCTTGTTCCGGAGACATAGCAGGTGTACCACAAGTGATGAGCCAGAGTTTTGATTCGCCCGGTCTTATGTACGCGTTGGAGAAAAAGGACAAAGAAAAGGAGAAAGAAAAAACGTCAGGTACGTTTCAACATCAAATTAATATACTCGTAATAATGGTGTCCGTCTATCCATATTTTTCACGCCAGATCCCTGAAGCAGAGGGAACGGAGCGTTACAAGTCACAGTGCTTATGCACATCTTACGATTCCCTGGCATTTCATACATTGCTTTGAACTAGCCTATTTGAATAAAGAATATTCTCGTTCATTCGTGTTCATTTAATCGTCTACAGAGCAATCCCCACCTAAACCAGTGAACCATTCATTGGAAGCAGCATCCAAGATGGTTCCAGTTCCAGAATCCCTCATGAGTCCGGACTATCAGGACCCCATATATGACATCCAAAGGACAATTCCGAAGCCCACTAACAACTCTGTCAATAGCATCTCGAACACTTCTTCACAATCAAGCAACAGTAGCTTGCACGAAGAGAAACCTCACAGGCAAATTGTTCAACCAAACAAAAACATAAGAGGATCACCGAAACTAACGAAAAGTGCCACTTCCAGTCCAAAATTAAAGTCTAAAATGGAACGGAAATGCAGTCTACCTAAATCTGAAGTTAAAGAAGATAAAAAGATCAATGGTATTACAAAAGAACAATCTACGGATGAAATAGACCAAGACAAATTGGAGATAATCAAATTAGCATCAAATCAAAGGCGACAGAAGAAGATGAGCGTCGAGTCTATGGCCGCGGTTACTATACAAAAAATGTGGAGGGGGTACAGAAGTAGGAATCTCAATAAGGACACGCTGAGGATACTGCATGCTATACAGGCGGCTAGAGCGAGACAACATATACAGTAAGTTTATGACAAATAAGAACATGAACATTAAAATTTGATTGTTATATTCTTTATTGCACACAAAAAACATACAGAAGTGTCAAGTGAAAGTAACCACAAAAGTGGGCTGATCTCAATTAGAGATCTCTACCAGGCAACCAATACATTGTAATAGATATACAACATACATATACAATAAATATTACACACATATCATATACATAACAAACAAATATAACCCTACATATATACTTTTATTAACATTGTGCTAGAAAGTAGTCTGAGTTTGGTTTGAAACTGATAGTAGAAGGGCAATCTTGAGTGCTTAGGGGAAGTCTTTTCACAATTGAATACATCAAACAGAGAAGGATTATGTTCTTGTTATTTTCCACAATCATAAAGTAAGGGTGAAAGATATAGGAAGACTATAGTTTATTGTTTTGCTTAAACATAATACTTTCTAGCTTTTTCTAACTACCAACTTAAATATGAGGTGGGTTGCTAAGGTTTCTCGATACATATTTATAAATCGTCTTAAATTGTATAGGAGATTGACATGCGACATGGAAGCCACTAAAGCAGCTCTAGAGAGCGAGAGAAAAATACAACAGTTGCAGATGCAGGCCATCAACGCGCTCTGGAAAAAAGTCTCCACGCTACAATCTTCTGGTAAACAATGATGAAACAACATTTTTTTTCTGTTAGTTTTTATTATGGCAGATGAATAAAACAAAATCTTTATATAATTCTTTTAATATTCATGATATATATATTATTTATACGTATTACAATTTGAAGATTTTCAAGAGTTAGTCCTGTCACAATATTAATGTAATTTTCATATTCAATTGCTGATTGTTTCAGCGTAATCCTTTTGAATCCGTCACGGTTAATTATTAATTTTATTATTGTATCTTTACGTGTAAATGCCACCAAAGTGACATTGGCGGAATTGTGTAAACGCTAATAGGCCATAAGCTTAAAAAATAACTAAAAGGTCTACGTCGTTTTGTATATATATGACAATATTTTTGTAATGATGTCTGTTAATATACGTTTACTATTTGTATAGAGCCACATAAACAGAAGACGTGCGACCTAGAAGATAGCACGGAGGCAGTACGTCAGCTGACCGAGACGTGCGCCCGTCTGCAGCGGCAAGTGGCCGAGCTGCAGGGGTGTATGCAGGAAGTGGTGCGGTGTGTGTGCACGCACACGCGTGCACAGGCCGCCACGCAGACTGAGCTCACGTGCGTCACCACGCCCCAACCGCAGGTATGATATTCTGATGCAGTGTTACACATTCGCCGTGATAGTGTGATGCAGTGTTTAGCATTTGCCCTGATATTTCCATGCAGTGTTTCGCTGATTTCACGTGCATCACCATGTCTTAACCGCAGATATGATAGTCTGTTGTAGTGTAATGTACATTCGAAGACTCGCGACCCGGTACCGGGTCATCGAAATAAAATACTGGTTCGTAATATCTCACCATGTATAAGGTAGGTCATGAAACAGTAAGATTTTCAATTATTTTTGTCACAACTTATAAACGTGAAGCTGGGTTTTCAACACTAGTTTACCTTAAAAAATAAATATAGAAATCATCTTGAAGTGATAACTTACGTTACATTCCGCGATACCAAAAAAAAAAAACCGAGCGAAGCTATGTCATCCAGGTAGTTTTTTTCTAATCAAACCAGTTTGGGTTCAAAAATATTATAAGTGTGTCACGAATAGGCAGTGTGAAAATTACCGTGCCATTGCAGAACAATGTTTCTATTAAGTAGAGTAGTAGTTAACTGAATTGAAACCCGCAAAACCAAAATTGTATTTTAGAGTAGAAAAAACCTTTATTTTTCCATAAATAATTCCTATAAACGTCCATGGTGACATATAAGGTGTTCCTTAGTCAATTCATACGGAAATAAGATTTTTTGTTGGAAAAATATAAAGATTTTTCACTTGCTAAACCAAAATGAATATTAAGAGTAGAAAATCTTTATATTTAAAAGAAAATATCTTATTTCTGTATAAATTGACTAAGAAACACCTTATTTGTTACCATGAATATTTATAAGAATTATTTATCGAAAAAAATAAAAGCTTTTCTGCTCTGAAGAACAATTTTGGTTTTGCGGGGTTACTACGTGTTAGTTTTCCAGCGTCGATATCCTTTGTACTTCCACATACTGAAACATCGTGCACATTTTTATTACAACCTCTTTCCTATTATAATGCCCATGCGGTCCTAAAAATTATTATCTTGAGCCCCTTTATGCTTCACAATAAATATACCTCCCTGGCGTATCGGTAGACGGAATAGTGTAGTGCACTTCAGGTGTAATACAATATTACCTTGTGATTCACCTCCCTAAATATAAGACATCATATACATCGCTGTAATCTCAGTATCTAAAGCACTTGTGTTATGAAAATCTGAAACAACGTTGGTACAAGGCACTTTTAAGCAAAACACAGCTAGGACCAACGTCCTGAATACATTATAATCGTTAATATCCACCAATGCGCACTGGGCCCTCGTGATGCGTTATGGACCGTTCTTCACATGTGATTCTATATATGGTAAAGGCCCGTGTAATATTAATAAGATGATAATAATTTCTATAAAATGAAATTTTGTTAACAGGAAGAACGGCATAGTTGGCTGAAGAGACCGCAGTCATTGCCGTTGACTGCCGCCTCTGCACCCGCACCTGATATTCCTCAACCAAACGAACCACCAATGTAAGTCTCATAAAATTACATTGATATTTTTTTTGTTATAAAGTATTTTTGGGACAACTTTATTATTTTCACTTTTTAATACTTGGTATTAAAATAAAGATTAATTGAATTGGTCAAAATTTTACTAGCAAAAAATTTCGGGTTAACATACAATTAATAAATCAATAGAAAACCAGCCGTTAGAGTACGTCATTATATACTAAAAAAACAGATTTTTTTCTTATGTATATTTATAAACTAGATGTACGCAATTCAAAATTATCTAAGTATTTTTATTTTTTTACTTTTAGCGATAAACCCAACGAAATTGACTCTATCGACATAGAACGCACAGAGTCCGTTATCGAAGAAGATAAATCAGCGGGAGCCAGTTTAGAAACCGATCGAGACCGCAGCGTGATCGTTGATTGATGGTTAAGCAAAACCATTCTTATTACTGTAGAATAAGGTGCGGTGGTGCAGCTGAAGCAAAGCTCTGTATGGTGGCTTGGTAGGAGAAAAGGTATATTGTTAAATGTCGGTGTTTGTAGGTGTGGCAGTATCGTTGTGCAAGCCTAAATTATTTTGATCACTTCGTCCATTTCGAATTATAAAATAATTTACTAGAAAATTGATAGCAGATCTAAAAAAAAGTTAATTATTGAGTGAAAAAGAATAAAAAATTATATAAATAAATGCGTAAGTGAAGAAAATAATCGAATGTTTAAATTAATTTAAATTCGTTAGTTAACGTAAAATGGACGGAGATGAGTATAATCATTGATAAATTGAACAGCTAGTAGTGCAATATCTGTTGTCGAGTAGTTGAATATTGAAAAACGGAAGTTGAATTTTATAACAGAGGAGATAACGCTTTCGCTGAATTTTTCTTGCCAGTGCAAATCCTGACAGAATAATCTAAAGTATTGAACATTAGTTAAGTAAATCACGTGTTGCCAGCCTTTTATCGTCATTAGTGTCGCCAATTAAATATAATTTACATTTGTGTGGTAACGACATTCCGATTATTTTATTAATATATTTTAATATTAACTGCCTTACCATTATCAAACCATATATACGTATGATAAAGGCTTATCTACACACAGTTTCGACATTCCTACATGTTACGATTTTCCACAGATTAGTAAGTCTCATCTACACTGTACACATAATGTATCAAAATGTATTATTTAAATGGCAACATTGGTGTTATGCCGACGCTTTTTACATGTGCTTTAATCCGTGCTTTATTTGATAACAACACAATAGCAAATAGGTCATTATGCGCGTATTATTCTCGAATTTATTGTAAACCCAGAATTCTAATGTAAGATAAAATGAGCTCTCTCATCTGAAATTAAGGATCTGTTTGTATTGACATGTATGTGACTATTGATAGTTTATAAAAACAAATAAGACTATGTTGTTTACAATGCAATGCATATTGTGTACCTATACATAATATTTATTAATTTAAATTTTAAGATGCACTCCCTACATTGTGGTTAATGTGACGTTCGTAGGACTCCCGCTGGAAGAAATGCTTCCTGATGGCGATTCACTGACTCATTATAAGTCTCACATAAGTTTGATAACACATGTTCTTTTATTTATTTACAACTAGTTTTCCGCCAGCGGCTTCGCCCGTTTGGTTTTGTATTATACATAAAAACCTCACTTTTGAATCACCCTATCTATGAAAAAAACCGCATCAACATCCGTTGCGTAGTAAAGATTTAAGCATACATTGGGTTATAGGGACAGCGAAAGCGACTTTGTTTACTATGTAGTGATTACATACATCCATTTTGAAAATTTCATAAAATGTTATGTCATCTCTACAGAATATGAGCATTTCTTTTAAGCGAGAGTACTTGAAATTTAGAATACGCTATATAATTAAGCCCAATTTTGTATAATAAACACAAAATAACATGCAAATATACATTTAAAGTGTATCTAATAGAACTGGATCACTGCCACAAAATTTAACACAAATTGTTTTATATGTACAATGAACAATGTCTGTATCTTATACCTAAGTATTTATTTTGAGGGAGCGCTATTTTAAAGCATTTGATCATAAATGAGTATGTATTTAATTCCGAATTCATAAGAGTTTTATGATGTTTTATAGCATATGCATTTTATTTTCGACCAAAGGATAATTCCCATATGTTATAAGTTTTAATGTATATCACCTTATATTTAACTTTAAGTTATTACAAAAAAGATGCGACCAAAGCGATTTATTATAAAATTAAAAACTGAATTGATAAAAAAAATATATGTTACATGTTACTAAGTATAATTAGTTGCGGTAAAGACACGATTGTGCACAAGACCTTTATTTCAAAAATTTGTCGTACAATTTCACTTTGTTATCTTGTTTCATCAAACAAGTCTTTATTTATAAGGCTTTATATAATCAAAATTATGTGCAATTAAGTTTTGATTTATATCAATATAAAGACACACATAGAACAATGTTGAGGCCTTAATCCGGAAACATAAGTCAACCTCAGATTAGGTATAGGTATTAATTTTTAATTTAAGAATGATTTCGAAGCTTTATTTTTTGTCACAACTTTTTTCACTTTTTTATGTTTTTTTTTATGAATCTCTGCTAGTTTTATTTTACATTTTAACAAAATGATAATTTTAAGACAACTATTCTTACTGACAAAGAGTATCATTGCAATTTTCGTGATAGTTTTAAGTTATTAATTGTTTTTGAACTCGACACAAGTCCTGGATATTTATATTATTGTCAATTTTTATGTTATTGAGTTGCGGAGAGTCAAAGCAGAGTTGTGTCTGAGGACATTAATTTTAATTATAAAGAATTTTTCTTTCAAATAGGAAACAACATTTTAAATTTTAAATTCGAGGTAAAGTTCAAATTCAATTAATTTTATTTATAGCTATATCTACACGCCTAGTCATTTTCACAATATTTATAATTTCATAGTATTTTTTAATTATTTTATCCATTGTTCATAAATAACAACAATTAAACCGTGTTTTAAGACGTAAGTACATTTACTTCAAATATATTTTTCGTAACTCTGTAACCTGCAATCTTTTAATTTGTGTAAAATGTACTTACATTTTAAAATTGTGTTTATTTAAAAAGACACTTGTGTTAAATGTAATATTCAAGTAAAATAATTTGCACATTTTTATAACTCCATTGAAAAATAATAACATTAGCTTAACTCGCTTTGTGAACATAATGTATCGTTGCATGTCTGGCAGACGAAAGTTAATCCTGGATTTTTTCATAATTCCCGCTTTTTAAGGTTTTTATAAGAATTTACAGTTTGTCTACAGTCGCAAAAATGGATAATGACATATTATCTTAGGTGTGCTTTGAAACAAAACAATACGTAACTGACGTACGTAATATTGCTTATTGGGTGTGGTCAGCGACCTGTAGTATCTCATAAAGCAATACTATGCGGGAACGATAGAGGTCTATATTTATACGTATTGTTTTCTTTCGACACTAAAATAATGTCATTATTAAAAATAATTGTATTTAAAACTGCCGTACTTTTTGTGTCAGACAATATTATATACTCGTAGCCTTTAATATTAATTCAAATAAAAACAAGAGTGCAAATATTTCTTGAACAAAGACTTTCAATCATCAATCATCGATTAAAAAATAGTAACAGAAGTGGATCGAGCAAGAAATAAATCATTATCGAGCGTGAAATTAGTGTAAAGTGTGAGATTCGACCTGACCACAAATGACCATATGGTGTACAATTCAATAGATAGTGTTGTAAATTTACATTTCAGTTATTCTGTAACTCAATCTCGAACTTTATTTTATTACCTTTTAAAATAGGTTTTATTTGATTGGACTTCTATGGTATGACAGTGCTACGTTTGACGTCGAGTTCGAGACTGTTTTAAAAACAGAATAGCACCTGCTTAACACAGAAAGAGGTTAGGAGGATTTCATGTCAGTAGGTAGTAACATTTGCTCATATAATTGTTTTTATTGATGCAGAAGAATCCTTCTGGAACTACTTGCATACACAATACAATAAGTAACTTCGGTAAAATTCGTTCGATCAAGTCACGAGATGACGGTAGAGATATAATTCGTTATGAGTCTTTTTAATGAATGCAAAGTCAATTTAGACCTATTTTGCGCTTGTGGGCCAATATTCTCGACTATGATTTGATTTCTTCTATTTTAACAATTTTAGTAATAAATCATAACTACTGTGAAATCTACTCTGACATCTTTCTGCGGTCAGGCACTGAATCGAAGAAGCGGATATTGTATTATTGAGTAGTATGCAATAAGGCAAGGGAAGTGTAATCTTGTTATTATTAATTAAACTGTTAAACATTCAAAGTCATTAAGAGTGTTGTTTTCTAGTGAATATTAAATGGTGAAATATCAGATATACAATGTTCAATGGTTCCAAGCCTAAAAGTTGTCACGAATAGATCGAATTGAAAAATTTACTACCATTATTTGTTGTATTATGTACAGAAGGCCAAAAACATGGTCTAACACCGGTTGAAGTTTATTTGAACATTATGAAACAATAAGGTCGACTTTTGCAATAGTCTTTTGACAGTGACCATCACATCAAATATCTAGTAATTCAAATAACAGACAATACATTATATTTGAACACATAAACTAGAAAAGTCAACCTTAGATTGAATTGGTAATTCAAAATTTCAAAAAAATATTGTTTGCTTGAATGAATGTATTTAAATGGTCTCCTACGTGAAGTTTGCAGTATTTTGGTGACGCAAAGTGCCATTAAAGTTAAGAAGAAGAAACGATAATTACATATGACAGGAACTTTTGTCAAAACTGGTAGACGACTTTCTTGGTGGGCCTTTTATGTCCACTTGTATATTAGGTGACCTACGTCACGACATTCATAAAGCGCCCGTTTTTTTACTATTTATATGAATCTATACATATTATAAATATCTAAAAGCTCCTTTTGTGTATCCTTATGAGAGGCAATAAATGTTATTATTATTGTATGGACCATTGAACGTATCTAAATTTTAAATTTCGATTGAACAGCCAACAGCACATAGTGGTTATACGAATCTAAAAAAAAATCGGTAAACCTTAGTTTTGCTAAAGGAAGATTTAAAATGGATTATGATTATTTGTTATTTTATACTGTTCTGTTTTAAATGTAATTCTGGCACAGAAGTGTAGCATGTGTGTTGTGTTCATAAGCGCCGTTTATTTCTAAAGACACTTGCCGTCCTGATATTTTATAGATTTCATCTCATACCCACCTTATTTGTTGTAGGTACATTATGTTAGAGCCTGTATTTATTATGTTTTATAAAACGATTTGTAAAATTATACTGGCATTATTTATTTTTTCCTAAAAAAACGCATTAAAAAAATAAAAATAGAAGGCTAGAAATAAAATTTCAAAGGGTACTTTGACATTGTCTACAGGGATTTAGAATAAAAACGCACAAACGACAAATTGAAAAATTTTCATTACAATGTAGTAAAATATTTACAATATTACATAATATCTGTTACTTTTATACACCGCATATATTTTAGTATAGATAGCTGCCAATACATCAATTATATATTCGAATGTCAAGCGTAGTTTCAGTATTATAACTTCCTCAGCTTTGCACAATTAAAAAAATAAAATAAGGATATATAGGAAGCATCAAGGTATATATTTCTTATATTTTATCTCGCGTGAACTTCAGATATTCTGTTATCCCAGTAATATACAGTTACACAAACGTCTATTAAGTTTGTCACTAGTTTAAAGCTTTTAACATTTGTGAAACTGTGTTAGGGTCGGTGCATATCTGACGAGTGTGCAAATTTAAATATAATTTTGTATTAGCAAGTTCCGCGACAGATAATGCAGGAGTTGACAATATTTCAGAACTTATTCTAAATTTATTTATGGATCAAAATATACCCATATTTTTTTACTTTCTCTGATTCAACTTTAAATGCAATACGTGATTTCTCAATAACGTGTAAGTGAGATGCAAAAACACGTGTATGTGATCTGTGACGTCATTGTTTAAAAATTACAGATAACTACTGTTGGGTCATATAAAGCCACATTTGTCATTTTTCAATCTGAAATCGATAAAGAGGTCTCCTGTTAAAATTTTTCGATTATTACATCGAATTATTATGATTTTCAAACAAATGTAAATCGAATGTGTGTGTCGCAGTTGTTGTACAAAAATATCAATTATATTCGCGAGATTAACATTTTGTAATGTCAATCTCGCGAATTCTGACTTAAAAATAATTTCGAACAATAGAAACAATCACGAATAACAATATGATACATAAAGTTATTTTGCACTACTACATACATCAGACTGTGTAATGCATAGGAATCAAATACAAAACCTCAAATTAAAACACTGCAATTATCTATGGATCGCCCACGGCAAATACATAGGGACAGAGGATTTTGAATTGCATTTCAAAACCGGTTTATTTAATTACTCGAACTATACATATTACGATTGTTATCAACTGCTGCATAATTCCATCGGCTACAAAGTGACTTCCATATTTATAAATATATCATATAAAAACATCATTACTACAAGAAATGGAAAAAAAATCAAAATTCTATGTGGAGAAGACTTAGTTTTGACCACTGCCCCCTTTTTGGACATTCAAGGCATTCTGACTAACGCATAGACAAATACATTACGTTGCTGTAAATGGTCTTATAATTTTGGAGTATAGCAAAACCGTTGACTGCTATGATGTGTCAATGTTAACTTTTCTGCGTTTAAAAATGACCAAAACCAGCTCATAATTTTAAACGGTCAAAACCAGGCTATCTTCATCGTTCTACAGTTTTTTATAAATTCACGTTTTGGGTGTGATAGAGTTCTTACAAATATGTTAGTAACCAAAATTTAAAATTTCGTTCTTTTTCGTGCTTCAGAAGTCACGACAAATTGCAGCTCAGCTCCACATATTTATTTTTTATCACTTTTGCACTGACATTGCTATATTCTAATATTTTGTAAGTAATTTTTATAAATTTATTTTTAGTTATTACTTGTATTTATATTATCATTAATAATATAGGATTAAACGACCACACTGCTATCAAATCCTCGTGCTTTAAAATTCGTTCGTTGTAAATAAAGACTGAAAATAGTACAATTAAACGAAATATCAGTATAACACCGCCAAAATTGTGTATCCTATGGCCAGAATCCGATCCGACCGAAGCGTTCGCACCCCTTATATGATCGGTTCAAATCGGTTTGATGATTACGATTTGATATGTCTATTGTCAATGTTGTCATAGAAATAAAATCCTGTGCTGTCATTTTGAACAGTGAGGTGATAGTTTCTAGTACCCTTTATTCAATCTTCTCTATGGTTTCTAGTGTCGTTGTAGTCACAAGATCGCAGACTAAAAATCATAATTCCTGAGAAAATTATTTAAAACAAAAATATTATTTAGATTTTGTAACACTAAAACTTTGCGATTACATCACATATATTTTATGGTCCTCGTCGCTTGCAGCTCGCTCTTCTACTAGACATAATATCGATTGTTTGATCGAGAGGTGACCGTTACTCGTGTCTCCCCGTGAGTGCTTAATTGAACTATAAGCGATGCTAAGAAAATAAGGAATACAAAATGCAAAAGTAATTCTGTCTGCCTGTGACTTGGTTACGCTAACATTCTTTGAACTTTATTTAGATGGTATAAACTTTATATTAAAACATCACTAAAATGTACTCAAACGGTTTATCATTTTATTATGACTAAGAATAGGAACTTATTTGTTGTTACTGGCCGAATGCTCACAATAATTTTGCATCATCAAAAGTATCTTACGAGTTTTGATTAAAAAATTTAACATCAATACGGTGGGATTGTAAAATCTAATTCGAGTAAATACAATAACCATTTTAAGACTTTTGTTATTGCCATAGGGTTATTTTTACCTACATTAATCTAGTTGCGGTGAAATATTAACAAGACACCATACATTGGTACGCAAAGTCATGCAATTGTTTATAAGGCAGTTTGGATTTGTGGTTTTGATTATGAAAACGTCTATGCTGTAAATATATTCATATCAATAGCTGTTACATTCATTAGGAGATCAAAAGCTCTTTTTCAAAAGTCAAGGAATAAAACATCATCAGTGTTATTACAAAAGGGACGTTAAACAGTGTTTTACCATGTGTTTATCTAAGCTGTGTTTAAGAATATAAACCCTGTTTAAAATTATGTCTAATTTTCCCTATTACAAATTCATTTTTAAACATTGTCTAAGTAAAGAAACATTCGTACTACTGGCTTTCATTCGTTCATACACGTTCACTTCTATGCACGCTGTATACAAACTTATAATAAATTTTAGACGTAATAAGATATCTTTTAAACACACTAGTTAATAATTTTTGTAAATGAAAATATTTAATCTAAAATTATCATTTTTAACTTAAATTCCAAGACATAATTCTTATCAAAGTCAAAACTATAGTGAAATATTGTGAAAGGTAAGATACTCCATAAACAACATATCATGTGTCAACATGAGATGTGTTTAAATTTTAAACAATGTTTAAGGGTTGTTTTGCCTTAACCAATGCTCAAATAGAACAATTTATAAACACGTGTTCAACGCGTGTTTATCTTTTTTGTAATAACACTGCATGACTCTTTTGATGTATACGCTCAGGCAAGCTCGTTACGAAAGTAAACCTTATATAGAAACTAAAATATAAAAAGAGACTAATAAAAGATCTTAAAAAACTGAACACTAATACTTAGCTACAAGACGGTTATTATATTCAAGAGACTTCTATAAAAGTCACGCAATCAATATTAATAAATCTAATACAAAAGTTCGCATTTGGATTTCCTTTCATAGGTGTACAATAAAACAACTAATATGGCTTGTCGATTTACGAACTGCTCGTCAAATTTCTCCACTCTACTTTAGATATACGGTAGAGTTGAAAATCGTATGAGGAAATTGTATATATCCTGGTAGCCTTGTTTTTCAAGAAAATTGGCAGCAAATTTCGAAGCGCGACAAATGTTGGCTAATCAGAATAATTCAAATAGTGCCCCACCTAGGGTATGTTAATCCTATATCTCGGCAGTATGCCCGAGAGCTCCTTTCATACTACTCTTTGAAATGCTTCACTTCTAGATCTACAAAACTGCAGAAAACCTTTCGGTGTAAAGCCATAACTTCTCTAAGAACTAACGGAACGAGAAAAATATATCCGTGCATCCTATTCCATTTCTGAATCCTACCTGTGCTTCCCTCACCACTCATTCTCATTTCAAGTATTTTTCCATACACTTTTAAAAATAAATAATTTTGAAGTTTCGACAATTGCTCCGGCCAGTTTTTAATCCTTTAATATTAACCTGATTAACATATTGGATTATTCAATATCGGAACTTGAGTTCCGAGATTTTGATATTACGAGATTCATGTCACACCGGCCGATAGTGACTGAGACAGTTATACGGTTTGTTGTATTTTTACACCCTGTGTCTATTACAACGAGAGTGGTCATAAACTTACATTACTTATATCTTTCATAATCGGAATTGTTACTATTAATTTGCTCAAAACGGAGTTTCCGTTACGCGATATTTCTTAGTTTTTACTGTACACCTATTTGAATATTTCAAGCAATTAGCCTAACTTAATAACTATGAACACATCTAATAACAAATGTGTTTCCCACATCTATTATGGGTTAACATCGGTTCTTATGTTTATCTTACCAAGCAATAACATTACGTAATCGGTTTGTGATAATCGCAAATCGTACATACTCAGCACAATGGTAAAACATATCAAAATCTTAGGGTAGTTTGAGAAAATTTCTAAGCTTATAATAAACATAGACAGAAATGGCGATAATGTTATCTAATCTAACCATCACTACTTAATTAATTCCACTAAATAAAATCTATTAGGATTCCAATAGGTTTTAAACGATACAAAAGCAGAAGCTGAAACGAGATGGAACTATTTCGTATGCATAGCGATATCTCCAATATGCACCCGCTCCTGTTTTTTTTTTTTGTTATGAAACACGAACTGGTCCAGATTCCATATATTATGAGATAAATTTAATCACCGATTGTAATAATAAGATACAATAGATGGCTAAGGCAACTACATTGTGAAAGGTTCTCATAAAATCTAACTCAGGTTAGTCAGTTTTGTCATTGCAATTTTATCTTGAGCAATTTATTACTTCAAACGTACATATAATCACATTCTCGTCCCAAAAGGGTCGAGTAGAACTTTTAATAATAATAATTTTACTTTATTTTCCTCACAAATACAATGACGAGGCTACATGATTATCGACTTAATACAAAAACAATATCAATTTCATGGTTAATATAAATATAACATAAGCTTACAAAGAACACATCATATATCAATCCACTTATTATATTTGAACAATTTTTCATTCACAAGTTTTCTTTCGATCCGGATCCAAACACTGTGCCAAACCTAGGCAAATTCCAAGAGCTAATCGTGACACCCATATGTTATAATATGCCTCCCTACCCGCCTCCTCTAGCTACGTTATGGCTACTTGTTTTCTGGAAAGGGATAGAGCTATAGAAAAAATCCGTAGAATGCACATATTCTATTAGACTACTATCGACTTGTGTTTCTTGTAAGAAAACATAATTCTAATTTCTTAATCTTTTTCATAAAGCTTATCAGGTGGCTACATTCTCTCGTAGACTAACACACAATAAATTCATACACCAAAATTGTATATTACCACGTTCAGTCTTAGTTCAGTTATCGCAGATGGCGAGATTTTTTTCTTTTTGGATACGAAAAAATTTTGACAGCCTTTGTTTCTGCACCTCGTTGTACTTTTTTTTTGAGTACCTCACTTGTTCTAACAGTTTCTGGACGGCCTTGTTGTTAGGGGATACTTGCTCCGCTTGCTTGAGATCTGAGAGCGCTGCGTCGTAGTTTTTAAGGGCGAAATTCGCTTGCCCCCTCCTGTATAAAGCCTTCTCGTTGCGGCTGTCGTTTTCTAATACCTGAATATTGAGAATAAAATAGACAGTTTAACTATTTGTATGGCTACTGGCTACTAGACAGTTTTAACAATAAATTATAAAATATGATGGAAATGATAACGTCATATACGTTATTGCACAATAACTAAATAATACTTTTTAAAGAGATTGTAAGTATATATATATTTTTTAATAATCTCGCGCTTTGTAATCTGTAGATTACAAAAACCGAAACGCGGGCGGACATGATAGTGCATAGTGTGACGTCACATTTCAATAAACTAAGCGTCATCGTATTTGTTGCGACTGCAACCAGTACTTATGTTTATTGAAATGAGACGTCACGACTCAAAATATCACGTGACTGATTGCTTCCGCGGGATGATTTTTATGACATTTGGTATACTTATAATTCTTGGGCTAGTCTAAGATATAGACTACTTTTTATCCCACTACAAACTAATTTCCTTGGGGATAAAAGTACCATCAAGTTAACACGTGGGCAAACATCTACGGATTCCGCCTGCCGACTCCCTCTGCCCACTAAACTACATTGTAAATGAAAACGAGAGTTTAAACCTAGGTAACAGAGTGGTTCGCACACCGGTTTCAAGGTGTCGGTTGCAATCTTTGAGGTCCCGGGTTCGATTCCCGGTTGGGTCAATTGAGAAAATGAACTTTTCGCTATTGTACCATCGTTGTCTCAGATATTCCATAAAACGGGGGCTTTAGCTACTCATTGTGGAGTCTGGGCAATGTATGTGATGTTTTCTTATATTTAATTTATTTATGTAAAATGATAAAATCTGACCTCTGTGCAAGCCTTCACGCATAAACTATAATTCTCCAACTTCACGAAGCACGCTGCCAAGTTCAAGTGACAGTTCTGAGTGTGAGAGGCCATAATTTCGCTGTCTGAAAAAAAAACAATTGCTTATTTACAATCATAACAATTGCAATCTCGATCGCAATAGCGCGTTTAAATTAGCACGCTGCTCAATTCAGAAAATGATTTTATATTTATTGTATTGGGTCTGTGTAATGTGATAACTTCGTTGTTTCTTATGTTCCAAGATACAAGCTATGTACTTATTTTGGAATCTGAGCTATGTATGGGATGTCATTTGGCAAATATAAAACATGCGTTGAAATTTATTCAGTATGATATTACAATAAAAAAATATATACATCGCCGTCGATAATATAACGTCGTCCTTTTGTATTTTGAAGGCGGTTAAAAAGGCTAGATAGGATACTTGCGTTCGAAAAGTGTCACCATAAAACTAAGCTAACAGGGATGACGACTGGGTAAAAAAAAGGAATTCTAATTAGTCCGTGTACAAGTTTATTTAAAAAAATAAGTACCACAACTAGTCACTGCTAGATACCGGTCAATTCATAAACATACTATAAAATCAAAAACTTTCATTGACCTTAAGCTTCTATGCCATCAGATTCTGGTATACTATGTACCTTATTTAGGCTGGCGACATAAATATATGTTTCAAAATTCACATCCGTAACCTTTTATTTATCCATCAGTCGTAATAAAATAACGATATTGACTAAAACACTATGCTTTCCTGAAATCGATTGCATCATAATATATTATACATGTAAAGGACACGGAGCCACGCCGCGACAACAGCGCCACCAACGGAGAAACAAATAAAACTTCCCCTCCCCGCGCGGTGCGGGGTAGCGTACCCCCACTCTAAGGAATCTTATTAGACTAACTGATTTATGTATGAGCTAAGTGCGATCAATGAAATTGTATAAAAGAAATCGATTTCGTGCAATAATGCATATTCTGCCTTCGAACGTTCTCCGAGTTTCTCCGAACCAAATGTTTTACTCGACACCCCTGCTACCTGTCCGCCTTCATATCCAGCTACAGTCTATCTGCTACAATACATTTACAGTGCATACAGTGTCTTCTGAAAATTACTGCGACCAATACCAATACGGTTCGCAACCCGATTTTGAGAAATACTGTTATAGATTAATTGACGACGCCCCAAGCAAGCGTCTTCTGGTTCTTGTGATCAATACTGATATTATAATGAGGTAAAGTTTCTACCTTTGTTTGTTTGTAGGAATCTTCATAAGTACTGATCTGATCATGAACATTCATTTAACTCTGGAAAGTTACATCACTCGCGGGTGACGTAGGCTATAGTTTACTCCGCGAAGTCGCGAGAAAACAGCTATCAAGTCATCTGATCTGATCTGATAGAATGGTTTTAAAGGGAGCGTAGAAAGCAACGGAAGTATTGATAGATAACTGCCTCCTTGTTAAGTGACTATTGTACTGAGGTCCATGGGTTTAATAAACATCCTCATGTGCTCCTGCACGCAATCAAAAATATCACTTAATTAAATATACGGTAGAGTAATGAACGCCTCAATTCAAGTACATACTTCATACCCCTTTTATTACGAGGCAGCATCACATACATACTACGATTCCAACATGAGTAGCTAACATGAGTATTATGGTGTATAGTAGCCAGTGATGGTACCGCAACAACCAGCCCTGTATAGAACGAACTTATTAGTACTCACATGCGTTTTGTTGAGTGTCATCCTTCAATTCATTTATTAGTTCTTGCACGTAGTTTATATACCGCAGACATTTCCTATACTTGCGCACAGCCGCTTTGTATCTACTCTTGCTGAAGAGAATATTCCCGATACACTTCACTTCCATTATACTTGATACTAGTCGATCTAACTGTAAATATTTCATGTACATATTTATATGCAATATTTAAGTGTCAAATTTATGAAACTAACTTTTTTGGTGCATTTGATTCGTTAACAGATAGTTTTGTATCTATCGGGGTAGTTTTTCAGTTTTGTATAAACTTATGAATGAATTTATTATTCCAATATTACAATAATTCAGTATAAATAAAAATAGGTAAAAGGCAGCACTACATAAGTTATGCCATAGCAGAAGGAGATAGATTTTGGGAGTTGGGATTTTCCCCTTCCGGTTGGGAGCCCGTGGCATTTTGCCCGACATGCACCCTGTTAATTCAGTTTACTAATACTAAAACTAACCGGCAGTGGTTCCAGATGGAGCAAGTCGCTAGGATGTTCAGGAAGACGATCGTCGCGCGCCCCCAGTTCCCACGACCCCACCACTTCACCACAATCAGCGATCACACATTCCTAATTAAACAAACAAATATTACACAATCAAAGCATTTTCAGTCTAGGCTGTATGAAAATAAAATTATCGTCACCCTAATAGGAAACGTGCGTCAAACTTATCAACTTTGATGTTGAGTTTACAAAGCCTCGCTCAAAAACTACAAGTTCTAGGATTGCGCTGACCGACCCTGATTGAGCTACTAATAGTTGATCTGTCAGCCTGACACATCATTCAGGCCTTCATTTTGACAGATCAGGTCAGGGCTTTAGTTACGCAGTAAAGAGCCGCACCGCAATGAATAAGGGACTAATTCATTTGTCCAGTTTTATTCTCTTTTCCGTAAAAACTTAGGGAATAATTATATTTATTAATTTCGATTCGCCTTTTGCTGTCTGTCTGTCAGCCGCTTACAGCTAGTTCTGCTTCTATCAGCCGCATACACATTTGGAATCATTTATCTGTTTGAAAACAAAATAGATGCGGAAAGCTGGTCAGACAAGTACGCGTCTGCACGCAAAATCACTGTTTTCACTATGGACGAAAGCTAGATAGAGCTGAATAAATGTTATAGTCCCAAAATCTCTAACATTATGAAACGTGTACCTACCACAAGAAGCCTGCCGTCTTTGCTGCAGTATTGCATTTCCTCGACAATTGCCATGCCAGCCAACACTTTGCCAAACACCACATTGGTTCCATCTAGTTGTGGGCATGGCACCGTCGTGATACAGAACTGAGAAGCGTTAGTATGTGGCCTCCCTTTATTAGCCATGCTTACAACTCCAGCATCATGCTGTAAACAAACAAATCAAAATAAAGTCAAAGAGACAAAAAGTCTTTATAAAAATAAGCTTTGAAATTACGAGGGTTAATATCTGAAGATTCTTTTAACTTTATATATATATAGATCAATATTATATGTTTTTTTGTTGGTATATTTCGATGTTGGGTGGATATATCAATATCCAATATAAGTTGTAAATTGTCCAATATTCAGCCAGTTGCACAAACGTCCAATAAAATTGTCATCAGTTTAAAGCGACATTACCCATACAAATTTGACATTCATTAGAGCTTAAATTCATCCTTAAACCTTAATGGACGTTTGTACAACTGACCGATTGTCTCCTATTACTCTTTCAAGGTATCTTTTGGCTGACATGAAACGAGGTCTCTTAATGAGATATTCTTTGATAGGATACTTTTTAGCACATTTCATAGTATCAATGGCTTTGTGTTTGAAATGATTATTAATTTCTAACCTAGTTTCCAAAATAGGTATTCTATCAGCACGGCATTTAAATTCACGCGAGACAAACAAGGATGAAAACAAAATACCTCAGAGATGGAAAACACCTCACAAATCACATATTAACCACCGAGTCATAGATAGTTTAGTTTACAACTACAAATGTTGTTTACAAAACTGATATAACTGCCAAGCAGTGGAAAGTTCACAAAAAAAATTTAGATTGTAATGTAAATGTTATTCTATAAATTCAGTATCAGTAGTAATAATTGTTAAATTATCTTACATTAGTCAATAAAAATTTACAAACAAATTTTATCTAAATACCTAATAGTTACCTTTTAATTACATGCTATCATTACGACCTTTGTGTCAGAGTGTCTAATATGTGTTTCGAGATTTCGTTCATCTCTGAGGTCCTGGATTTGATTCCTGGTCAGGTCAATGTAGAAAATGGTCTTTTCTATATTTTCTAATGTCCAGATGTTGCATTATCTTAAATGTTTGAATTTCTCATAATACGAGTGCTTTTGCTATCTAATTTAGGATATGAGCAAATGTATGTGATGTTGCCTAATATTTTTTATATACAGTGGTAGCCATATATTTAATAACGCTCCTTTGAAAATAGTACATTTACTTTTAAAAATCATATAGCTTGTTGCACATATTCTTTTTTTATTATTGTGGTAGGTACTCCAAAATTATTCTATATTGTTGGTACTTCCTTTTATAAATAAGATTTAATAAACCACGAATAAAAAAAGTATAAATTACGCAAACATAAAATCTAATTTAAGAATTACTTCTTACTGGCTGGTCATATAATTAAGAACGCAAATTATTAATTTTCTTATTCATATTCAAACAAAGAACACTCTATGATTATACTATTTTCTCATGCAACTGGCGCAATTTATTAGTGTAAACACAATTGAAACGTAATTTTTCAAAATAATAATGGGCAAAATAAAAGTTGGGACAAAACTACAAGGAAGATTATTTTAAAACTTTGGGAGAATAATTAGTCTTATAAAAAAATAGCTGACCATATGTTTGAAAACATTTTAAAACTTATAACAGTCCTTTAAATTTGCCACGCATGCCACGATCGAGAAAAAACATCTCTTGGAGACGACAGAAACATCATTCGTTTGGCGAAATTAAATCCTTTCAAAGGGTTTAACGAGATACGAAAGGAATATTTTGGCGAAGGAAACTCCTCTGCGATCTCGGCACGCACTATTCGAAGGCGTTTTTTTAGAAGAAAAGTTCTACGGAAGAATAGCAAGAATGGTACATAGGTACCATTATAGGCATAGGTAGCATAGGCTAAAACAGTGCCATAGGCATGAAACCTGGACAGTTAAACAGTAGTCACATGTATTTTTTTTTCAGACGAAACGAAAATAGAGTATGCTCTGATTCCATCAGATCACACTCTATTTTACGTAGGCGATACGTACGTCGCCCCTCTATTAAGGCATTTGTCCCTAAGTTTACTAAGGTGACTTTAAAACAAGGTGGTGGCAACTTGAAAATTTGAGGTTGCTTCTCTGGTCATGGAATTGGGTCTATTAGGCCTATAGAAAGAAACATATAACAAGCTCAATACAAAAATATAATGGAAGAAACAATGTTATCCTATGCTGAAGACATTCTTCCAATTATTTGGAAATTTCAGCATTATAATGATCCAAAACATACAGCCCGCTCGGTAAAGGAATTTCACTCATAATCCATTTCCGTCTTAGACTGGCCCTGATTTAAACCCAATAGAACATCTTTAGTGTGAAGTTAAAAAAAAGGGTAGGAAATCAACTGTGTGGTCATTTAAGGGAATTATACTACATTTTCTCAGAAGAATCGAATTCTACATCTCATGCAAAATGTAAAAAACTAATTAAGTCAATGCCTCGTCAGTGTAAACCAGTCATTAAGAGTTGTGGACATGCAACCAAATATTAACTTTACCTTAAAATATGTTTTATTTATTTTTAATGTACATTTTTTTATATTATAACAATACAATTACTCTGTATTTTATTTTAAACATTTTCCCAACAGTTTAATAGTATTGTTTCTAATTATTTTTCCAGCTTCACTATCATATACTACAATACTGTCCATAGTAAATATACTTTTACAAAAGAAAGTTACTCATTTTATTTGTCCATCCTAGTTTAGTTTATCTTAAATAGCTGGCTCGTTGAATATGTAAGTGAAAACTTACAAAATGTTTTTTTTTTTTTAAATAGGACAAGTTTAATTTAAAACATTATATAACTACAAATCATTCTTAATTATATGGCCACCACTGTATATTTACCTTCAATATGAAATTTTCATCTTCAAATGTTGGTCCATAAATACTTTCGCCTCCTGTTCCATCACCATTTAATATATCTCCAGTTTGTACCATAAATTGTGGAACAGCTGCAACAAGTTGAAACATGTAAAAAAATATATTTCACTCTTTTATGTGCACAATTGTTACCTGATAAGACAAGCCATCAGTTGCACAAACATCCATTATGGTTTAATGATGGTTTTAAGCTCTAATGAATAACAAATTTGTTTTAATCAACATTTACAAAACTTACCCCTGTAATTGCAGAGAGTATGCATTTTTATACTTTAAGCATCAAAATTCAAGATAAAATTAGAATCCTAACTAAATCATTTAAATTTCAACATGTGACAGTGCCTCACAGATATATCAAGTTATCAAATAAATAATGTATTTTGTGATCATTGAGTTTAATTTAAAAGTTTTTACAATGAGCATATATCATTGCCAGTTAAAACTTTCCAGTACAACAACATTCTCAAACACAAAGAACAAACCAAACAATACCTAACAAAGTAAACTGATTCATTTTAATATTACATAAATGATTCAAGCCTGATTTGAATGTTGCGATAAAGATTAGAATATTTATTTTGATCAATATTCTTGTCTGAAGTGAAAAAATTTACCTTGTTTAATACAGTCAAGTGACAATTGATATAAAAATAAAATCTTATTATTTTTATATAATTGGCTATGTTATTACAATAAATTATGCAGATGGTAATTACAGAGCATTGTGTTATTTCAATAAACTAAACACAAGTCTTTATTGTGACTGCAACTAGTAAAGTATTTATTAAAATGCTGATTGTTTTTGCAAGACAATTTAAACTAAATAACAAAAATATGGAGAAAAATAAATTTGATAGTTGATAATATGATGACTTCATATTTAAATTTTAAAAATATTTTTCTCAAAATAATCAAGTAGTACATTGTTTCTAAGAAATTATTATTATTTGTAAACATTATTACATGAAATTACATCTTCACTACTTATTCTTTTTATGTATGTACATACTCAAGTTAAGTAAATGATTTAATTTTGTTACTTGGAATATTTTAAATAATTATTCTACTAACCTCTGTGAAATCTAACACCCTTGAAATGCAATGGTTTACCGTTTGGTGATACACCTTTCTCACCAGTACACAAAGCTCTGAAGTTTTCTGCAGTTTTTGGCACTAAATCACTTCTTAATTCTATTATAATTCTACCAGCTGGAAAAAATAAGTAATACGTAAAACAAATCGCTTTAGCTTTATCTTTCATTTTCAATGTATGTAATGCCTAGTATAAGAGAATTTTTAGATGTTATAAAACTAAACAATTTAAGGATGGTTTCGGAGATTCTGATATTGGAACATTAAACTAGGTATATATAAAAATAAAAGTTTGTGTAAGGGTTATTGATTGAAGAATTAAATTTGTATGAAAGATGATTCTCTCACCACTTTCTCCATCGATAGTAATATCTAAAAAAACTAAAGGATTCCTTTGTTGTGAACAGTGACCTGGTATCATTTTAATCAACATTGGTAAATACTGTATACACTGCTTAGCAATTAAAGAATTATTAACACAAAGATGTGTTTTAGCTCATCACAATAAGGAAATACTACATTTCTAAATATGAAATCTAATATTGTTTTCAAAACTAACTAAGCTCCAAAAACATGGCATGGATAATTCCAGGGTCTATACTATATAAGTTACTTTATGGATAATTCTCTTCCATTGTCTGTGGCACGGATGGATAGGATATTATTTTCTTTACGGATAAAATATCTACTCTTTGGATAACCTTCTAAAACTAAATAGGGATGTATATTTGCCAGTCGATGATAAGAAAAAATAAATATATATTTTTTTTTTGCCATTTCGACCACCATTGCTGAGTGGCTCACCAGCAGTTGTCATATAATGTAAAAAAAAATTTACTTAAAAATAACCTTAAGTGTAATACCTTAAGTATTACACTTAAGGTTATTTTTAAATGGTTAAGTAAATTTTTTTCTGCTTCCTTTCCTTTTTATGTCGTTATCATGGCCGGCTATGCAAAACTTATAAATTAATAATTTAATGTATGAACACTTGTAGGACTTATATTTTGATAAACAAATGTTTGTACCAGTCAACATAATGATCGTTATTATTAGTAGCCTCCCTCTTCGCTAACTAGTCATGTCTCGACATGTCATTCCCGATCAGTTAATATAGAAAATTTACTTTTCTACGTTGTTTTGAGTTTGGGTGTTTTGCAACCTTCGTTGTTCCAGTTTATCATAATAATCACAAGCCTATTAACATCTCCACTGGTTAATCTCAGGTCTTCTCTATGCAGAATAAGCAGAAAGGACCATGACTTACCATCCAGTACGGATTGGTGGGTATTTACGATAAATGTCGAGTCCTTACAGCAGTCCTCTATGAAAAGAAAATGCCAAAACCAAACTAAAGAAAATCTCTTCATAACCACAGTATAGAGTACTCTTTGACATTAAAAACTATCTTGTTAAGTTTATAGTTTTTACTTTGATAACGTAGTGTTTAATAATCTCTTTGAGTTTTTTTCTTGATTTTGTCAATAAAATTGAATTTTTGTTTTGGTTTTATAAATAGCTTTTTTCATTAAATTCGGACCTTTAAATGGTTATGGGCTTGTCCCACTCGAACTATAATTTTTACTGGATGGTATGGAATTAAGATTGCAAAACTTGAAAATACGAGTACTAACTCCTAACTATTGACACGGAATACTAACAATTGGATACCATAGATATACAGCATGTCTGTAGTTCTTCGAGGTATGGAATGCATTATGGATATTGTTGAGGATAAAGTACAAAAGTCTGAACAAACAACCGCTGCTGGTGGTGAGATGATTGAAGAGTAACTTAGGTGAATTCAGACAATCTGTCGAAGCTCTCAAACAGTAAAACCAAAAGGATCGGTACGCGCCAAGAAAGAATCAAACGGAGGTTCTAAAGTCAAATCAAAAGAAAAGGTTTGTAGTAACACCAGTTCATCTAAATGTTACTACGAGTATTAATATGAATATTTTTTGCAGCCTTGTAAAGGGTAGCCTCGATCGTGGATCTTGGTACGAAGACAATGGTGCTACTTAACATGTTACGATGCGTAAAGGCTTTTTTATGATTTCATACATTGTACAGGGAATGGTGTCGTAGTTGAATCTATAGGAAAAGACTCATTAGGAATGAAATTTTTGGTTTGTTGTATAGCTTTCAAGTATAGCTAGAAAATTATTTTCGATGTTGGCGGCAGATAATAAGAATCCCAACAGCCTATTTCAGTCAAAGGTCACTTCATGCATGATGGAAATCAACAGAAAGGTTGTTGTGGTAGGACGAAGACAGATATTTGGTAGACTTTATAAACTGAAGTGTTTGGCGGTGCAATCTAAAGCAAATGCTTTGTGACTGCTGTGGATACATCATCAAGATAAGCTAGTAAAAAGTTTGATCTAGAGAAAATTAGATACTAAACTTAAAGATAAGAGAAAATTGTGTGAAGGCTGTATATTCGGTAAACAAAATCAGCGACAGTTTGGCACCATAAGGGTGAAATCGGCAGGTGAAATATTACATGCTGTTTGTGGTCTGTTTCCTCCATCTCTATCTAAACACAGATATTTTCTATTCTTTAAATATGACTATTCGAAATTCTCTATTTATTTCTTAAAGCAGAAATCTGTAGTCGCAGAGAAGTTAAAGGAAATGCTTGCTTTAATTAAGACTCATGGTCACATTGTCAAGGAATTATTGACCGATAAAGGACGGGACTTCATTATTAAAAAATTTGAAGACGTTTTAAAAAAAGAGGGTATTAAACATAGACTTACATTTCCAAATACACCTGAGCAAAACGGTTGCTGTGAAAGAGACAATCGTACAACTATCGAAATGGCTCAAAGAATGACACACGCACGTGAAGATTTTCTCGAGCATTGTGGGCTAAGTTGTTCGAAATTTGGAGTAGAAATTTGGTTAAGGAAAATACCTCGAATCAAACTCAAATGTTTGATTATAGGATCAGTGGGTTATGTGCATATTTCTAAAGATAAAGAAGAAATTACATAAAAAAATCAGAAGTGCCTTTTAATAGATCACGATAATGACGATGGATACCGACTTTGGCACAGAGAAACTAATGATGATGATTTTTGCAGGAAACGAATGGACCAAAGACAGTCATTTCCGTTCCATTTAACTAACATATTAAAAAACAGAAATAAGAAAAGTTCGAACCTTAGATATCAATACAAATAAGAAAAAGTACAAATAGAATATGATTTGTTTACTGAGTTTTCAAAACTAATTTACTTTTAAACATGAAAGAAAACCGGAAGGGTTGTCATGGAGAAATCAAGAACGTACGTAACGTTTATAGTGACATCTAGTTTGTTTACGGGAATTAATTTTTTTTTAATACTTCCTAATTCTGTAGTTAGATCAAGAGATGTACCGTTTGATGAGAAATTAAATATTTTCGAAATCAAAGATAAAAGGAAAAAGTCCTTGATGACAGAGGATGAGACAGAAATTCAGCTAAGGATGAAGTCTGAAACCAGAGAATAAATTTCAGTGGAGGATGGTCAAAGAATAGGCAATATTGAACCTAGAACTGCTACTGAAACCTGAGAAGAAACCAACGATCAAATAATGAATAATATCGAACCTGAAACAGAGAAGAAAATTCAGTTAAGAATAATCACGAAATAGTTGATGATTGATTTTGTATCTGAACTGAACCTGATTTTATGATATTTATGAGGAAGGTGACTTTTATGACTCAATTTCGAATAACGAATATAATGACACTGTAGAAAGATTGGCGAATGAACAATCTCACAAGGTATTAAGAAATCGTACTGTCCACAGACGACCTAAACTATTCGAAGATTTTGTCATGAATATCGAACCTGTTACATAGAGGCCACCCTTTGTTGTGATAAAGAATTAAAGAAAGAAGCAATGGCCAGTGAAATTGAGTTATATGTTTTACAATAGACAGACAAGCAATTTCATGTAAGTGGCTATTGTCGAGTAGCTTATTGAAACCAGGCTAAGATAGTATGAACATGTAATGCAAATGTTCATTCATATGTTTTCAATGATAACCTTATTCCAATAATAACCTGCATAATTTACAAAAACAAATCCTGTTTGATTTTAGTCTTTTATTGAATAATATTCAATTTAGTTTTTTTCACAAAACCAAAAAGAAACTAATTAAGGTTCTTCTTCTTAACTTTAATGGCACTTCGCGTCACCAGAATACTGCCAACTTCACGTAGGAGACCATTACACGATTTAAAATACATTCATTTAACCAAACAATTTTGAATTACCAATTCTATCTTTCTACGTGAATTTACCAAAAACAACACATTAAACTATTTTAATACGTTATTTAAGGTATAATTTTATATAAACAGTCATTTAATCGTAATCATTTTGAGTCTTACCACAAAACGTTTTTAAATTAACTAATTGTGATAAAGTAAGTGAACGAAAAATAACACCATTGACGTTAAAGTTTTAGTTGATTAAAGTTTAATCGTATGAAATTCATTTAAATGTGTACATCACTAAAATACGTCATTTTAATCCAAAGAGAAGAAATTAAACGTATTTACTTTACTCTTTGACTTGATCATTTCAATATGGCAGATGGTAGCTTACGTACGATTTTCAAGATAAAATACATTAATTAATTTTCCTAATAGAAATTAATTTATAAGTCACGGTAAGGATTACGATGGTGATAACAGTTATACAAAGGTCACGTTACACACAGTAAAAACGTACCTACTTATGTCTTACTTATTTCACCATAACTTGATCAGCTCGCGATCTTCATAAGTATTCAACTGATTTACATTTCATTCTTTATGTATTTTCAGCTTCAAAATGTCTTCTTCAGCAATATACATCTTAGATGTCAAAGGTAAAGTCCTTATTTCAAGGAATTATCGTGGCGACGTTGATATGGGTGTCATTGATAAATTCATGCCTTTACTCATGGAAAAAGAGGAAGAGGGTATGTTAACTCCTCTATTACAAACTAGTGAGTGTACATTTTCTTATATCAAAACCAACAACTTGTATATAGTATCAACTACAAAGAAGAATGCCAATATTGCACTTGTATTTGTATTCTTGTACAAAATTGTTGAAGTTATGACGGAATACTTCAAAGAGCTTGAAGAAGAAAGTATTCGTGATAATTTTGTTGTAATTTACGAGCTTTTAGATGAACTTATTGACTTTGGATATCCACAAACAACTGATAGTAAGATTCTCCAGGAATACATTACTCAGGAAGGTCATAAGTTAGAAATGCAACCTCGAATACCCATGGCAGTCACAAATGCTGTATCATGGCGCTCTGAGGGTATCAAATATAGAAAAAACGAAGTATTTCTGGATGTTATTGAATCAGTTAATTTATTGGCTAATTCAAATGGCAATGTTCTTAGAAGTGAAATTGTTGGTGCAATAAAAATGAGAGTATACCTGTCTGGCATGCCTGAATTGCGACTTGGCTTAAATGACAAAGTCCTCTTTGAAAGTACAGGTAGAGGAAAATCTAAATCTGTTGAGTTAGAGGATGTTAAGTTTCACCAATGTGTTCGGTTGTCTCGTTTTGAGAATGACAGGACGATCTCTTTCATTCCACCAGATGGAGAATTTGAACTGATGTCTTACAGATTGAACACCCATGTGAAACCTCTGATCTGGATTGAGTCAGTTATTGAACGCCATGCTCATTCAAGGGTGGAATATATGATAAAAGCTAAATCCCAGTTCAAGAGACGTTCTACAGCCAACAATGTTGAGATCATAATACCAGTTCCAGCTGATGCAGATTCTCCAAAATTCAAAACCACCATAGGCAGTGTAAAATACACTCCAGAACAGAATGCCATAACTTGGTCTATAAAGTCATTCCCAGGAGGCAAGGAGTACTTGATGAGAGCTCACTTTGGTTTACCCTCAGTTGAATGTGAGGAGCTTGATGGAAAGCCTCCAATCCAAGTTAAATTTGAAATCCCATATTTTACAACATCAGGCATTCAAGTAAGATATTTGAAGATTATAGAAAAGAGTGGATATCAAGCTTTGCCTTGGGTTAGATATATAACTCAGAATGGGGATTATCAACTAAGAACCAATTAAATCATACATTCCATCAATGGGCACAGATTTTTTTTTTTAAATAACTTTGCATTATCTTTATTGTAGTTATACTAACACAAGTAATGAATATGTATTACGTATTTAATATTTTGACACATAATAAATGGTTATTCTTCAAGTATTATAATTTTAGAGGGTTTTCATTTGTGCCTTTATTGCCATTTGTATTATTGTAATTTTTTTGTTTATATCAGACAAATCTCTGACATTAGTTGCTTTTTTTAGTATAGACAGAGGTCTATCTAGAAGAGTCTGTCAGGTTCTCTCAGCAGTTTCTATGTATGTCTACCCTAACTTTTCTATCTTGCCATAGCAGCCACATATGGAGGGAACTACGAAGCTTTTCTGAGGTATGGTTTAATATGGTGCAGTTAAGTTCGTGACATTTGTAGATTTAATGGTCACACTAGCATCCTCTCGATTAACAATGTAGTGCATTTGTGACTGTTGTGTTTTTGTTTCAAACAATTTCTTTGAGTTAAAAATGATTTAAAGAAAGGCACTGGCTCAATTTTATTAAAAAAAAGTTCTTAATTCAGAAATCAAACACTAGACATATTGAAAAATAAAGCGTACATTATTTTCTCTTAAAAAACTGGTTGTCTAGGTCTTAATCGGTATAATGTTACTGTGGAATATTGTCTGTTTTTCGTATCCTATATTATAGTAGGTACTCAAAATATCAATCACGAATTTTTGAGTCCTTCAGTCCAAATATTATTGAGGTGCATAAATATTATTCTTGGCTCAATTTATTTTAGACTTTAGGTTCAATTCACAAGCTCAGATCAGTAATTTTATAGTATTTTAAAATGTATAATTTTATAGTATAAAATTGATAGCATGGTTCCTAATATATTCATACTTCTAATTGTATTAGACTACCCATAATAGTATTAGACTTCCCATTCCCATTTCGTCTTATTTTGAAAAATACTATATTTTACTCAAGAAATGTTGGCAACCGTATGTGCTCCCGCAATATAAAGATATTTAAAATTCTCAATTTCTTGACTCTGCAAGTTTACTAGATATTAAAATTATAATTATTGTAATCTCATTGGATACTATTTCATAGTAATTTGTCAATGTCACATCATGTTTGCAATTATTAGTGTCATTGATATGATGCTATTTATTTATTTATTTCAAGAAAAAATTCCACAGCAGGCTTTTATCTTAATAATAGTAGAACAATTTTAATATAACTTAAAGTCAATTACGGATTTCCATTATTTAACTAAACAACACAAAATTAAAATTAAACAACCTCGACCACATACAACAAGACGCGAATTTTATATATATATATGTGTGTCATAATTATTGTCTCGAACCAATCTACCAATACCTTTGTAATATGATTTTTAAAAGATGTTTTAATATTACAGGCAAATATATCAACTGTCGCAAAACGCTTATTGTAAATTCTCTGTAATCGAAATATAATGTATCCGCTAATATAAACTGCTGTTAGTCGGTCAAAAACGTTCCCTACAAATTTAAGCCACGAAGTAACGTCACAACTCGCTACAGTAGTGAAAAATGTATGGGCATCTGAGCAATCTAAAAAAAAAAGTTTGTGCATGCGTGGTTCGCTTTCTCTAGACCCATTTCGTTAATTAATCGATGTTATATTATTAGCCATTGACCAACCAATGGAAATGAGCACAGAAATTGTTCACACTAATAAAATAAATACTAAACGTATGAATGTTTAGTATAATTTATAGAAACCAATTTAAAAAACTTGAGCCGTAAATTCATATTTCCCAAAGATTCAATCTAAAATAGATACAATATTTCAATTTTGAATTTAAAAAATAATATGGTCGTCAGCATCTGCTTATAGCCTGCCCCGTCGAGATCAGGGTTTCTCAAACTTTTGGCTATGTCTCCGGTACAGCCAAATAATGCACTAAATGTTTCTTCATCATCAGCCTATTAATCTCCCCTGTTGGAGCTTAGGCCTTCCCTATGGATGGCATGGAATAGGAGAATGGATCGTGCATGCATGCAAAGAGTAAAATATCATGCATAATCTACCACACGGGCTAAATGTGGATTGGTGTGGTGGGTGCGTGTTGACGAGTGTTGGTTAAATTAGCGTCCAGCTTGTTAATTAACACGCTTTTCTCTCTTAACGATTGACACTGCGTAGTAGTAGACAAGTATGTATACGCGAAGGCGCGATCCTATCTCTTGTGTTTTAACAAAGCTTGCTGAGTCGATATTTTAAAAACTTTAGAATAGAAGGTACTTTAGGTGATTATGTGTTATTCTGTGTATGTTTAAAGAAGTTTGTGTGTATAAATAGGTTATAAACGGTTGTTGAAAATAATTATATTGTGAGTAAATAATGTGAATAAAATATATGATAGGAAATGTACATAATATATTCTTGTCAAAAGCTGGCTTGGTTCCTCATACTATTCATCTCATTCAACGCATCATTATTGCATGGATGCGTTGAATGAGATGAACATGATTGTGACTTAGAATTCGCATAACAAAACCATTATTTTCACAGATTCACAGAGTTGCTTACAGTCTATAATACCAAATCGGTTTCGTACTAAAAATAATTTTCTCATTATATTAAAAATAATAAAATCACGGTACAGGTGCTATCTTAAGAAGCTGCTCATTACCCACGTATGTTGACCGGGACACTGTGGTATTCCTGGAAACGAGACAGCTGACGCATGTGCTAAACAAGCTGTTATAACTAGCTTATTAAAATATTCCAAACTTTTCTATCACGATCTATTTGTTTGATGGAGAAATCACGAACGTACCGTGGCGACATCTAGTTTGATTTCAACAACTAATGTTTTTTTTAAATAATTCCTCATTGAAAAAGAAGAAGAAAGTCAATCACAGATGTGACGTCAAAGTTCGGCTTTGGTTCGGCTCATAGAGGAATAATATAGGTTCGGCTCTAGGGGGCCAATTCTACTAAATAAATTTTGTTTTAATCGAATCGAAAACGGATCGAAACCGAACGCAACTACAGTTTTTAATGGTTTTCCTATTCTACAAAGTGACATACGATACAATTTATTTAGTAGAATTAGCCCCCTGTATTGTGGTGATATGCATACTCTGCGTCATGCCATTAAAGTTAAGAAGAGAAAGAAGAACCGTGTAAAGACCACAAACGTGACATCGAAGGAATTGTGTAAACGCAAATAGGCCATGAATTAAAAAAAAAGAAGGACCGATCCTGAAAATTAAAATACTTATTTTTTTTTTGTAAAATGTTGTCTAATAAACAAACTATTCATACGAAATCATTTATAAGAAATATTCGGTGTTACTGTGATGTCCTTCCGTCCAGTGAAACAAAAATTATTCGACGGAATAAGGCAAAAGTGTCAAATAACCTAAACTCTGGAAAAGATTTAAAAAACATAAATGTTTCCAGTGAATTTAGAGTTAACGAAGTCAATATTCAGATGATATCACGGAATATATATCGACAGTTATTTAAAAACCCCAGTCCTGTCATCGACAAGAGTACAATTGAGAGGTAATACACCATTTGTATCCTTTGATGTTGCTAAACATTCATAATGTGTAATGCTTTTATTATAAACTATTATGGTGAAAATTTGCAGTTGCCAAAATAATCTAATTAAGCACGGTATTAATTATAAAGAACACCATCATCTTCCTGATGTAGAATTGAAACTTCCAAAACTTGAAGGCGATAATGTGCTTGAACATTTTCATAATATTGGTGAGAAACAAAGTGCACCATACAGAGAAAGAATGAGGAAATTGGCGGAGGCAAAATTACCACCACTGCCTTTAGTGAGTATTATTTTTTATGCTTATATGATATAGAAGATACATTTTATTGTTTCATAGTTGTAAATATTAATTTGTCATATTTTGAAAATATCTTCTATTTCACTTGATTTATGCATTTCACACCCTATTGTAAGAATGAAAATTAAGTCAGGTGTGAGTCAGTGCTGATTATGACTTGGTTTTAGTATGCACCGAAGATGTATGGGCACAAACATTATAAAATTCATAAGTGTTAAAAACCAAAATAGATCTAAGCATCTCTTTGCTTAGGTTTATTTTTGGGGAATAAGACAGAGAGTTGGTGATAAGAATATGCTACAGCTTTCTAAAGTTTGATTTTCAGTATGTTGATGTACTAGGGGTGTAAATCGCTCAGTACCCAGTCCAGTGATCAGGTAATGGAATACCTGTTTGTTCCATTAAATGAAAGTCTGAGTATTTTTTTATGATTACTTGATGATTAAAATCATTATTATCATTATTTTGAACCATTATGAAACTTCTGAGAGATGCCATGTTTCATGACACACCATCTGAAACGTGGCATGAGCAGTACCTTTGATATGTGTTACTATTTTTTGCACTTTATATTGCTCTGCCACCACCAAGTGTTCCAACACCTGACCTCCGCACCTGATATTAAGTGATGTTTACAATATTCAACTTTAAAAATGTCTTACATAGTTTTGTCACTTTATTTCTTTTTTTAATCATATATATTACTACAGGATTAATATCCACTTACACAAACGTCCATTAAGGTATAATGACGCCTTTAAGCTCTAATGGATGGAAAATTTGTATGGGTGATGTCACATTAAACTCATGAAAATTTTAATAGACCTTTGTGCAACTGGCTGTATAAAATTTGTTCCCAACAAACAACACAAAGCAAAGTAGTAACTCCCTGATTATAAGTAGTATGTGATTGTATTAGTAAAAGGGATGCTGGTTGAACAAAATGTGACAGTGTTCTAAATTTTGTGACAATTTTAAAATCTAATATAAAACCATGAAAAACTGAATTTCAGAAGTGTTGTTTAGATTACTTTCCTAGCGTGAAATCTGTAATGTCACAATTCCACAGATTCAGAAATTTGACCTACATGCTTATGTCACTTTTCTTGGGTGTGCCCATATGATATCCCATACATGAGAATCGAGAAAAGTGCATTTACCATTTTATTTTGTTGTCAATAGAAATGGGCCAAATCAGTTGGCTGGTGTAAATATATCGGCGACATACCTCATGCAGTGCCCTGTCCTTCTGATGACGCCTTAATATTTGATGTAGAAGTGTTAATGTCAGCTGGGAAAAGACCAACATTAGCATGTGCGGTGTCTTCTGAACACTGGTAAATAAAATAAAGAGCTTGATTTGTAAATAATAATAATTTGTAAGGTGCTTTATACATGTGTAAAGGCATACCCTAAATATTTATTCATTTAAAGTCCATAATGCCATATGTAATATCATTTTTGCCAACATTCTAGTGGAGATATTTATTACAGTGAATTATCATCATCATCATAATCATCAGTCTATTAATGTCGGCACTCCCTAATGATGGAATGAAATATGGAGATTTTTAACCATTTTTCTGAATATTTTTCAATAACAACTAATTTTGATATTTTTTTCCTTTCCAAAGGTGTATGTGCCTAGAAAAAACTAATTTTATTAGAAATTATTGCTTAAAAGGTAAACAAACTTTTCCAGATATGTTTTTCAACTTGATATCCTATTAATTGTATACAAAACAAGTTTATTTGTAGGTATTCATGGATAAGTGAACCTCTTGCCAATGGAGACAACCATAAGTATTATGATTCTGTTAATTATAATGACTTGATACCCTTAGAAACTGATGGTATGAGTCCATGTGGAAACTTAGATAGACCAAGAATTATAGTTGGTCATAATGTGTCCTATGATAGATCTAAGATCAAAGAACAGTATTGGTTGGACAAAACCGGTGTGTATTTGTAATAATTACCATTATAAATAATAAAAACATGCCAGGTCTATAAATTGTATAAAAAAAAAGAGATAGGGTCTGCCTTTTGATCCCAGTTAAAGATTGTTAACGCAATACGTCTCTCAGCCGCCGGTTTAATACTGCGCCATCAAAATCGGCAGCCAAGTGACGTAATGCCAGTTTGCTGTGGGAATGATATATACTATGTAATGCTCGATCACATTACTCTCGGCCGACTTCCTATAAGTTTGATAAGACCGCAATCCTAATTCTAAAAATTAATAGTTGAAATTAAAAGTCATATTCGCTTTCTTCTAAATTTTTAGGGGTCCGTTTTATGGATACTATGTCAATGCACACATGTGTAAGTGGTGTCACAAGTTACCAAAGAACGGTTTTAAAATCCAAAACCAAAGAGAGCGACCCCAGTGACGATGACTGGATGGCAATCAGCTCACTCAACAATCTCAGTGAGGTATACTAATTTGACTTTCTACAATAACTGAATGTGAACAGGGCGTGTCCAGAAGGGTAGGTAGAGGATAGATCTAGACTTTGTGACACCCTACTCCTGACTCAAGATTAGATCCGCCCATGTGTTTAACAGAAAGTATCAACCTTCCAACTTCTTCTATTTTAAACGATGATTAAAGTGAGTTTTAATATATGTCTTAGGTTCACAAATTATATTGCGGCACACTAATAGACAAAGAGACCAGAGACATTTTCGTAGATGGTACCATGAAAGATGTCCACGACAACTTTCAGAAACTGATGCAGTACTGTGCCGGGGATGTTGTTGCGACACATAATATATTGAAGAATCTATTGCCTTTATTTTTGGAGCGATTTCCTCATCCAGTGACCTTAGCTGGAATGTTAGAATTAGGTAATCCTGCTCGTAGGTCCATAATTTATCTATATAATGCAAATTGTAATTATATGAAAACATTGTACTACTGATTTTAGTAAAAATGTCATGATTGGGACAGCTGTAATCCTAAAACTTTTAAGCTTTGTTTTAAACTATATTAAAATGGTAAGATAGGAAGTAAGTTGAAATAAATTATATTTTATAGGTTCAGCATATCTTCCGGTGAATTCGAACTGGTTGCAATACTTAGATTCATCAGAAACAGTATTTGAAGATTTGAAGCTAGAATCTAGACAATTGCTTTCACAAAAAGCTGACGAAGCTTGCCGTCTCATGCATAATGAAGCTTATAAGAAAGATTTGTGGATGTGGGACCAAGACTGGTCAACGCAGAAGTTAAAATTAAAGAAGCATGTAACAAAGAAAAAAGATCCCATCATAAAGTCTGAAATAACTCTTGAGAAAACTGAATCTTCCAAATTTGAAGAAGAACCAACCATTTTGTGTCAAGAATACATAGATTATGTTAAATTTAAAAATAAATTACCAGAAAATAATGAAGAAGATGTGGAGTTATTAAATAAAAAGTTTAGTTACCTTTATGAATTAGGCGAAATGCTACCTGTAAAAAGGCCGTATCTTGCTGGCTACCCGGCGTGGTACAGAAAACTTTGTACAAAACCTGGAAATTCTGACTGGATGCCAGGTGCTAACAATATCACAACTAGTATGCAGGTAACAGCTACTTGTTTACTATCTCAAGTTAGAGAATAACTTGAGATAGTAGACATATTTTATAAATATAAAGGCTGCATTTTTCTGTTCAATACTACATTTGTGATCATGGCATTAACATAATTCTTCACTTTTAGATAACTCCTAAACTCCTTCGTCTTTCTTGGGAAGGCTATCCTCTTCACTATATTCAGTCAGAAGGCTGGGGTTTCCTTGTCCCGTTCAGTAGGATACAGAAAGAGGCAGAAAATGAGCCTGTTCTACCTCTGGAACAATTGTTATTAGCTTGTCCTATGGCTTTCTACAAGGAGAGTGATATTGAAACTGATGTTCATATGTTACCAAAGACTGTTGAGGTTGGTGTATAATATATAATTCTAAGAGCTAAGATAGTCCATATTTTAATTACTGTCTTGTAATTGTTCAATTACATAACTAATAATAAAACTGTCTAAAAAAATACATTAAGTTAATTGTGATTAGTAGGGGTTTGTAAAGTTAAAACTAATTTATGTAACCTATTCAATACAGTTATAATAACGAATAAGGAAGTAATTCTACTTATTCCGTTATAAGGAAATGAAATATACGTATACTGCTCGAAGGACCAAAACAATTGATAAACGAATTTTACAATTTTGACTCCTCGAGATATGACTATCAATTTAAGTAGACGAGAGAAGTGCAATATTGCTATTCAATTGTGTTTTGATTTCAGGAAGATCTGGGACGACGTGCCTACTATGCTAGAAAAAAAGTTGACGAGCAGGCAGCGGCGAACCAATATCATGGTCTTGGAGTTTGGAGCGGTATTCAAATACAAGGTAACTATTTTTTATTACTACCAGTTTTAGTACCTTCGAGTAAGGTCTCTTTAGTGGTCAGAAATCTCAAAATTTATTTGTATTCATTTACAAACCACAAAAATCTGTAACAGTTTAGATAATCTTTGACAACGTTAAAAAAAATGATGGCAAATGTTTGATTACTTAGCATAGAATGTCACTGCAGTCGATTTTTAACCTAATTAAAACAATATCTCTTTATTGGATTATTACATTTAGATTAAATAAATAAAATATTATTGTTTTTGAACAATTTTTGCATTCACAAGGCTATACTGGAAAATATTCTTAACGAAAAATGCTTAAAAATCCCCTTTGTCCCTGGTACCTTTCGCAATCCGGGTTCAAAAAAGGTCAAGTGGGTTCAAGTCCCATCTCAGAGTACCAGAGACAAAGTGGATTTTTTATTGTTTCTATTTTCTGCTGTTTTATCAGGATGCTGTCACTTTCTAAGGTTGCCTCATAAAAATGGTCCGAAATACAAAGTAGGTAATCCATTGGCGAGGGATTTTTTGGATATGTTCAGTCAGAACGTTTTGACGGCACAGGGCAATGCGGCAGAGAAGGTAAACAATTTATAACAGTTAAATTACAGTGAAATTTAATTATTAGAGTATTTAATTACATTTATTTTATTTGCACTTGACATTCAATACTGTGTTAGATAGATATTATTTTATACAACTTGAACCCAGCTCAGGGGTTGTGTAGTAAGGTATTTCATGTATTTTGGATGTTGCCCTGTACTTAATACAAACAACTGTATGTAAAATTTTGGCTTTGGGTGACTAAATAAATTTTATTATATATTATTATTATTATATTATAAACGATAAACTGCATTATACTGCACCCAACCAGTACACACTTGTGCAAAATAAGCCATAATTAACACCAAGCAGTTTTGTCGTGTAAATATTCATTAACAGTATAATATACTTTAATATGCAGACAATTTTTAATATGAGTTTTAAATTAGGCAATGGTAAATTTATGGTGAATTTGTTATAGTAGTGTACGCCTTGCCCCATAAAGGTTACTAGAACTTTCTTTACCAAAACAGTGATATAAATGGTCGAGAAAAGATAATGACTCGTTATTCTTAATTAGGGCGTATTTAATAATATTAGAAAATCGTGATGGTTTACATAGTTTGTAATTGCAACCAGGTACTGACGTTCGGTCGTATGATGTCGTACTGGCGTAACAATAGGGAGCGTATCATGAGCCAGCAGGTAGTGTGGTTACCTGAGGAGTTGTTGCCGGTACAACTTCGCACCAGTATGAGGAAATATGGCGCGATTGTACCACAGGTAGTCGTCTGTGGAACACTCACTAGACGGTACGTATTATTATAGTGTTCTATCAGGGTTCATGATTATGGTATGTGAATCCCATTAAATGTACTAGCTTATTCACCATATAAAAGCAATAAATATCTTTGACGTTGATTTACTCTCTTTTTAAAGCTATATACAGTGTATTACACTCACGTACACGCTTATATACCTATGTATAGGTAATGCAATCGGTGAAAATATATCTAACTACCTATAAAAGCATTTGCATTTTGTATGTCCATATAATTATTTTTTTCGCAAACAATTCAAGTCAACAATTTATTAGGTATCTCTGAATCTTCATTTTTAACATAGAGAGAGAATAGAAGTAGTAAGTGGGCGGGGCACGCGTCGCTGGCATATGCGCTTTTACTCATATGACGCCCTTTCCTCGGTTTTATGTTTGCCAGTCGTTCGTCAATCGTCGAGTGGTGATTTTACAGATTTTTTCTATAAAAAATGCCGTTTTGTGCTATTATCACTTGCAAAAAGCAAAGCAAAGTATACAATCTAACTAATGCAAACATTTCCTTTCACTGGTAAGTACAATTTTAGTGCTAAAATATAAAAAACGTAATAATTTGACACAATGTTAAATAAAATATACATTGATTGCTCAAACCAACATCAATGTTTCTGACCCCATTACTAAACAGCAATGTAAATCATTTTGTGCACTTTTGCAAAAAATAGTGCTGTGCCTCCATTTGTCTGAAATGTACCGATAGGCTGCTGCTGCTCGGAATCGTATTGTTAATTATATGGATCGTAATCGATAACTAAAACATATTTATTTAGAGCTTTTCTTTCATCATTTCATAACAACGTTATCGATAAATATATGCCATAATTATATAAAACTAAAAAATACTGTTTACAAGGGAAAATTATAGATGAACTGATACTGAACAAATGAAATAATGAACTGTCCAGGCACTTTTTTTACGAAGATTCGGTTAATTATTTACACGCAGATAAATATTAAAAATTACTGATGTGCTATAAATATCTAAGTTACGAAGTATATCACCGTTTTATGAACAATACATAAATTAAACGAAACTTCGTGAAAAGCTAAGAGTTGGCCTAATAGGTCTTGTTAGAAACTGGTGAAACTGGATTTCACTTATTTTGCATTACTTATATTTCAGTTTCCCTAATAACTTTACAACGGATTGCCTTGTTTACATAATTAATTTTGCCCTATCTGTTTTAGACCTAAACCTATCAAATGAATTTCAAAACAACATAATATCTATACAAACAAAAAATTATGTTTTCAACTAACGTAATATTGTTGGTGGTGTGAATTTAATTTACAAAATTAATTTTTAGGCGTCAATTTAATTTACCTTATTATGCTGATTCATAATCGGAAACTATTATTATAGAAATCGAGTTAAGAAAGCCACTTTAAAGAACCGCCCACAGAACAGCTTTTATCAGTTTTTTTGTTGCTCCATATTTGCACATAAGTTTATAGACGCATGTCTCAAACGGATGTGACTTTATATGTAGATTGACGTTTGTACGTACTTATCGCTTTTGTGTCTATCTTCAAACTTTTTTTGTCACGGCTTTCAAACTCATACTTGACCAGCAATTCCTTATTGTCCAGTCGTTGCAATTAATAATGTAGCTACTACTATTATTACAGATATAAAACTTAGAATAATAAAGTAAAACAAACATGGCTATGATCAATTTATTAGTGTAATGATCATATTAGTTATTATGAAATGAAATGAAAATATCTTTATTCAAGAAGGCTATTACAAGCACTTGGAATGGCAAGTTTATTTTTATTTCTACTTTTTTTTGTGAAGGAATCGTAATGTTTTCTTGCATACATAATATTTTCATTGATGTATTGAGAGGCAACAGTCAAAATATTTATTTCTTTAAATATTTCTCTGAGAGATTCTCTAGACCGTAAATTATATATAGCGTGGACAGCTCTCTTTTGTAGAATAAAAATATCTTGAATGCTAGCCGCAGAACCCCATAACAATAGATTATACGTCATTCATTACACTATGAAAATAACTAAAATATACCAATCTTGCCGTTTCAACATTTGTTAAGAGTCTAATTTTCTTAACAGCAAATGCTGCAGAACTCAGTCTACTTGACAAATTATCAATATACCAAAATACCAAGGAACTTTGTCGATTCCACCATCTCAACTTTTTCACTATTTACATTTATAAGTATATTAACATGCCTCACATTAGGTAATGCAAACTTTATGTATTTCGTTTTATTTGAATAAAGCTTTAAATAATTACTATCAAACCACTGTAGAAAATTGTCGAACTGAATTACATTGAACTGTTTCATAACCAAATTTAAAGCTCTTATTTTATCAACTAATATGTCACATCACTAATATGCACAATCGGAATGATACCAGTAAGAAAAAAATACAAATTAGGCTTAATGTAATTAATACAAAAATTCTGTTGTTTTCTTAATTTTTGTTTTTTTTTACACTTTCCCTCGCTTAATTATATTACTCCACAGACATACGATAGAGTGTATCATTAAGTTTTCTTAGTTTTTGTACTGCGTTTTTTAAAAGATATTTTAATAAATTATGTAGGGAAAAGCCTTAATTTTTCAGTATTCACTTGGTTACAGCAAAATCTAATATTAATAGTTCGCACATAAAATGATGACCCCAATTTTTTTAAATGTGCATAATCTTAAAATATTTTTTTCCTTCTGGTATCCCCATATACAGCCACGTGACAGTTCAACATTCATGTTAAAGTAAATTATTTATTATCACGTTGAATTAGAGTTTGTTTTTAATCGTGTGATTTCTTAGCTTAGTATCTTTTTGGGATTTGATTTATGTTATCGCGAACCTATCGCGTGGCGGTTTTTCATGTAGTGAACACAATGATCATTTCATCTAATCTGTATTTGTGTGCGGAGAGGCGACACTCGGTTCCCATACTAAATTAATATCATTATACTTCTAATCTCTCTCTACGCTACCAAAACGACTACGCTGTAACGTGCGGCATATTAAGATGTTTATCTTTTTAACCGACTTTAAAATCGCTTAATACAATTAAGCGATTTTAAAGTCAGTGGTTCAATGTAAATATTAATAAACAGGTTTTTTATTCTAATTTACAACTTTTTAGACCTTAAAGAGCTCACAATTCAATTTCTTTATAAATATAAACATGTTATGATGTAGACTGACAATGACACTGACAGCTAACAGATTAGTATGACGTCACAAGCTTTAGATTTACATTTGAAGTCACATGACAGCTCTAAAGTAGTGATTTTATTTTACAAAAAATATGCGTAATCTTAACCTAATTGTTAAAAACGACTAATTCAGGAGTATAAATAATGAATGTTATTATAAGTTTCAAATTTTATATTGATCACTGACAATAATGTACTCTGTATAACTCTGTGCATGCTGTATAATACGTCCTCTGCATTTAATAAAAAATAAACATAGCAAAGAACCATAGTGCTTATAATGCACTTTCGATGTACCTAATGCATTCGTTTGTCTTTCTTTCTATACCAGAGCCAGTGAACCCACTTGGATGACGGCTAGTAATGCTCATAAAGAAAGAATAGGTTCTGAACTGCGTGCCATGGTGCAAGCCCCGCCCGGGTACAAGTTCGTTGGAGCTGATGTAGATTCACAGGTAAAATGGAATTTCTAACATGTTTGTTTCGTTTTTGTTTGAGTTCATCACGGTCAGACAAACAAACTTTGTGTTAACGGCTTAACGTCATTTCTAAAGCACGGAGTATAACACTTAAGTCTTTATTGTAATATTGTGGTTATACTACGTTGCTAGGTCAATTTAATACCAGGTGCACCTGTTCCTAGTACTACTCTGATGCTCGATCCAAATACCTTATTCGCTTAATTTAGCTAGAATTTGTAGTTTACATAGTAATTGGCAATACTTTGTAATTATCTTTTGTAATTTAGTAATTATCTTTGGTACTTACAATTTTAGGCACTCCTTCAAGCCGTTCCTATTCCTCTATGTTCTAGTCTTACCGTTAGATTTTTATTTCGTAATGTTCAAGTCCAAAATTATGAAACTAAGAAAATTACTAGATTAGCACCAAGCGGTCATGTAAATATGATCTCTAGATGTTTTAGTTTGAGGTTGAATATTGTATAAATTACTGAAATATTAGGTAGTATTAGAAAAAAACCATTAGCTGTCGATTAGATTGTGGATCAGGGGCTGTCAGCCTACCTGTTTAGTAACGACGAACGAATGATAAAGCGCGAAGATTTATAGATTTGATAGCAGTGTGACCAACTTTTCATTTAATTGAAATTTATCCACCAAAAGATATTATTATTATTTGATCAATTTTGATTTCACAAAATATACTGGAAAATGTTCTTAATGAAAAATACTTTATAAAACGACTTTGTACCTGGTCCTCTTCCATCCCATCCATCTCATCTCCATCCAGTCCCACTTCAGAGTACCCAGGGATAATGTGGATTTTTAAGCATTTTTCATTAAGAATATTCACCAAAAGATATATCAAAGTAGTAAAATGTAACGAAATATCGCCATAATATCGCTAAGATGTCGTAACCTATGGTTTCAGTTATGGTTAGAGAATAAAGCAATGGTACTGTTTTTTAAATACTCCTCAAGTGTCCTGATAATATGTATTGTTAGGAGCTCTGGATCGCAGCTTTACTGGGCGACAGTAGTATAGGTTTGTGTGGCGGCACCGCCTTCGGTTGGGCCGTATTAGCCGGGGACAAGGCTAACCGTACAGATCTCCACTCCCTCACCGCCACCGCCGCCGCCATATCGAGAGATCACGCTAAAGTCATCAACTATGCAAGGATATACGGTACGTTATCATATTCGTAGCTAGAGGGTGAGGCAGAGTGGGCCGGGTGAACCCTAGAAAGCTGTTTCTGAAACGCTATTCCTCATTGCCACTTCGCCGCTGTCGCGGCACGCTTGTTTTGCTCCCACGGCTCGTGCGTTGCTTGTCATACTCTAACCTAACCTAATCTAATCAAATATGCTTCAATACGCTTCATGGTTTTCTTCATTTCCATAACGCGTTGTGAATATTTTTTTCGCACAATCAATGATTTGGTCTTTGAGCGTAACATATACAGTAAAGAGAAAAAGTTTATATCTCTATCGAGGGACACCTGCTTAGTCCGCCTGGGTAAACCACTCACCTTTTCTTGCCGTAGTCTATCTCGATTCACTTAGACCAAGAATATTTTATCTTGTCTTCTTAGTTTTTGCAATAAGTCAGACACTTCAAAAAAGATGAAAGGTCTCAATTCAATTAAATGTTTATTTTTGTATGTATATTCCAAAATATATCCTTCAGTGATGTCAACGCGGGCTACTTGTAATTTAAATTATGTATGTGTCGTCGATCAGCTGACGTTTCCCATTGTAGGAATTTTGAAATTAAATAAAATTCTTCTTGGTCTTCACTAAATACAAACAACGTCCGCTCGTTACAATTTTAAATGATGTACAAATTTGCAAATTTATATATCTTCAGTATCTTTCGGCGATTTTCGCATTATAAAACGTATAACATGATGTGAGACGCCCCTTATTGCTATCACGTACCTAAGTGTGTGAAGTTTGCTATAAGAGAAAGTTATCAAGCCTTGCACAACAGATGGCGCTACGAGTTCTCAAACCTGTTTACGGCGTTGGAAGTCGGTTTTTAACTAAAGAAGTAATTTAATTTTTGTGTTGGAATTGTAGTTCAGACACCTGTTGTCCTTATCGCTTTCGTAACGCACTTACGATTCATTACATTGTGATTATTCCACATTCCATTTTGACAGGTGCCGGTCAAAATTTTGCGGAAAGACTTCTGAAACAATTCAATCCTACAATGACGACATCAGAAGCGAAGAGTAAAGCACTGAAGATGTTCACCACTACTAAAGGACGGAGGGTGTATACACTCAAGAAAAAGTTTAGTGAAGGGTTCATAGATGGCGACGACAATGATCAGGTAATTTATCAAATGTACACCGTGCGATTTTAATGAGTAATGAATGATGTTTTAATGTGAATTTGTCTATACTAATATCGTAAAGAAGAAAGATTTGATTGTTTGTTTGTTCTCCGAAACTATTGGACCGATTTAAAAAAATCTACTTACGGGTTGCTACCTCATATGCGGTGAACATAGGCTATATTTTTATCCTTAAAAACAACAAATATAGGAATGACAATGAGAGAGGAATTTAAACGTTACCATAGCAATCATTGTTCTTCTTCTTTTTAATTAATGGCGTTGCTCTTGTAGATTTCGCCAGAATCCAGTGTTTCTTGTAAACTATTCAATTTGTCATTGTAATTATATCCGTGTCATGATATGAATCGATATCCAAATAAACAGTTCCCCAGGGACCACGTGGGCGAAGCCGCTGGCGGAAAGCTAGTATTTTATATGTTGTGTTGTTATTGTTAATTTTGGTTTCACTATCGCATTGAACTATCTGTAATGATAGTTATAGGTTACGAAATAAAAAATATATTAAGACATTATTGGTCGCCCTAGACCCGGGAGAAATTCCAAAACCGGCAATAAATTCAGCAAGATCTTCCTTCAGCAAATGCTTCCTTATTACAGGTAGTTGAAATGACGGGTTACCAAGCGAAGCGGCTCGCCAAAATGAGTGGGAAACGAATCGAGGAAATGTTCGAACGACCCAAGTGGGTGGGAGGCACCGAGTCTGATATGTTCAATAAACTGGAGGAGATTGCCGGTGAGTATATTAATAGTTCAGTGGTCGTGTCCGCCTTAACGATGGTTGAGCGACATTCGCAATACCGCTTATCGGATGAGTGACTTTAAAGATGTATTTTTTTTTCTATCAAGAAAATTCCACAACACTACGTTTTTACAGTCCCTCTTTCTTTTTCTGTCGTTCAAAACCACCATTTGCTAGAGTAAGAAGGATAGCCTATAGTCTCGAAATTTCCTCAGCTAACGTAGACCCGCTATCTTTCTCGCTTTAGCAAGCCATCGTAGACCTACTATTTCGTAGTTAATGTCGTAGTTTATTTGACGTTAATCGGAATTATTTGAGCAAAGTGATAGATACAAACATTTTTGAAAGCTATTGTTTGGGAAATGTCAAACGAAAAAAATGTCTTTGACGTTTATATCAATTATTAATTGTTCCGTAAGCGATTATGACTTTTAAAGTTACACAATTCCATAAAACACTATCACAACCACTATACGTTTGAAAGGGATTGTGAAATTTTAAAATTAGAATAACAATTTTAGTTTCTTATTTTAGTTTTATTAACATTTTATTTTAAAAATATAACTAGGACTATTTGAGTCGTGAAAAGTAACAACTTGGGTTACTGAGAATAATCAGTTAAGATTTTGTACTCTTTTCTATTGGGATGACGATTAAATTTTTATTGTTTCTCCGTCAGGTAGATCGATGGGAAATATTTAACACGTATTTCCTTAATTTTTGCGAAAATCATTAAGTTACCACGATACATAGAGTTAAAATAACATACGACGTCACGCTTTTGTACATTATCTATAAAACTGTGACGCAGCGAGCCCCCGCTCCTCAACTTTAATGCCTATTATCTAAGCCATTTCTTGTTCGACTGTAGCAAAAAGAAATACTTATCTAATATTTTTCTATCATCTGACTGACGGACTTAATAGGATTTCTTTTTTTTTTATTATCATGTCGTTATCCCTGTTCAGAAACCGGATGTTCGTGTTTAACACATCCGTTCCCTTATTAGATTCGGAGACTGCTTGCACGTCGTTCCTGTCGGGTAGATTATCTCGCGCGCTGGAACATTCCATGGGCAGATGGGGGGGCACTCGTCTCAACTGGGCGGTGCAGAGCGCCGCCGCTGATTTCCTACACCTCATGCTCGCCAGTATGGCCCATTTAGCACCACAAGCTAGGTATGCAGGTTAAAAACGGGTGTAGACACAAAGCTAATGTTTTATTCTGGTAGTCTTTAATATACTATTAACGACAAACATTATTTTATGCTTATTGTATCTTAATAAGGAATCAAATCATTGGCAAAATGGTATGGTAACCGACGCTGTTCAGCCGGTAGTCTAATTTCAGTAAAAAAAATTATAATACATATTATTATCAACGCGCACATCATTTCATAGCATCGTTTCCGACTCAGCTGTTTCTGAATTACAGATCAAACACCATTTTAAGTAGTACCTATTTATGATAGATAGGTAAAATTTATTTAAACACTGATATACGAGTCTAACTTTTAGTTCATACTTTAATGGTCCGACAAATCTGATTGATATTACGATAATAAAAAAAAAATGATATGCGACATAATTCACAAACGATTTTGGCGTATTTAAAAATAAATATTTGCGAATTACTATTTGTACTTTACCTTTTCACTTCCTTATTCACTGTTTAAGCATTACTTGTGAGGTTCACTCACCTACACTTTATTAGGCACTTAATTTTATTCCACAAGAAAAAACTAAAGATCGCGGCCAACCTCTGGTTCACTGACGTTTCAGTATAATTACATCTTTTCAAAATAGTCTCAATTTATATCAATACAACACTGCATCCCATGTAACACTGATAAAAGCACTTTTCATAGAACTCGGAATTAGAGAACACGGACATTTTCGAAACGTGATCACATCGACGACGTATGAACAACTGAATAAAGAAAAAGTGATAAAAAGGGAAAGCCGCCAATTTGAGTCCTTTATTATAAGCCGCTGCATAGTGTGCGGCATGTCAAAGGCGCACAGAAAGGTACCTATAGTTCCGCAATTAAATCTGAGAAGTAGCGGGATAGGGTTGCCATCTTCTCTTATTAGATCGGAAATTTTGTCCTTAAAGCCGGACTAAGTCAAATCTCTCGCGAAGCCGTAAAACAATATTACCGTAGTAGACAGTAATATTAGTTCACGGCTTCGCGAGGGTTACTGCCTAGTTATTCAGAGGGTGCGTTAAGCAAAAATCACTAACTTTCAATTGATTTTGTAGTAAGACGTAACATACAAATAAGCGGTAATTAAAGATAAGATAACTACATCATAATTTTAACGCTTTTATCACAGCCAAAACGTGAATTCATAAAATAAGGCTTGATCGTAACATCAAAACTGCACAACCTATTTTGAAAAAGGTTTTTTTTATAAAGTAATTTCGGAGACTATACGATGCAAACAAACTAACGATTTGTATTCAAATTTCGCAAATGCCCGTGCAACACTGCGTCTTTTTGGGTATTTGGGTATTTGACGTTTTTCGAATTTGTGTGTATTCATAGTTTATTTGATATAGCTTCGGCACAGGTATACCAAAAACCTATGAAAACTATACCGCCGGACATGTGACATTAACATTTAGCTGCACACAATCTAAAAAGTCAAACATGTCCCGCTAAAGACGGATAGATGACAACCCTAGACAGGCGGCAATGTTAAAGTTTGAGCCTAAACTTCTAGTTGCCTAGTACCGAGGTGATCAACATTTTATTGTACAAATTAAAAAAATCGTCGCAGGACATTGTTGCAACTAATTTTTTTACATACGTACGTAAGTACATAATACGTTACGTATTATGAACGTTACGTATTAGGAATTGTTAATTGACAAAGATTTTGTAAATTTTTATTGTTGTTGATAAGATAGTACATGGTTGTATTTTTAGTATTTACAAATTTAAACGTTGTTAATGTTTGGTAAAGACTAGTTTAAGTGAGAAATGTGATATACTTTCACGCTGCACCTGCAAACGAGCATGCTTGGCTCAGTCTGTAGAGAGGAAGTAGCATCGACTATCATAAGACATCGTTAAATAAATAAATTAATGTATTTCGTGGGCCGTAGTAATCTGCATACAATCGACATACCTGTTTAAAATTTTAATTCATTTTATACACCTTTTCTATTTTGAACTATTTTTCAAATAAATGACCATTTGTTTGTTAGCTGTGTCGGTCGTTTTAGGGCTTTTTCTATTTAAGGAAATAGGTAAACAGTACATAATAAAACGTCTCATTCATTTTCATTTCTTACAGCATTAAAATAGTGAATCCTATACTCTGATTCTAAAATTCAGTTGAATAGCCCACAGTAATAAAATAGATAATAAATTAAAATCCGTACCAAATGTTTACTACTACCGTATCTAGCGTCAAGTAGTCACTCGCGCGCGACATCACACAAACACGAACGATAATGTTTCGTTTCTTTCTCTCTCTCTCTTTCCCTCCCTCTCTATCTCTATCTTACGTCATTGTACACTCGGGGGAATAAGTGAATTTGTTTTAGGCTCGATTTTACCGATTATGTATTGATTTGTCTTACGTATTTAAATACCTAAACAATAAAAAATATTTTTAAGAGTTAAGCTAATGAAGTTATTTCTTAGCACCGGATACAACCCTTCCTGCGCGAGTCCAACTCTCACGTGGCCGGTTTTTTTTTTATAATTAGTTGTTAGCAGTTTGATAAAACTAGGACTTTTGACTAGTGAAATATAAAAAAACTTCAGTTATTGAGAATATTCAGTTGAGATTTTGTACTTTTCTCAATTCAGAAAGCGGCTCTTTGTCGACATTTTTTCTTGTCAGACGCTTTTAAGATACCTAAGTGTAGTGCATATCATTAACTCTAAGGTAGCAATCCATTTTACTTGAAACAATTTACATGTAGTAAGAGTAAGTGGTTGAAACCATAATCGGGAATGATCATATTCCCGATTAAGGTTCATATTCCATTTTAAGTCTGATCTTTTTATTGTAAAAATATTAGAAAAGAAATAAATTGACCATAAACACAATTGAAATATGTACACGAATATTGATCAATGTTTCAATTTATTCCCCGACTGTATCTGCGCTGACGTCATATTAGGTTTACTTTCGTAACAGAAGATTGTAGGTACGAGTACCAGGTTATCATGATTTAAAGACACGATGTGTAAAAATTCTGGTTCAAAGATGAAGCAGCTACAGATAGACAAAGTTACCTGGAAGACACTCAGTGATATACGTCGCCTACTTTCATAATATTGTAATTATTTTCATAAAAATGAAACTACCTAATTATGAAAAAAAATTGTTCGTGCAATAACGAATATTCTACTTATCTAGAGGTCGCGATATTTCTTCTTCCTCTGCTTCTCTATTTGTTTAGATTAGATGAAATTGATTTTATGAGTACATTATTGAGTGACGTGTCGTAGCATTAATTATAAAGATTATTATTTTGGATGGGCCGTCTACAGTTCGTAAAGAGATATTGTACGAGCATTTCAGGCGAAAGTATTTAATCCAGTGCAGTGACTATAGCGTACTGTTTATTGTTTGTTTCCGTGCCTGATATGTGCGTAGCACGGGCATAGTAATATGGCAAGGTATATTGGAAAGGGAGCTCTAATCTGAATAAAAACGAATTTTGGAAATAGTTTTAAAATAATGTTTTCGTGTAATATTTTGCATGTTCGAATATTTGCGTATGTACACATAACTAGATAAATTATTTCGCTGTACTGTGACGTAGGCACTAAATACCAGTAGATATAACCAGTCTGGCAAAATAATAGTCTTTGATTTAGAAGTCAATGAACTGAAACAGCTGATCATAATGTCGGTGTGCTTCGATAAATGGTATCGAAAATTTTGCTAAACTTCGATATTGTTTTTTTCAATAAATACAATGGCTACGATATAAAGGACAGCGTCCATTATCTCAGTTTTATGTATACTCAATGCCATTTTCGGGGTAACGGGTTTTTTTGTATATAACCACAGCCCAAACCACTGGACAGATGGGTCTGAAATTTGGCATGTTATAATCGAAGAGCAGGAATTTTTAAAACATCGCCAAAAGAATTATGAAATGCGAAAGACTATATGTATATTCAATTTTTTAATGAAATCAGGTAACTTATTGCGGCAATCATGATAAGCAAAGTTAACCACAACAAGTAACAAAAAACTTAACTTATTTGTTAACGGTACTGAGTGTAAAACACAACTATCAATAGATTACGTCACCAAAATGGCGGCCAGGCGAATTAACAATTTTCCGGGATTATACCCTATTCAACCAGTCCTGAGTCAATATAGAAACGATCATATTCAAGATTGAAATTCATTTTTTTATGGCCGTAATGTATATCCAGGTCAATGAATATCATCTTATAACTGTAAAGCTTAGGTATGTTTTAGGATAATGCTAGTGTTCTCGGTTATTTACAGGTTTTGTCTCAGTTTTCATGACGAGGTGAGGTATATGGTACCTGACAAGCAAAAGTATGAGACGGCGTTGGCGCTACAAATCACTAACCTTCTGACGAGAGCGTTTTGTTCACAGAGGTATGTTGAAAGATCTGGAATTCCATTGCGTTTATGTTTTGAATTGATAGGTGCTTTTTCTTTTGTGTAAAACAGCGTTTTTTAATCTTCAATAGTCCACAGTACCACATGTTCAAGAGCCCCTTAGTTACAAAACGGAAATAAATTTAGCACTATTTATTAGCTTAGTGGCATAGTGAATTGTTACAGTCGAGCACCTCTTCATGCGAAGAAATACTTTTAATGCCAAATTTTTGTTTTTTTTATAGAGTGGGTATCAACGATCTACCATTGTCAGTAGCATTCTTCACTTCAGTGGAAGTGGACCAAGTTCTGCGAAAAGAGTCGAATCTATGTTGCACTACACCCTCGAATCCCCATGGAATGGAGAAAGGCTTTGGGGTACCTAACGGAGAATCTTTAAATATTTTTGCAGTACTGAATAAATGTAAAAACCAATAAATAATTGAAACTGTGTTTTTTACTTTCTACATATCTTTAAACTAAAAAAAGAGATTTTTTTTATTTTACACTATAATTTGTGGGAGACTGGTGTTTTTAGTAGGCTTAGCCTGAAATAATAAATCACCAAGTTCCCACCCCACGATCAATCTAACACATCTCTTATTTTCATATAAATTTAAAATATAGTTACTACAAACACCATTACTGTCAATCTCGACCTTTACATTAATTCATAACGCACAGTAAAACAAAACACTATATTTAGTATAACTTATTTTAAAGGTATAAGCATCTTGTCTGTTTCATCATATGATAACTCTAATAGCCAACTTTTAAGTTTTCGTTTACAGTAAAATTTTGTTAATGAAAAAATAGTCAATTTACTGTTGATTTTATTATACAGATAATTCCCCAAAAAGGGGAAAACATTATGTGATAGACTCTTACTAAATGCTTGGATGGTGAAACGTTACCCTTTCTTCTTTTGTTCATATTTATTTCATTGTGATAACATAATTGGGTGTGTTTTCTCAGAGTTACAGAAAGGATAAAATGTTTTCTTGCCGATAATACATCCCAAATCCTATACAGATCGTCAGTAGGATAATAAAACGATAGGTTGGCACCGACTTTGAGAATAGCTCTCTGTGCTTTTTCGATCAGTAGAATGTGAGACTTAGCTGCCCCTCCCCAGGATGAGATACAGTAACATATAAGCGATTGACAGAGCGAGTAATAGATAATCCTCAGAGTCTTTATTTGCCACTTTTCTGAGGGTTTTGAATACAAATATAAGTTTTCGTAATCTTTTCACAAGTTGCTCAATATGTAACTTAAAAGTTAAACAATTGTCGATCACTACACCCAGATATTTAATATTGGTAACACATTGAAGATTGGGACATGTATACTGCTGCTCTGTCTGTATCAAGATGGTTTGTATGAGATATTATATTTAAAGTAATTTAGATGGTAATTTATAGTTTCTCATAGAAAATATGATATATTTAGTTTTATCCGCATTGAGTGAAAGTATGTTTTGGTGCAGCCAACTTTATCAAACCCAGATTGAGCAATTTCAAATACTTTCTTCCACGTATTAGCACTGAACACAAGAGCAGTATCATCAGCAAAAGAGAAAATTTTACCATTTATTAGTTTGTGTTTACAAAGTGCATTAATATAAATTAAAAATAGCTTCGGACCAAGGATACTGCCCTGTGGAACACCATAGGTGACGGTAGTTCAGTACTTACAAATGTGCTAATTTTGACCCGCTGAAATCTATTAGTGAGGTAGTCTTTGAATAGCGAAAGTGAGACCGTGTCAAATGCCTTGGCCAAATCAAGAAAGATAGCTAATCACTTATTTTTCTTAACTATTCTAGTTACTATGTGATCAACAAGTCCATGGACGGCGTCATCAGTGCTCTTACCTGATCGAAAACCAAACTTTGACTCTTGAGAGTAATTTGTTTGTTTCCAAAAAGTTAACAATACATTTGTTCATTAATTTTTCTAAGACTGGATAATACAGGCAACAGTGATATGGGTCTATAGCAAATTAGCAATTGACACAGTCTTTTTTTCCACCCTTGTGAATTGGCTTAACAAGAGAACCTTTTAATAGATCAGGGAATAGGCCGGTGCTGAAGGCCATGTTGCAAATTCTAGTTACGGGCGGGACGAGTTTTTTACAGCAATCCTGGATTAAGAGATTCTATCTATACCAGTGGCACAATCTCCACGTAGGCCCATGATTGTAGGTAGTAGTACGAAAGATTTCTCATATGAATACTGATAATTGCTAACTGAGTTGACTGAACTACAATTAACCAGTATTTTATCAATTAATCTTCTTCCTACTCCGGTGAAGAACTTGTTTACTTTGTTTACCTAGTCGATGGGGTTTTCGTCGGTAATCAATTCCATAGATTTATCAGATCGTTTAGACGCGTAAGTAAGATCTTTGACTGCATCCCAGAGAATAAAATCAAATAGGCCATAAGATAACATTCCTTACATTTTAGGCATAGATGAACCAAAAGTAAGCCCATTATGAGGAAGTATTTAAAAATAAAAATTAGTTCTTGACTTTTGTTAGACTCGCCATCTAGTGGAGGTGCTTTTTAGTGCTTTTTTTTATTCCCTCATTCTTTTTTGCATTTATTCTCTTTAACTAATAATTTACTCTTTGAAACATTTTCAACTACTTGGTATAAATTCTGTCTGTGGTTCTTTTACAACAAACTATGGCTGTATGGGCTTAGCACCCTTCGCCTTTCCTTTAAGGAAAAATCTATCAAAAAAGTCTGTGGTCTTACGCACAGATCTACAGTATTAGGGATGTAGGAAATGCCATATAGTATCGACACGTATCTAAGTCCATTTTTAAAAATATCAATATTTCGGTATCGATACGAAAAAAGATCTAATCTACTTCAGTCGTCTTAGGTTCTGAAGAACATGGTGTAATATCATCCTCTTCACTTGACTTGAATTTTTATTTTTAAGTTGGAGAAACGCACGGTGACAATTGTTTTTTAGATGTGCAGCTAAATTCATCATATGACCACTGTTTTTATATCTTTTTCCACACATATTATATGAAACATTTTATTTGTCTATTTTTTTAAAAGTTTCATACAACACTAGGCATGATTGGAATGCTCAAATTAATTATTGACTGAATTAATAAAATTGTAGACTACAATCGATATTAATGCACTTATTTGAAATATTGTTGAAAGTTTGATAATTGTAATTCATAACTCAAATGCAGAAAAAGGCGCACGTACGGATAATCACAGAGTAAAAGTATTTGGACAACCGTAGGACAATTAAATGATTTCTTTACGGGCAATTTTCTCGTTCAAGTAAATATATCGTATTTTTACAATTTTGATATAGCATATTTGATTAATCGTTACAAAATCTACGTTTTGAAATATCGATATGTCGTATTGAAAATATCGATATCTATTTGACAAGCCTATACGGACACAAACCAAGAAGAAGATACCTATACGGTATAGATCCGCTCCAAAAAATTACTACTATTTATTTATTTGAATACCTTAAATAAGTGCAATAATATATTTATTCAATAAAAATGTCTACTATTAATTATACAACTCGTACTGAAGGACAAACTAAGATAAATACGATCATATGGACTGTTCCAAACTTTATTAATTTATTAGAAAACAAAAGTACTAGAGAATTTCGCACAGAAAAGTCTAAAGATTCCGGTGTCGACTTAATAGAATCTGGATTTCAACTGAAAATGCAATTCTTAGGACGAGACAATGACATTATTGAAATATATTATTTGTCTCCATCACCAGTGTTCTTGAAGTCAATACTTACCATATGCCTAAAGCGTTTTGAAGAGAGGTCTATAATTATTAAAGAGTATCACACTGTTCAAGCCAATAAATGGCAGTTTTTGGCAACATTATTCAAACGCGATATAGCTAGTTACGATGCCCGCGAAATATTTCTTCTTAGTGATGGTAGTTTACGCTTAAAATTTCAGTTCATGATAACAAACGATATAAAAGTAGACCGATCTCATATACCTGAAGTTCAGCTTAGTAACGATTTTGAAAATCTGCTTAATAATGGTCTGTTCTCAGATGTAGTTATGAAATCTGCTGAGGGGATGGAATATAAAGTACACAAAGCAGTACTAGCTAGTAGGAGTGCAGTTTTGAAAGCTCATTTCGAGCATAACACAACTGAATGTTTTACTAACATTGTGGAATCACCCTTAGAATCAGAAGTTTTAAGGGAAGTGTTGACATTTATTTACAGTGATAAAGCACCTAGAGTAGATGAGATACCAGAGAAACTATTAGCGGCCGCTGATTATTATCAGTTGAGCCGCTTAAAGAGCCTCTGTGAAGAAGCATTACACAAAAAATTGACTGTAGAAAATGCTATTGAGACTCTTCAGTTGGCAGATTTGCATTCAGCAAAAACATTAAAGTTATTGACTTTGGAATTTATAAAAGATGGACAAGCAAAACTGATTATCAAAACTGAAGGGTGGGCTAAAGTAAAGTCTGTGGAATTAATCAAAAGAATTTATGAATATATCATGGCGGATGATGCTGATGCTGATTTAAAATAAGTGAGGCACATAGCATAACAACATAATAAAAAAGAATTCTCAAAGATTGAGTAAAATTTTTGTTCCATCTTGCAGATCTCTGATTTCATTATAATTTAAAAAGATGTGTTCCTAATGATTTTTTTGTATCAGTAATATGGTATGTTTTATAACTGTTCTTGATTTTATGAATGACTTAATGTATAGAAAACTGGAGTTACTCATAGTATATTAAAGTATCTCATTCTTTCTGAATAGCATAATATTCTAAATTAATTATTAATTATGTTGGTTGTACCTTATCAGTTCTGTTATTTTGATAATTGTAATTCTATTTAAAGTTGCAGTATAATCTCAATAAGGTCTGTGGTGTTTTACTAGGAAATAAAATACTTAGAATTTTATATTATATTGTTTATAATTGTCAACTATCACTGTCACTACTATTTTCACTAGAGTCATTATCACTTTCGTAAACAATCATTGGAGCTCTATTTGAATTTACAAACAAATCATCTTCTTTAGTAATGTCTTCCTTTTTGCAATCGTCAAATTCTTTTGGCCATACATTATTCTCTTTGTAATATTTAATTGAGTCTTTGTTCATGATCTTCACAATTTCGGCTTTAACCTTGTCACCTTCGAGGATTGGTTCCACTAGAATATAGTCACCTCTTTTGACCCAAATGTTCTTTCTGAATTTTGTGGGCATTGACACAAGAAACTCTTCACCTTTTGGAGTTGCAACCTAAATTAAATTTTAATTAAGTAAAAATAGCAAATTCTATAAAACTTAGTTATAATAAAGATGCATCCATTTTCTGACAAATTTATCTAAATCAATTTGGTATAGGAGAATGTTTAATTTTAGGAAGATTTCCAGATAAAGATAAAGCACAAACCATCTTCATCCATTAACTAATAATTTTTCTTCCTACTAGAAGGCATGTTAAGTTATTGATCTTGGTTACATCTGCAGTTAGTAAATTTTATTAATCAACACTAGACTTGTAATTCCTATGTGATTGAATCCATAGGCAACACTCAACATATATTTAAAGTATTGTAAATGTGAATATTGTTTTTACTTCAGCCATTTCAAACTGACAATATTAACAAATAAACTTATTCATAGTGAATAGATTCCACTTGATCATTGGCAAATCAATAAACATTTTGCAGGGTGATGTTCCTACTTAAAATGTAACAGTGCTACTTATAAACGAGGCTTAGCATTGGAGTAAATTTACGCTGAGACCGCTCTTTGTATTAGTCAAAATTCATAATGTTAAACAGAGATTTAACAAAGGTTAACCTAATATGAGCTTCTCCAGGAGTAAATTTGCTCCTAGAAGGTAGTAAAAATAATGAATATGGAATATGGACTTATACTAAAATTGTAATTTTGGCGTAAATTTACACTGACGCTAAACCTTGTTTATAGGTAGCACTGTAAGAATATAAGACCTAGTTTAATAAACAGTAATATGTGTTTCCATGATTCAAATCACTTTGGGTCAACTGTAACAGAGGTTGAATGATATTGCGAATTAAGTGAAGACATGGCAAAGAAATGTTTATATTCTCAGTAGGTACCTAAAATAGCACATGCTAATGATGCACGCCTCTTGTTCTAGCTATTTACAAACATATAACCTTACTTATTGTAAACCTTATTTCTTTCGATAATTGTATTGCAATCTTACCTCATGTAGATTGTTTCCTTTACTTTTAAGAACTTTAACGATGCTTTGATTTTGTTTGGGCAGTTCATAATCGTCCCAAAGCGCTTCTTTCATTACATGTTTCCTTTTTGTTACTTTTGACATATTAGCATCTGATCTGTATTTATTGATAAAAATAGATAGATAGGTACTAGAGCTAGATAAAATGTGAATTACTAACAGTTGATATACAATTATTAAAATCAAATAAAAACAGAAATCGTATTCGCAAATGAGTGTCTGAGTGTCTTATCATCACAGACCACAGACCAAGAAGAAGATTGTCACAGACCAAGGAAATCACACAGTGCTGCCAACTCTAAAAAATAATTTCTGCTAAATAGGCTTTAAAAAAATAACAAAAATATGCCAAATATTAACGAAAATGCTTAAAAAAATGCTTTTATCAGAGAAACAAAATATTTATTAAAAATCTTTATAAAGAAGCATTTATAAATAATTTGCGAAGACCCTCGTCGGTATCCTGAGCCGTTGATGTAGCTGGTAGGTATGGAGCAGATGTCGTAAATGCATAAGCCTCATTAGTCCCTATTTTTAGCAAAATTTGATCAGGGACTTCATTGATTCCCCTCACCAAAAACTCATTATAATAAAGCGGGATTTATCTAACCAAAGACTACGCTATGACTATAAATCTACGAACACTCTAAGGTTGTATTCAGACATTTATTTTCTTATAGTTCAGACATATATAGCATATTTTATAAGAAAATCTGAAAAATATCTTTAGATATTTTACTCGCAGTAAAATGCTTAAAAAATATGCTAAACTGAATTTAATTATACCAAATCACTAGAAAACTTAGCCATAAAAATATAGACATAAAAGAAGAGGACCGGCCATACCTACGAAAAAAGCGTATATGCCTAAACTTCAAATGCAAATTCTTCGATGGCGGATTGTCATAGGGCGTGACCCAAGATATCGATATTTGTATCGACATTGAAGTCATATTAAATAAAAGTTAGTATTTCGTGAAACTGCTACAATACTACTACTTATTAAATAATATAATATAATTTTCATTGTTAGGGGCATGGCTAAACTATTACCTATTACACTTCTATTCATTTCACACTTACGTACCAATCCTATTTATGATGTATTATTAATTAAATTGAAAAATTCACGCCAGTATCAAGAAAATAATATTTTTTTAAAAGTGGCGTGAATTTATCAATTATTTATAAATCATTAAGCAATCTTTTGCTCGTATTTTGTTGGACATCTAAAATTTCTTGCGTTCTTTGTTCTTGCGACTCCGTTGCGTCACTATAGTAAATATAACATATGTTACCAGCGTATGATGGCGCTTCCCACGGGTAAAAGATTATTCGTATTCCAAATTTCATCAAAATCCGTTCAGTAGGTTTTACATGAGAGTAACCAACATCCATCCTCACAAACTTTCACGTTTATATTATTTAAAAATATAATTTTTATAATAGATTGTACCTCGATAAATATGTTCCTTTTTCCTCTAATATAGCCAAATTTTACATAGTTTTAAGAACTATAGTACCAAAATATATATCTTAAAAGTTTTACAATAATATCAATCGTGTTTTATAATTATGTCCATATATATTGTCATGTTGACATTTTGCAATTATAATTAAATAGTTTTTTTAACTAGATACTAAGCATAGATAATACATTCGTTTTTCCATATCAAGGTTTTACCGGCCCCGGCTTCCATGGTCTTCAGCTTTAGATAATAGGTACATAATACGAAAGACCAAAGAGTAAAAGTATATAGTCAAAATCTCACAAACTCATGGACATAGGGTATGTTCCGATATACACTGCGACCACTGAACAGTATGACGTCAATTTAGTATACTGGAAGCCCGTTCCTTTATAGCTAGTTATACTGGTGACTTTTTAAAACGGAACGCAGTCCAGTATACTGTTAATCCTATTTTTGGCGCCATTTTCAAATTTGTTAATGTAAGGTGAATATAAATATAAAGATTCCCTCTTTTCAAAAGAAAATATTATAAAATTGAAAATTGTATAAAAAAATTATTTATCAATCAAATCCATCTTATAATAAACGTAAGTATTTTATTTTATCTGTTTCGACTGATCACGTGGTCAAAAGCACTGCGAGCACTGCACCTCGAAATCTCCAGTGCTCACAGACCGAGAACGTATGGGGGAGCGACAGACAACTTGTTGCCTGAGCAAACCCAGGCGGGACCGGAGCCAAGTCACGGGAGGGACCGCCCACTGCCAAAGGGGAAAGGGAAGGGGAAGGGAAAGGCAAAGTCCAGCGCCAAGAGGGCCCGACTCGACGAGACTGTGTCTCCGAGGGGAGAGCCCAAAAGGCAAAGACGGAGCCGTCAACCGGACCCAGCTCTAACTCCATTTCCAAGCGTTCCTACGCTTCCGCAACATCGGCAACTGTGACCGCCTCCACATCGGAAACTCGATTCGCTGTGACGTCGAGCGAGGGATACATCTCTCGTGAGACGGCCGAGCTAGTCGAGGAGAAGATTGAGGAGGGGATCATGCAGATTGCCAGTGAGACTGCGTTCCGCGAGTGTTCCAAGGTCGCCCTGGTGTTTAGTGGGAAACCGCTTTACGCTGACGGGTGTCTAAGGTACACATGCGGCAACGCACAAACCCTAGAGTGGGTACGACAGCAGGTACGGAACGTACAGAGCCCAGATGGAGGAAATCTTGTTGTCCTTAGGGCGGAAGAGATCCCCAAACGGGTTAGGTGCGGCTTCGTCCTGCCTAAACTCTGGAAGAAGGATCGGGTTATGCTAGGCAAATGCCTGGCGATCGGAAATCCAGATTTGAACATCGAAAGATGGCTGCTCAACGGTGTTCATCTACAGCCAAAATTCGAAGCAACCTTCGTTCTCCTATCGATACCTGAGGAGGACGTATCCGCGATCCTGGCTAAGGGGCGCAGACTCTGTTTTATGACGGGGTCCGTGTACCTGAAGTTCAGGGACGCGAGAGGGAAGTACGTCGACACTCCGCCGACGAACAACCCCAGTGCGACTTCCTCGGTATCGGTACCGGAACCAACACAGGCTGCCACTTCTGCGCCCATACCCACACCGGCACCCACGCCCGACGCCGGCTTACCACACGCCACCGCCACGTCCGCGGCGATTCCAGACGACGCCATCCCCGGTCCCTCGCACGAGGCTTCATCGCCTCTGAGTGAGGGATGCCTCCTGGGGCTGAGCGAGCTGGAGATCGAGGACGTCAATTGCGAGGACGATGGCGTCCCACTGCAGTAGTGCGAAGATACTGCAAGCCAACCTCCAACACAGCATCACCGCAACGGCTCAGCTTCGGAGATGGTTGGAGGTAAATACAACAGCGGTCGCACTGATCCAGGAGCCGTGGATCAGGGGTGGCGAGATAAGAGGACTTTCCAGTCTGGGAGGTAAGCTCATTCAAGCCACTACTAATGACGTAAGAACCTGTATATACACTACCAAAGACATTAGAACACAGCCTTTAACGAATTTCTGTTCCAGAGATCTCTGCGCCACAAGGCTGACAATGAAACATGATAATTATAACTGCGATATGATCTTAGCGTCTGCTTACATGCACGAAAAGGAGCGAGTCCCACCAGAGGAGGTTGCCTCACTGGTCCGCTTCTGCGCGCAGGAAAATGTGGAACTGATCATCGCAACGGATTCAAACGCTCATCACCCCCTGTGGGGAATGGAGAAAAGCAACATCAGAGGTAACCAACTTGTTGAATTCCTTCTGACCACTAACTTATTGATAATGAACAGAGGAAACGAACCCACCTTTGTGAGCAAGATCGGCAGCTCCATAATTGATCTTACTCTCGCGACCCCGGAAACTGGGCCAGCGATATCGGACTGGCACGTATCGAAAGAGGCGTCATGCTCTGATCATCGGTGGATTCGGTTCGACTTACAGGTACCGATCACTGACCTCGTCCCTAAAAGGTACCCCAAAAAAACTAACAAAACCCATTACAATCGTTTGGTGTCAGAGAAACTGTGTACGAGCTGTGAAAATGGTAGAATCGACACCACGGTAGAAATAGAACAGCAGGTAAATATGGTCTCCGATTGCATCCTTGAATGTTACAAGGAGGCCTGCCCTCTCAAGCTTCCGAAATCCAAAGGTTCGGGTAAACACCTCTGGTGGGGTCCCGAGCTACAGAAAATAAGAAGCAAGGTGAGGAAGAAATTTAACCGAGCAATGAACACCCGGAGTGAATTGGACTGGGACAACTACAAAGCCATTAAAGCTAAGTACAAAAAACGTATTAGATACTGGAAAACAGCCTCTTGGCGTAGCTTCACCGAAGAGATAAATTCCACAACACAGGCAAATAGGGTAAGGAAAATTTTGGCGAAGCAAGGTCCTGGCACGTTGGGAACTCTCCGAAGACCTGACGGCACGATGTCCCAAAGCCAGGATGAATCCAATCATATCCTACTACAGACCCATTTCCCAAACTGTCAATCAATTGAACAGGTAGTATGGCATGATGTCACGCCGACACCGACGGAAAGATGCTGGCGCCTTGCAACAGAAATTGTAACGTCTGAAAAGGTGAGATGGGCCATCAGCAGCTTCTCTCCCTTTAAGGCGGCAGGAAGCGACGGCATTTTCCCAGCACTACTACAATGGGGAGGCGAGACTATTGTCACAGCACTCACCTGTATACTACAAGCGTGTCTTGCTCACCGATACACGCCACACAGATGGAGAGAAGTAAAGGTAGTATTTATACCCAAACCGGGAAAAACCGACTATACTAACCCCAAATCTTTCCGGCCCATCAGTCTAACATCTTTCCTACTCAAAACTCTGGAAAGACTATGCGACAGATATGTACGAAGTGGTGCACTGAGCATTTCTCCGATACATAAACATCAACACGCCTACTTAGCAGGTAAATCTACAGAATCGGCCCTCCATCAACTAGTCGGTAAGATAGAATTGGCCCTTCACAACAAGCTCATCTGTCTTGGCACTTTCATCGATATCGAAGGTGCCTTTGATAGAACCAACTTCACCAGCATTGAGGCGGCTCTCAAAAGACATGGAGTAAAGCCACAAGTTATAGACTGGATCGTGAATATGCTACGCAACAGGATAGTTCGGGTGGCAGGTGAGGACAGTACGGGGGCACTGGTGGCGCGGGGATGCCCCCAAGGGGGAGTGCTCTCGCCGCTACTGTGGAACCTGGTGGTCAACGACCTGATCACACTCCTGAATGCAAACCATTTCTACACCATAGGGTATGCCGATGATATCACAATATTAACTCTAGGCACCCATGCTGGTATAACCTGCAACACCATGCAAGCCGCCCTGAAGAGAGTCGAACGCTGGTGTGAAAAGTACGACCTGACCGTGAATCCTGCAAAAACGGAACTGGTAATGTTCACAACCAAACACAATGTAGGCACGTTTCACCTACCGAAACTATTTGGCACAACACTACAACTGTCCAAGGAGGTAAAGTATCTAGGCATAACCCTTGACAGTAAGTTAAACTGGAACAGCCACATAGAACACAAAATTAAATCAGCGAGCGTCATCCTGTGGCAATGCCGCAAAATGATCGGGAAGCGTTGGGGACTTGCGCCAAAACTGTTCTTGTGGCTTTACAACACAGTAATACGACCGATGGTAAGTTATGGTGCCATTGTTTGGTGGCCAAAAACTACTCAGTCCTCCTGTGAAAACAAACTGCAGAGCTTCCAACGGCAGGCGTGCTGCGCCCTGACGGGATGCATGAGCACGGCGCCCACGGCAGCTCTGGAGGTAATGTTGAATATTACACCGCTACATATTTATATTAGACAGGAAGCGGCCAAGACAGCGTTGAGACTAAAAAATCATAAACTGGTAAGGTTCGATACCGCTAAACATCTCAATGGCTTACTGAAGGAATGGCTTAACACCCCGCTTGTAGAGGCGGTTTGCGACAGAATCGAATCCACCTTCATCTTTGACAAGAAATACAAGATACATCTTACGGACAGTGACGATCCAAAGGTAACACACAGGGCCCTCACAGTTTTCACGGACGGCTCCAAAACCTTAACAGGCACAGGGGCTGGTGTATTCTCTGAGGACCTTAACATACATCTGTTCCTGCCCCTCGGCCCATACAATACAGTCTTCCAGGCTGAATGTATGGCGATCACCCTGGCGGCGAGAGCGATAACTACAAGGAAGGTAACAGGATCAGAAATCCGGATCTTCTCGGACAGTAAATCAGTCCTACAGGCTCTCAAAGGAAGTTCTGTCCGATCGAGTCTTCTACAGGAGTGTCACCAGGTTCTAAACATGGTAGGGACACACAATATAATTACTATCCAATGGATAAAAGGACACAGTGGATCACGTGGAAATGATGCAGCTGACGAACTGGCACGCAGAGGATCAGATGCAACACCAATGGGCCCGGAACCGATCATTCCTATTCCGGTAAGCTGGTTAATTGGTAGGATACGTGAACACTCGAGTAAACTACATCAACAATACTGGCACACTTTGGAAACCTGCAGGCAGGCCAAACTTGCACTACCCCGAGTGAACGCTCGCCTCTCCAAAGCCCTCCTACAGCTAAGTAAACCATATTTGCGCCTGGTAACGGGTGCTATTACTGGTCATGGCAACTTTAACAGGCACCTTTTCAATCTAGGTGTCCAATAACTTACATACATACAGTTGCAAAGTTTGGACATTTAAAAAATGAACAAGTATTGAAAATAGGACGAAAATTATCAATGGATACTTAAAATACATATTTTCTGGAATTACTTAAACTAGTTAACATAGGTACTCTATAGTGCCAATATACCAACGTTTCTTGACAAATATTGGTTATTAACCTCAGTGTACTTTTGTGTACTAATTTGTGCACTGATTACAAATTTTTCATGTAATAGTAACAACACTAATCAATGTTTACGTACGGAAATATCGATATTGATTATACCTAGAAAAAGCATGCAGTAGCGATACTAGTGTTACACATGTCTTTGACAGAATGAAATACACATGTCTTTGTCAGAATGAAATAAATATACTAATTTAGTAATGAAAGAAAGAGATGTGATGGGTTTCAAGAAGAACAACGCGTGCTGCATTTCTATAAAGTGACCTAAAATTTTACATTATAACTTCGCGAGGTAAAAAAAGAAATAAAATTTATCTTCTTAATGAAAAATTATACATTTTGGAATTTTACCCACACCGTTTGACATCACAACTTGCCATGGTTAACCCAATAATTACTTTATTTTAAAGAAAAGTCTTCTCGTCAAAGTATATATTACACAGATCGAACTCAATCGGTCGCAACTGAGGATTCACATACGTGTATTACTACTTTTGTCAAAACGATCTATGCAGAATCACAGCTGCTTGGCTACAGCCTGCAGTCTTTTATGCGGCATCTATTGGAGGTTTTCTGTGTGACTATCTCTCTCGGCTAATATTAGCTTCTGTAGATGGAGCAATGAAAATTATATATATTTTTTTTGACGTGGATACGTCTATGTTTTCGTTCTACAGGGGGTCATTCTGTGAGCAGGAGCTTATGCACTAACGCCATCTATTGGCGTATAAGTGAACTATGCTTGCTCTGCAGGGGGATGGGCATTCTGTTAGCAGGAGTTTATTCACTAACGCCATCTATTGGCGCTAGTGAATACTTTTTCATTCAACAAATGAACGCAACGAATATTTATTTATTTAGTGTTTATTGTCTTCAATTTGTTTATTTTTTGTATCAATTAGTCATATATCCATTCATACATAGACGTATCCACGCATAAAAAAATATGGCTGTATCAATGATACAGCCAACCAGGGATTTTTTAGAATTATGTAATTTATTTACACATATTATGAGGAAGTATTTAAAAAAAAGCATTAGTTCCTGAAATCAAACTAATGTCGCTACGTTATGTTCTTGATTTCTCCATGACAACATTTCCAGTTTTCTTTCGATTTTAAAAGTAGATTAGTTTTCAAAACTCAATAAATAACTCATATTCTATTTGTCCTTTTTCGTATTTGTATTGTTATATAAGTTTCGAACTTTTCAAATTTCGGTTTTTTAATATGTTAGTTAAAAGGAACGGAATGACTGTCTGTGATCCATTCGTTTCCTGCTAATGCAAGTTGATTAATCGATTTATAATTATAATTTACCGATTTATTTTTGCGTCCTACCCTTTAAACAGATCATTATATTCTCTTTATAGCTGCGTTTTGGTGTTTGCATGTTTCGATTGTTCGCCTCGTTTACTTCTGTCAGCGAACTCGGTGATTCGCATTCTTTCTTGATTTCGTTTCATCAAGAGTTTTATTGTTTCGGACAAAGATATTATCTTATCTTTTTTTATTGTAATGTCAATTTGGTTGGAAATTAATCGGCGAGATACATAAAAGAGATAGTGTATTTGTAAATAGCAATGTATTTTATCGAATCGTCAATTCTTATCAATAACTGATTGAATTAATTTTCGATTGAAATTAATTGTACCTCTCAAATGTGATTTGGCTCGCAATGGAGGATTATAAATTTCTCTTTAAAGTAGTATTAGTGGGAAATGCGGGCGTGGGCAAGACTTGTTTGGTAAGGCGTTTCACTCAAGGACTTTTTCCACCCGGACAAGGCGCTACAATAGGTGTAGATTTTATGATCAAAACTGTAGAAGTCGACGGTGAGAAAGTGAAGGTAATAATGTAAATTTTTTAAGTCTTTTCCTTATTGAGCATTTTTATCAATTAATTGCTATAATAGATTTATGATGTGTTTTTATTTACAATTAAGCATGAGAGTATTTACAGTTGATTGTTCCTGTGATTATTTTTAATGAAATAAACTGCTTTGTGCATTAGATCAGCCTAATTAGCTAGTAATTACTACACATATTTTAACATTTTCACATTTGCAATAACTTCTTTTGTTTACGGCCAGACTATCCAAAAAAATATACTGAAGTCATGTACAAGCTTTTATTATTTGATATTTTACATTATTCAGTGAGTAATGTTTTTTTAGTTGCAAATATGGGATACAGCAGGACAAGAGAGGTTCCGTTCAATTACACAGAGCTATTATAGATCTGCACATGCCCTGATTTTGGTTTATGACATATCTTGCCAACCAACTTTTGACTGCTTACCAGACTGGCTAAGAGAGATTGAAGAGTATGCAAATAATAAAGTTCTTAGGATATTAGTGGGTGAGTTGGTTTTCTAAAAGTTAATAGAAAATGTTATTGTTGTCAACTCATTTTCTGATGAATATGTCTGATGCATATGTTAGGAGAGTTCTTTGTCTTTCCTTAATTATTTTTGCTTAAAAAGTAAGATTATTAATAAGTAGTGTAGTAAGTCATTAACTGAAATTAATAATGATAGCTTTGAATAAGAAATATTTATCACCTCATAACAAATTGCCAAATTACAACTTTTTAATACTATTAGCTTTTGAGCTAAATCACAGACCAATGAATGGACAGATGGATAGATGAACGCAGATAACAGATGATAGATGGATAGATGAACATGGCAAAACTATAAGGGTTCCTTGTTTTATTATGTTACCCTAAATATGAATTGTGGATGTTTATCTTTTTTTGGTAATCTAATATGCTGGAGTGTGCATTGTAAAACATAATTATAGATACTTCAATTTTGCATCACTATTAACCAATTGGTCTGATGATAGCACCTTAAATCATTATAGTTTAAACAAGTGAAGGAATAAAACTGACTACACATAGCTCAGTGGCATAGTGGATAACATCATGGCTCACAATCTTTGCTCTTAAGCAACTTTTGCAAAGGTCGGTCACCAAAAATATTATTTCAAGCTACTCTGTGCTTCGAAAGGCACGTTAAGCCATTGGTCCCGGCTGCATTTGTAGTTGTGAGTACCCTCCAATCTGCAATAGGCCAGTGTGGAAACTCGCGGGCACAAACTAGTCAAAGTTATTTGTTAACTTTCCATAAGGAAGGCCTGAGCCTCTGCAGTGGAGATGTAACAGTGCTGATGATATGTATATTTCTTATCTACAATTTATTATAGGTAACAAAACTGATAGAGAAGACAGGGAAATTCCAAGACATATTGGTGAAGATTTTGCCCAGAGACATGGAATGTATTTTCTTGAAACTTCAGCAAAAGAAGCAGAGAATGTTGAGAGGCTGTTTATGGAGATAGCTGTAGAGCTCATGGAGGTAAATACAATATTAAAAGCTGGTTTTCAAATGATTTTTTTGATTTGTATGTAGTTATAACTGAGAGTTATTATTAAAGCAAATTGTAACTATTAAAACATTTGATGTTTTAAGAAGTTTGTTAATCATATAACTAGTCAAAGTTAATTAATTCAAATTCTTCAAATAATTGCTCCAATTGCTCCAATAACTTTCACAATCATGCAATTCATTTCAGTTCTTGTTGATTAATATGCAGTGATGTGGCAGCATTTGAAGTTATAATATTTAAGCTTAATACAGAATCTTCACTGTTAAAACTATCAACTTCTCTATTTTATCTAGTTTTGGTGATGACACCCTTTTGCAAATAGGGATATTGATAGTGATCAATATGAAATATGAAACTTAATTTCTATAATTTGTAATTTTTATTAATTAGGTTCACATATCTCAATGAAGGTGAAAGTTTTAAGTTTGATAGTTTGTTACTTCTTCATGAAAAAACTAGTGGATGGATTTTGATGAAATTTCGTATACAGATAATTCTATACTTGGATTAACATATAGGCACTATTTATCTCACTAAACAGTTCCATAGGGACTATGTGGATACAACCACTGGTGGAAAATAGCTAAAATAAATAAATATAAACAAAAAAAACAATTTTTTTTGAACTGCATGTTGTGTGAGTTCAAACAAAAATCTACTGTGTGTCATTATATCAATGTATCAGCTATTAATTTCAAAACTCTTGAATCTATATCAGGTGTAAATTTATTCATATTTTCATTGAACTGTGCGATCACTATATTATTATTAAAGATAGGCAGACAGTTGCAAGAACTGATGTGGCCTATATCCAGATTTCTTTTGTGTGAGATATTTCATTATTCCTGTTTCATGAATTAGTCTATTCTATTTTTAAATTAGTTAAAACAAGTGTATAAATAATTGACTTTATAATATGACAGACATTCATGCATGCTCATTTTAGTAACTAAAAAACTGTAAATTTAAAAATAAAAATTAAATGGACATACACATGTAGACTTTCATTTTTAATATTGTCAAAAACTCTATTATCACTGATAAATAGTAATAATCGCCATTTCGGTTAACAATACTATATCCTATTTTTTTTTCTATTATAGCAAGCAAAATGTAAGGAGCTTCCGAAATATGATGGCAGTTTAGGACCCATCAACGGAAAAACCACATCAGTTGGTGATAGCTCCTGTTGTCTTCGATCATAAATAATAACGAATTTATCTAATTGGGATTACTAGAGGTATGAACTGGTATTTTTATAGAGGATCATTTGTTTTACAATTTTATTATATTGGTTATAATTATGTATCTGTTCAATTAAAATACAGGGACGGAGAGATGTAGAATAAGTATTCTTAAAAGTTGTTTATTTCATAAATCTCTATATTTTAGGTGTTGACATTGTCTGTTGTTTTATTTTAATTTAACTATTCTATTTATTCTATCTGAAGTAGGAGGTAATTATTTTTGTTATCTAATCAGATAAATGGATATAATTTTCCAACTAGCAAAATAAAATTGATTTATTATTTCTGTTATAGGTCTACCAATATTGGTAAATCTGCTTGATCTATAGATAAATGATCTGTTCTACTATCTGTGTCATTTATGCTACGTCAATTCATTATAGCAGCTACTTAACACACCCAATATAAACTTTTTGTGACTAGCGAATGGTGGGTTAAGTTGGTCGTTGCAGAAATGAACTTGGCTTTTCCTCATCTCAGGATTCCAGAATTACTCACAGATAATCTCTGAAAAATCAAGCATATTGAAACTTAAAAGCTTTTAAGTTATCTTTCTTTTCAAAAACATGGCTTGAAAAATAATAATTGAAGAAATTTTACTTACGAAAACTTTTATAAAAATATACTAAACTGCTTGCAGTTGTGTTTCCTTTTGTTTGCAACAAGAAAAGAATAACCCTAATACCAGCTGACAAAACGTCAAATGCTATTTTTTTTGTTAATACCTGGAACCCCGAGCTATGTCAAGTATCATGACGAAAGTTTCGTGTTTCAACCGGGACTCTAAAGCCCCGTATTTTGCGGTAAACATTAGTTTATCAACAAAGTTAAAGCAACGTGTTGCTGTATTGCTGGCGACAATGCGTGTTGCGGAGTTTATAACTGCATATTGAAATGTTTTTGCTCGACTAGCGGAAACAATGTCGATCAACAGTTTGCTATGAATACGCATTTAAAGTATGTTGTATAATTTCAATAACATCATATCATAATGATATCATAATGCTTTACTTTTATCGGGGATTACGTTAACTGAAATGTTTGCGTAACTGAAAAATCTCAATGCCCACCGGCTACCTAAACAAGGTCATCTCAAATGCTAATTTTTTGGGCTTTACCTTGCGGAACCCCTTTAAGGGAGGTTGGTCAAAGTGCAGGAGCACATCTAATAAAACCCATTGGTATCCCTTTCCGTAGAAGGCGATGCACGGTATATACCGTTGCATTATATTTATTATATGTATTAAATTAAGAAATAAAATTGAGAACTAAGGACATTATTTTAAATTTTATATATAATAATTGAATCGCATTTTCCTTTTAATTATCTCTGTTGTGGATAGAAAGATAGATATTGTATTATTTGGTTATAAGTCTTGCCCATCTAAATCCACATTCCATTGTTTTATTTGCGTAGGTATATTTCTTAAATATAAAGAATTATCGTTTATTTCATAAAAAAATTGCAATTGATTCAATATGAGACTGAAATTATACCAGTTGATCTCTTTATAAAAATACCATCATGATTAGAACTGTTCTACGTAGTATTGAATCATTCCACCACTCGCTTTAATTGCCGTTGTACCGTTGCAATGTCATGAATGGTTCTGTGCACCAATTTAACCAAGCTTTCTTCAAACAGATGAGTAACATGTGAAAAAGAAACATGATTAATTTTGAGTAGCTGTTTAATTAGTAATCGTATTCAGTTTATTTTAAGGTGGACTTACCTTACCCGTTGCACTTACACAAAATAAACTAGGAGGAGTAAGGTCAAACAGAATCCAGAAGATATTACAATAACAATCATACAGAGTTCGCGTAAGAGTCGATGTTCTATACTTTTATTTGTATTGGCTTATTATATCCATAAAAATATAGTTAGGTTACTGCACCTTGAAATTGACAATGAAGAATGCCCGATGTTTTGATTAGATTTTTCAATTAATGCTAATTCGATAATAACAATATTCTGACCATCATAAGGCATATCAACTTAATATTCACTATAGATTTTATGAGACCAAAATAGATTATACTGGCTTGTTAGGTTTATGTATGTAAGAAAGTAGATTAAACTATTAGTCATATTCAATACTTTCTATGTATTGAATATGAAAAAAAAAATCATATCATCATTACATGTTAAAATCCATTATTGTGACATTGCAATGTACAATTTATTGTATACAATTCGCTGTTGCAATTTCGTTATGATAAATATAATTAGTATTAATTTAGTCTAAAGTGGAATGGTTAAATAGATGCCTGTAGGTTGTATTTGTTCACACTTGCTGAAGTACTATTTAGTAGATAAACAATAGATATACGTTAATGCTCCCTTCAAATTTGCATTGGATGAGATTTTGTATGATTACTTTGTTAATGTCAGTTTCTTAATGATGTGATAGTATTATTTACATTATTTCTTTTATATTGAAAAGAATAACGGTCGGTTTCTGAATTGAGAAAAGTACAAAATCTCTGCCTATTATCCTCAATAACTTTATTTTTTTTATGTTTCACGTGGCACAGAGGACAGAGTTTTATAAAAGTGCTATTAACTTATCATTTAAATAAATGAAATCAGATACGAAAACCTGTATAAGATGTTTAAGATGGTTTAAGTATAGTTTGAGAATTTCTTAACTTTAAATTCTCTATTCAGAAACCGGGTGTAGGAAATATATTTTTAACACCTGATTATAACCAGGGTTGTTGCGAATATCAGCATCAGGGTCCGCTGATTATCAGCATTGTTTTTAATATTAACATCGACATCCGCATAAGTATCTATGCTGTTTTTAATGCTGACATTCAAGTTGTAACGTATTCGTTGAAGACAAGACCGAGAGCATTTTACGTAGAGAAAGTTTAAGAAACAATCTGGCACATGCTTGCTCATTAGTTTGTTTTGTCAACCTAATTTGCTTGAGACTTTTAATGTCAATATGGATGATGACTAATATTTTTTTTGTCTGTCCGTCAGGTAGTTCATTGAAGAATATTAAACATGTATTTTTTATTATTTGCGTGATCATTAAATTACATTGATAAATTGAGTTAAAATATCATGTCACATCTTTGTACATTTTCTACATAGTTTTGACGTAGCGAGCCACCTCTTCCGAACTTTAATGTCTGCCATCTTAGTGATTTCTTGTTAAATTGAAGCAAAAAAATACATATCCAATATTTTTCTGTTATCTGACTGACCAACTAATTCGAATTTCTTTTTTTTTATCCAAGCATCATCCCTATTGTTAAATACTAGCTGTTCTCTCGAGACTTCGCCCGTGTTGACGTAGACTTCTTGGCTACTTGACTTTTGTGGTAAAAGTATTTTAAATCTTTGACATGATTTTTCACATTAAAACCAATTTCTATTCATTAATTTAAATTAACCCCCGTGAAAACAATCAGACACGTGACGTAAAAGATACAATGCTAAAGCTTGCCTTAGAAAAGTTTAAACGCATCTGTTTTTGTGTTTTGTTTTTTTTATATTTTTTCGTTGCTATGTATCTCTTTTTATTACATACAAGCGTGTGGATCATTAATAAATGCGAATGATACTTTAATCTTATAGAGATGAGACGTTATTTCTTACTTTTTAAGGATACTTAATTTGAATATTGGAGTGTACATCATTATGGGTTATACATTAGTGTTTAATATTTATTGACTCCCTGATATTGGCACACTACATTTTATGTAAAAGTTTAGAAGTTTTAATCTACTTAAAGTAGAGTTTATTGAAAAGAAAACTTATTATTGTAACATTTTTTTTACGGGATTCTTTCCTTATACTCAAATTTCAAAGAGTAATATTATAATTGTATTTATTTTTAATAAAATAAAACTAACACTCGCATTGTTGTAATTTATACCTGTTTATTAAAATATGATCTACGTGATAGTATTTTAGTGACACGTTAATTTTAAATTAGCGTAAATGTTGTAGTATTTATTATTATTTTAGGTGTCTATTTTGGGATTTTATAATACAATTAAATACGATTTTTACCTTATGACATCACATTTGTAATGCACTTTGATTGTGAGATTTTTTATTAGTGTTACTTGGTTTACGCTTAGAGTTCATGTTTAATATCTTTTTTGCAATAATTAGTATGTGTCTATATTTATGTTATTGTCATAATAAGGAATTTTCAATTCTGAATGTTTTCTTGTTTATATGAGGTTGTATTGTATTTTAACGTTGCTTCTGTGTGCAACATATCCATATTTCAATTATATTGTTATAAGAATTATCTGCGCCGTACGTAACGTATGCCTTTGACATTTAACGCTGATTGTAGCACTTTGTGCAGTAATTTAATGGTGTTAACATACTGTAGTTATTTTTGTGGTGCATAATTATATAATGTATAACAACAGATAACGTTAGGTAGTATCTTTAACTTTGTGGTTAGATGTAGCTATTTTTAATGATTACAATAACCAATAATACGAAGTTATGTAACATAGAGTAATTTTCAACAGCATGTTTTTTGTTTTTTTTTTTTTTTTTGCGGTAATACTTTAAGGATCACCAGAAAACGTATTCAGTTTTGTTGGTATCGACGATAACCAGATTTGTTTAGTGCACTACATTATATTGACTAGTTTCATTTTCGTGTTACTCTGGCGTCATTAGCGCAGGTTGCAATGGCATAATGCAAACGTAGCGACAACGCAATGCTTTACATCGCATTACCCTTTGTAAGTTAAAAAAGTGTTTTATACAGATGTGATCGCGCTCCTCATTGTTAACTTAATTTGCATATTCGACTATTCTCTCGATGTTTCGACATTCTAGAACGAATAGCCGTTTGCTTCGGTTAACTTCAGTTTAATATATGCGTTATTGTTCTAATTTCCTTAGAATCACCTGCTGCTTTTTCGCACCGTACGTCAATGTACCTCCAAATACCGCTGGCAACGCCATCGTGTGTGTCTATCCGTGTCGATCGCTTTTATCGTTGTTGTTTATTAAACAATTGTTAGCTTTATATTTTTTATACAGTTGTTTTGTTAAGTTTCATGATATTTAAGAAAATAATATTTTCTCCCACTTTTTCTTTACTGGATGGAAAGTTCAGCCGAGTAAAAAAATATTTATAACTTTTTTATCGACGGAACGTATTGATGTTCCTATGAAGTAATTTAGTAACGATTACCGAAGGCCAACTGGCATGTAACATCTACATGCCTTAGCCTTCCTTCCTGTTGTGCTTTTATTAAAACTTCTTTATTTACTCCCGTTCTCTCTCTCTCTCTCCCCGAATTGATTTCTCCTTTTTTCCTGAAAAACAAGTTGCAAGAAAGTAATTTTGGCACACGTGAAAGGACTTTCATGATAGCGTGCAATCAATATTATCTCTGAAACAATTGTAACGTCAATATCGACATATTGTCACGACACCATAAACAATACAGTCGTCATTTAAAGCGTGGTGAAATTAATTGTATAAAACCACTTTCATCTAAATATGCGGATTGTACGAAGCTGCTTTAGTGCCGTGAAATTAATGCATGCATTGCGAAAGGGGACACTTGCAACTGTTACCAAAATAATGCAATGAAGGTAGTTTCATGCAACTACTTTCGTATTGTAAATACAGCTTTATGCAATGTATGCATTGCGTTTTCGTGGTGTTTGCACTTTGCCTACATTTATACGAACTATTTATTCAGAATGGAATAAATGTTAAGATTAGGTAACTTTCTAAATACGCAAAACGGCTACAAGTGCACGTAACATGTTTACGTTAATACCTTTACTCTGGAAAAGACTTGGATCTGATCTGATTATCATTTTAATAATGTTTCCTGGATATAAAAAATATTATTTTCACCAAAGAAATGGAATTATTGTAATACTCGCATGATAATGTAATAAAAACCGATTTGGATTGTCAGTTGTTTCATTTGGATAATACCTCAGAAAAGTGATAATAGAAAATAATTAGTTTCAGTTTGAAAATAGATTTAATACTTATTTACCTGTATGTAAATAATGCTCTGGTGGTTTTGAGAATTTTTTTTAACTGTTTTCTTGTGGCTTTACCTGCGTCCATTATAGCCTGTCACCCTTGCGCGTATAATGTAGCTGACAAGTAGGTAGGTGAGAATCGGAGTCTATTCAAAGACAAATTTTTAAGATGTTTCCAATTTAAATGTAAACTTTTCTGCTAAGATATGAAGCAAGGTGTATTAAGTTTCACTTCCTTTCTCCAAGCATGCAGAGATATAATTAGTTGACGTTAATTATGTTACTGATAATCAATAATGGTATGTATTGATTGTCCGGATCTGTTGTGAGTATTTGGTATATGTACTTCTTATTAGTAATTAAGTCAGTATAATTATTTTTATGACCCTAGCTTTAAGACCAAATACAGGAAAAAAAAAGTTATTTGTAGAGCCAGTACTACAAATAATAAAATGTTAAAAGATTTCTCTGATGTGGATATTTTCAACGTGAATCCATTATTTATGAGGCGCTTATTGGCGAAGTCATATTTTACTTAAAAAATGTCTATGAAGAAAATTAATATTATTAGCATTTTATATTATTAGTGTAAGTATTATAACTTTCTTTAATTGTTTGGATATTGGTGGAAATTTGTTAATGTCTTTGTATAATATTAGTTCGTTGTTAAATACATGTATTTTAACTGTACGTTTTCCAAATGAAATAAATTAATAATATAGATAAAAACCTAAAAGAGAAAAACAAAGCTCTTTGACTCTGTTCTGCATAGATTAATGGTATACGTACTCATTACACCGCACGCATAAGTATCATAAAAAGGAAATAAAAACATTTCAGATCTAAGGCTTAGATATATATAAATATGGTCCTTGGTAAAATATCATACCAGAATACCGTAAAAAAAATCGACGAGCAATGGACGACAGAAAGATTACTTATCATTGCCATCTTTTATTCATTTCATTTTCATTTTACATGTAAAAATTAATTTATTTACTTGACATTGGCAGAATTATGCGAAATGCGTAGATAAGCCATTAATTAAAAAAGAAGAAGAAGAAGAAGGTTACTTGTCACTCATACACAGCCAGACATTTGAACATATCTTTTTTTATGCCCGACTTACAATATCCAACTATTCATTTTGATAAATAACCTTCTATAAACACGTAAAAATATCCTGTCTTGCCTTCAGGACAACTTAACTTGTCCAGAATTTTTTTTTACCGTTTTATGATTTTGACCATCTGGGATGAGTAAATAATAACTCTTAACTATTTGCCTTGAACATGAAAATAAAGATTTGGATAACAACCTTTCCAAAAATAACAAGAGTTAAGACAACATTTGCTTCTTAAAATACATATACACAACCCTCATTAAGATCTGGCAGTATGGCTAAGTTTCTTCGCCTGTCCCAGTCGACGAAGCGTTACCTACAATTATCGATCGCCGCAATAATGGCGTTTTGAAATGGCCGACGTTTAGGGGGAGTGTCTCACGGAAATTGGAAATTCTCATAATTTCTACGTGATAACGTGAGTAGTGAATTTTTAAAATATCAATTTAGTGATAAGTGTCCTAAAAAGAATACTAAGATAATTACAGTTTAGTGACATTTATAAAATATACCATTTCCGGTGGTGCCGCCGGCCTAGTATTCAAAACAAAAGATGTTACAAGAATTTTCAGTAAACTAGTTCAACCTACTAATTTGTCCGCCCGAAATCTGTAGACACTTTTGAGCTCTCCTTGCCTTTACAAAACATTTTATTGATAAATCCAATTTGATTTCTTCACTAAATCTTAGGCTCGATGTTGACTTGTTGCCTCCTACAATGACTGATTTTAATTTCTTCATAAGTGGTTTTTCTGTAAATAACTAATGCTTAATAGTGAGCGCTAATTATAATGAATCTAGTAACAATCTTTGAAATATTGCTTACAGGCTAAATCCTTTGTGTTCTCATGCATTCCATTTTATATCCTGTTTGTTTTAAATTTCAGATAAGTTGGTCACATTCCACATTCTTACATTCCAATAATAAAAGACTGATTTTAAAAAGTGGATAAACATGGCTTGGCGTTTTAAAGCCTCAAAATACAAAAATGCGGCACCAATTGTGCCCAAGCCTGAAGCATGCATCAGAGATGTTTGTGTGGGATCATATCAGACATATGGGAACAATATTTGTGCTTCGGCTGCATTCATGGCGTTCAACTGGGAGCATGTTGGTTCAAGCATGGCTGTATTGCCTCTTGATGATTGTGGACGTAAAAGTAAAACAATGCCATTGCTCCATGCCCACTCTGACACTATAACAGATATGGAATTTTCACCATTCCATGACGGATTATTATTAACTGGATCCCAGGACTCATTGGTAAGTGTCTAAAATAATTTTAAATTCAGCACACTACAAATAATAGCTGTTAACCCATATGACCACTGGACCATTGGAAGTAGAATTGTACTTTCCAAAGCATTTTTTCTTAAATTAAATGATATACAAAGTATGTTTAAGTACTTTAGAGCAGATATGTCAAATTTTAAGATAAAAAAAATTTCAAGTACTTCAGCATTGAATGTTGATAAGAGGTTTACACAGATAATCTTTAGTACTTTAGAATAAAGGTAAATTGAGTTAAATTGTAACTATTTAATATGTGTATAATTGTAAGTGTTTTTAAAGGTTTGACTAATGACTGTCCTAATTTGTTGTACATATTAGGTACTCATGAGATAATTTGTTTAAGGAATGACTGTCTGTAGATAGTCATATGTTAGGAGGGAGGGAAGCCTGATATTAAAATAATATTTAATAGATTTTTATATGGACAGACTGTTTCAAGAAAGTGGGGAAAGGGGTAAAAATCAGGTTATTCACATTATGCAATTTATAGATAGACAATATTATATCTAATATTTGTATTTGACATGTAAATAATGGTGGAAAAAATTGCATTGACCAGACTCCTAAATCTAGGCCCCAAAGGTGCTTATTCAGACTTCTAAACTATATATATTGACTTGATTATTTTTTTAAAAAGTTGCAGTGATTATTATATAGCCAAACAGATATGAATCGCTACACAGATAACTGCAATTAACGGAGCAATTGATTAATCTTTAATCTTTGGTTACCTTAGAAGTCTATATTCCAGCAATAATTAGTACCTTAATATTTTTATTACATCAATTCTTATAAAATTAGTATATTACTCTAGGTTGAATAGCTTCGATCAAGGAATATTAAAAAAGAAATTCATAATATCAACTTTGATGTTTTGTTTTTGTCTGATCATTCATGATTGTTGTGTTAAAACTGTGTTTTTTTTTTTTAAATTCACAATAAAAATTTAATCAATTCACAGTCATTTATCAACATGATTGTTGACAAAATCAACTGATTTTTTTATAATGGTAAGAAATTATTAAATAAGATTTACTATAATTTAATTAATTTTGATTTTTATTTACAATTACTTCCTTGCAGATGATAACATAGCCTTTTTCAGGGGTAACCTAAATTTAGACTACATATCAGTTCCATGACCACTCCACACTTACTTAACACCTTACTCATGTTATATCTAGACTTCACAGCTTTTGGAATGCTAGCCTAATAGGATATTCATCCTCTGCGCTTGGTATTAATTAAGCAAAACAGTTCCAGAAATCAACGGAATTTTCTTATAATATTACAATAATCACCAGCTCACAGGGGCTTTGAATTAGCAAACTCAATGTACTAGTTTTTTTGTTTACTGTTTTATATATAAGTCTTGTCATAAAGAGTGTGGTTCTGATTATATTTATATTTATTTAAATATTTGTTACTTTGGTACCTAAACCATATATTTCTGTGATTGTATTAATGCATAATATTTCTGTGTACTACCTTGTTTTCCCTATCCTATTTATCTTTGCATTTGTCACTTGCAGCTTAGCATTTGCTTATTTATGCGAATAGTTGCTTTTGTATGTGTTTACACTTTGTTATTTGCAAGCGTTAATGTGAACAAACAGACACTTTTCATAATTTCTTTTTGTTTTAACTACTGAAGAAATACTTAAATGAAATAATTTATTTGTGAAAGTATAAACAAACAGACAAACACTGTGATGTCCTTTTGTTTAAATTCATAAATAACTATTTTGAATATGCAAATTTACTATACTTTATTATATAGCTTATTTCCTTGTTCTAGTTATTTAAGACCTATTTGTTTGAACATTTTATACATTATATAAAATAATAATAATAATTAAGTTTAAACTTTTATAACCACTTTCTTTGATAAAAGACAAATCATTCTACAGGTTATTTTAAGTGGTTATACAAATAGGATAGAATAGAAAAATGAGTAGAAATAACATGCTGGCTGTTTCTATGAAAACAATTGTAACCAAAATCACACAGTGAAAGATGCTGTACATAACAGTATACACAAAATATTTGTGCTTTTAAACAGGCAATTTCATTAAAATTCGACATTGCTGCAATCTAAAAATGGTTTATAAAGCTATCTATCCTTGGTTATTTTAGTATACTACTCATAAGGTGACACTACTGCACTGCACATGATACAAGATAATTTATAACTTGTGTTAAAGGGCATAAAAATGATTTAAATTTCTTGATTTTGCTACTCAATTAGGGTTAGGAGTCAATATCTATTCCTTAATTAATGTAAATATCGATTTTATGCTAAGCGAATTCCTGCTTATCAAATTGGTGTAGTACATATGTATTTTCGAACAGTTATATCAAGAACAAGAATAACATTTTCATTTTAAACCAGACAGATGTCGGGTGGTAGTAATTGTAATAATGAAAATCGGTAAATGGCATTAAGATATGTTAAAATTGCTCTACTATTATTAAGATAAGAACTTGCTGAGGAATTTAGTTTGAAATAAATAGATAAGTGTAGTCTGGATCAGCGTTTGCGTGTAGTTAATAGAATGGAAAAGGTATGTTATTCTTACTGTCTTTCCAATATTACGTATTATGCATACAAATATAAATACAAAACCATAGTGATAGTGCTACCATTTAAAAAGTTTTATTGTTTTTATCTCATTTGTAATCATATGTTTTTTAGTATCAATGATTTTGGTTTATTTCTCTTATCTAAAGTAGCTATATTCATAAAACTTAAACAATTGAAATCAACTATTTATATAAAGACTATAAAAATATGACATTAAAAGAGAATATAAATAGGTTTGCTCATTGATAAAAGTAGTTAGATGTCGCTATAGCCGTCGCTTGGGCTCTAGTTTTGAGTTTATATTAATATTAGAAAGAGGGAAGATTTGGTTGTTTGTTTGTATTGCATGGCCCCGAAACTATTGGACTGGTTTTAAAAATTTGTTTCATTTACGGGAAGCTTCAGCATACTCAAACGACATAGTTAAAATATATTAGAACGTTAATTATTAAACATAAGTATGTTTCTTTAAGATATTTTAAGAGATCATAATATTTATTACATCACAATAGAAATATTAATATCATTACGTTATCGATTTCAATTCATTGTATTAATACCACATCCCTAATTGAGTACTGCTTAAGATAGTCTGTAGAATATTGTGTTGGACCCTTCGGGAAAATTAAAATGAGTGGTTTGAATTTGACCTAATTTTTTTCACATTTTATTTTTCATAATCTGTTTAATAATTTCAATAAAATTTTATGGTTATAATGAATATCTCTTCAAAAATTATAAATATATTAAATTATATAGTATAAACACTATTGTTGCTTCCCACTGTCGGTACGCTGAGATCTTTTTAACTACACAACAGCGGTTTTCGTCAATGTACAGAGTAATTCAAGAGCAGGTTTATAATATGTATAATAAAGGAAAGCTAATAAATACATAAGTTTTAGTTTGCACTCATGTTTTTACATTGGACTATTGTATAATAACGAATGTTTCTATGTTTAAAAAACAAACGAATCGAATCGAATAGTCAGAATGGACCATAACACTACGCGTGCCCAATACGGATTGATGTCCACTAACGACTGCAAGTGCAGCCGGGACCAACTTAACGTGTCTTCCGAAGCATGGAGGAGCTCGATATAATAAATTTTACAAAGTCCTTACGAAAGTTCTTTTAGTTTTCTTTTTCTCACTTGCCGTGCTTATTAGTTAATAAGCACGGCAAGTGAGAAAAAAAGTGAGAAAAAAGAGTATGCATAACGTACGATACATAAGGGATACTTTCAATGTTACATCTTTTCTTGTTATCTGTTTTAAATTGTTATTTATTTATATATACAACTATATGTATGCAAAATTTGCTATTTATTGTTGTGTTTTTCCATCCAATTCCAGGTTGCCTTTTAGAAATCATTGGCTAGCGATAATTCCATCTTTTGTACGTAGTTGTGTAAAATATTTATAGATGTCCATGTCATTTTTTTGTTGTGCAATAAAGAGCAAAATTCGGTAATCAGTTTTATAATAATGTTGTAAACCCGAAATAGGCTCTAGTTTTATCATCGATTTGTTCTAAAAACAACATGAATGCTCTTTAATGTTACAGAATTCAATCGCTTTGTTGAAAACTGTTATGGGAGAACCGGTCACAACGGTTACTATTCTAGATCTTTTTCTATCACTGTATGTGACTGTAAGTGACTAAAGAACTCCATTAAAAAAAAAAAAAAAAAACTGCATGTGTGTAACGATCTGCAATTGACGTGCTTCGCGATATAAATTCTTAGTATAGATTCTTTTGAGAGCTCAAGCGATTTATCTTGACAGTGAAGGCATCAGATTCATGTGATAGCAACATAAGCTTAGCGATTGGCAGTTAAATACTCTTCGCGTTCTTCAGTTGTTTCCTGTGACTTGGCGCTATCAGTCCGAAATCTTTAGCGCTCAAGCGAAATTTTCTGTCAAAAAATGTCTATACATGCATAAGCATTCATGATCGCTGGCGTCATATGGGTAGCAGAATGTCTGAAATAACAAATTAGTGGCCATCCATAAATTATGTCACACAAAATTCAGGATTTTAACCCCTCCCTCCCCTCCTAAAGTGTGACGTAATTTATGGATGACCCATTATGTGATATTAAATTCCACCTTGCACACTTGATCGAAATTCCGTCGTGTACTTATACATATATGTACTTGCATATAAATATTTTTAAATACATAGTTAACGAGACATCGAATTGTACCATTTATTTAAGCTGATTTGTAATTTAAAATTCGTTATTACAATGAGCTAGATCATATCTAGAATGACGTTACTCATCTGCTGAAAATTAATTAAAAAGAAAGAAGTCTAAGAAAATTATGCCAAGCGAGATGGGTGATAATGTTAGGTTGGCATGCCAAAAGTTTTAGTGCCCAAGTAAAACATGAGTAAAGTGTTAGGTGTAAAGTGTAGTTTATCGTGCCTTGTGGAATTGATGAGTAGACAACATAAAAAGGCAAAGGGTGAAAAAAAAAAACATGCTGTAGATTAAAATTGATAAGCGAATGAGAATTAATACCCACTAATTTTGATGGAACCTTACTAAGCGGCAAGGTTAAAAATAAACCCGATTTGATGTGAGGCATATTTTTTATTTTAATAATATTGCTAATTTTATGTCACAACACTTAAAAAGCATCTCCATTAATAAGAAGATAGCATTGTAAATGCAAAATTCACAATAATAATATTTTATTGCAATGATTATCTTTCCTCAACAGAAATAGTTTTTATTATTAATGATATGGTTTACTAACCAATATTTGATTAGACAAAAACAGTAAAGTAAAAAATAAGACTTAAAAAATACCATTAGATGGATGTGTTTAGCGAAAAAATTACAGGTAAACTTCATGTTTAGAATTAACCGAAATATTTTGAACCTCTTATTTTAACTAAAATATAACAAACATTAATAAATAATTAACGATTTAAAGTATTACTACCACAGAAATTATGTTACTATGCCAGTACAATTACAAATGGTACCTACTTACGGCACTCCTACCATTTCTCATTCAATACCGATTTGATCCTAGTAAATGTGTCACAGTGTACATCAATTATGCCACTGTATTTATTCAGAACTCGTAAGGTTGCTAAGGGCACAATTTTAGGAATGAGGGGATTCCCTGTTGAAGGCGCAGAGGATGATAACTATTTACGGCCAATCGAGTAGTTCTTGGCTGATACACCGAGGTCAAGATACATGCCGTGTAATGGGTACACATAAGACAAGAACCACATCATATAGGTGATTAATGGTGTTCCCTCGGATATTCCACGCTGCATAACAGATTATGCAAATGAGCTGCAGAACAAAATGGACGACATATATGAACATATTCGACAGTCTGGACAACAGGCATGAGACAGAATGAAGACCCGTTATAACCGAAAAGCTAACAGTGAAGACTTCATAGAAGGATTTGTGGTTGCACAACTCGGTCCGCATTAAGAGAAAATCGCCGAAGTTGCAAGCAATATTTAATGGATCTACTGTGTCATTACGAGGATAAATGACGTATCGATTACTAAGAATGCCGAAGTCCGTGCACGTTGATCGATTGGTGTGGTATCATTGCAATAACCATATTCGGGATGAGCACGTCTAAGGATGTTGGAGTAGTAATGAGCGATGGGCGCTGCAGTCTAATACAACGCAGTGCGACATTTCATCTACCATCACTAGATGGCGTTGTGTGTTACAGAATCGCGCACACCAAAGATCTTGATGCGAAAAGAGACGGTCACTGGCGAGCCAACTAAGTCTCTTACTTGGTAGCTGTTCTAGAACATTTTGAATATGCCGGTTGTTGAATATGTATATATACCGGTGAGATCGCGGCCAGCCTAGAATAATCTAGATTGGACCCTCAATAAACCTTGACCAATATATACATACGCGACGAGCTGCCTGTCCCAGTGTTCATTCATTCAGTGATCTGAATACGGAGAAAGCGACATCCGAACCCTTACGCCCGTTTTCACTAAGGAGTCGTCCAAATCTGACACCTTTATATTTAGGCATTGTCATAGGTGAAAATGCATTTCACCAATAACAAGGAGACACCTAACGACTTTAGGCAACGCTTAAATTTAGGAGATGCATTGTGCTGCGTCTAATTTGCGTTATGTGACATTATACATTTGCTCTTTGGTCATAATAGACGTGTCAAGGGATAAAATAAATTTAGTAACTTGGAATCAAGGAGTTTTTATATATTATAATTATGATATAAACAATGAGATTGTTTGAATTTTCGGACTTTTTATGTATGTACATTGATGAATTAAGTGCTCGTGTACAAGACGACGTATTCTTTTTCTTGGTATATTACTTTAAAATTTGCATTGTTATTATTGTCTTTTTGCGTGTAAAGGCCAATAACGTGAAATAGGCAAAAACTTATAAATGCAAATAGGCCATACATTAAAAATAACGAAGACAAACGTTGCCTACTTAAGCAAGTGCTTAGTAAGACATTTTGTAATGTTGTAACGATACACGATTATTACCTAACGTTACAAGTTTGGTGGAACGAAAGCTTAAGCTATTCTTAATATTAAGTGATTTCTGAGCATTAGAGAATTAAACCAACAAGAGTTGCAAACGGCAGACGTACCCACAGATAACCTCAAATAGATACAGCATGATGACTATTTCGTTAAAAAAAATGAGTTGTCAATCTGGGCGGTGGGGTAGGTGGCGGGCGACGTGACTGCGGCTACGCTATTGGTAGGACATATTCCGTAATAATATGTTCTACTAGCCAATAATGTGTTAAAGGCATGTCGATAAATGATCGCTATTAAATGTTCCTAATGGAAAAATGTTCCATTAAAAACATATTTTATTATATTTATTTTTATTTAATTCGCAATTTATACGACTATAAACTTGTTGATGGACAAGGCATTCAACGGCAAGGTTTCAAAGAACGCATACATCTAAAATACACTTTCAATCAGTCGGTGAGAATAACTTTAAAAAATCGATTTTATACAAAGATATACGTTTAAATAAGTTGTAATTAAAAATGGTAGAACAACATCAAATTTATATATTCAATCCTAACCAAAATGTGAATTTATAACCCCGTTAGAAAAAAAGCAAAGTTCCCAAAAATAACCATTATTGCATTTCATGTAGCACTGGTTTACCTGCTACACCTTCTTATTTAAAGCTATGATAACATGAACTGAGACACAAAACACATAAAAATGAGTGTTGCGCCACTGCGCGCATATAAAAATATTAAGTTAAATCTTCAAAAAAGGGGTTAATATTGACGAAAAATGCAAAGTTGCAAACTTTGGACTTTTAAATAACGAAGAAAAATGTATTTAAATAGGATGAAAATTTTTCTTGAGATCTTAAACTAGTTAACATAGGTGCTGTAGATAGATGACAAATATTGTTTATTAATCTCTGAGTACTTTTTGTGTACTAATTTGTGTACTGAGTACAATTTTTTCGTGTAATAGTAACAATACCAATCAATGTTTACGTATGGAAATATTGATATCGATCATACCTAGTAAAAGCATAATGAAATGAATACACTAATTTAGTAATGACAGAAAGGGATGGGTTTCAAAATGACATGAACGCCTGCTGCATAGATGCTTGGCTACAATTTACTGTCTTTCATGCGGCATCTATTGGAGGTTAACTGTGGAAGTACCTCTGTAAAAGGCGTATGCTCAATGCGCATGCTCGTTATATAAAACTGTTCTTACCTACCTCACGCGCCATTCACGGATTGCAACGCGCGTGAAAAGAGTTCCGACAAAGATGCCTACTCGTAACATATTTTAATGTAAGAAGAGTTCACATTCATTCAGATCTAAAAAAGATAATATTACTTTCCACCTTTAAATATTTTTCGTTCAATTAATAGATATCGAACTTAACCTGTTGATATTCTATTAAAACAACTATCACTTGCATTTTTAGGATTCTTTATCACGGACGCCTTGGTGGACTTGGTTTGAAATTTTGGGTGTCAGTTATCGTCTAACAGTATTAAACAATAATATTAATGCAGAGACCTTTATTTAATAACTACGTATCACCTCTCACGTTTTAAACCACAACTATCAATTCAAAACCAAAACAAACAAATTTGTCCAGCCCTTCTCGAGTTTTAACGAGATAAACGAACAGCAATTGATTTTTATATGTAAAAAAATGATTCGAATAGTCTAAGGACTTTATTGCATGCATAAAGAGCATTTATTCAGATATTGCAAGATTTAATAAGTAAAAAGGTTAGATTCGATTGTTTGTTTGCAAACAATGAACTCTGGAACTAATGAAACGATTATAAAAATTCTTTCAGCGATGGGATGCTTCATCATACGCGGATTATATAGGCTATAATTTACACGAGCAAAGTCAAAGTCGCGTGAAAGCAGCTAGTTCATTTCTGATTAGATTACTAATAATATAATTATTAATGATAGGGATTAATTATTCTTAATGAAAAACGCTTAAAAATCCACTTGGCCCCTGGCAAGCATTTTTCATTTAAGAATGTTTTTCGGTATAGCATTATAGATAAGGGGTTAATCAATTATTTTTGTTGTTTCTATTTCTTAAATATTAAATTATTGATTTTACTGGTGTTTTATCATTAGTTAAACGTAGAGTACGTAGTATCGGATGATTTAGAATTATATACTAGTTTTTTATATTAGGTGTCAATATCGGAATTCCGATATTAATCATAACGCAAAAGACAAGGAAGCGGTAAAGTTGTTTCGAAGCCTATTCAATTCAAACAAACATTACCGGGTTATTCTGAATTTTTCTGGTGTGAACTCAATGGGCGTTAATTTTCATCCCAATTCCAAACTCGCAACAATAATTTAACTTTTTTTAGCATTTTCCATTAAGAATATTATTTAGGGTCCAGATGATTTTCTGATCTATCAACACACAGCTCAATAGCTATTATGAGGTAGATATTCGCTAACAAAAGAAAAAATTTTGAATAATTCATTCCCTAAGGGGTAAATTAGCAAATTGAAAATTATGTGATCAACACTGGCAAAGTTACAGGCAGAAAACTAATCAATCAAAGGGAAATTAACAATTAACAATATGTTTTTGTTTTTAGGTCAAAATATGGCATATACCTCCAGAAGGATTGAAAGAGTCACTTTCAACTCCAGAGTGCACTCTTTCACAGAAGCAAAGAAGAGTAGAGAATGTTGGATTCCATCCTGCAGCTGATGGTTTGATTCATGTTGCATCTGGACATGAATTTGCTCTTTGGGACTTGACTAAGCAGAAAGAGGTTTTTGGTAAGGACTTCATCATATTCATGTTTTTTAATGATAATCATGGTTCGACACTTTCAATTGACTAAACTTATTTACGTCTTACTCTCTACCTCTTAATTTATATTCCTGATCTCTCTCAAGTCTTTTGCCCTCAAATTCCTGTAGTTAAGCGACGACGCGTGACGTATTGAAATACTCAAAAGATATATTTGTTTAAAAGGTCGTATGAAAATTTTTGCATTCTTGTAAGTTCTTATTCGATATGATTAAAAATTACGTATTCGTTATTTTGTATTAGTTTTACAATACATCAATTAATATTAATGTACTTTACAGTTAATAAGGATCATGCAGAAGTGATTCAATCAACCTCGTGGAAGAAGGATGGCAGATTATTAGCGACCTCCTGCAAAGATAAGAAGTTGCGTGTGATTGATCCTCGAGCCCCAAACTCTGTTCTGAATGTCGCTAACAGCCATCAGAATATTAAAGACAGCAGGGTTGTGTGGCTTGGTGATCAGGACAGGATTCTTACTACTGGTTTGTATAATAAATTTGCTTGTTCGGATTTCAGTAGTAATTTTACAAAGTTCGTCTCACTTAAACTCAGGGGGGTCAAGATATTGGTGGATTGCCCGATGGCGTAATGGCCCGACTCGAATCTGGTTGGTTGATTGAATTTAACCTTTTACACAGGCTAGTGTTTTGTTTCATACTGATCAGTTGTATCTTACTGTTTTATTCACACAGGTTTTGATTCAGCTCGTCTCCGTCAGATAATGATTAGGGACGTTCGCAACCTTTCTCAGACACAGAAGACTTTAGAATTGGACTGCTCAACGGGAATACTAATGCCTTTATTCGATCCCGATACTAATATGCTGTTTTTGGCCGGCAAGGGAGATACGACTATTTTGTATATGGAGCTGACGGATAGAGAACCATTCCTGATTGAAGGACTTAGACATTCAGGTGAGTTAAATGATTGCCTTGTGTTACATCAAAATATTCCATAGTATAGTAAGGTCATTAAAAACACTTTGCGAGTTTCTAATTTAAAAATCTATTTAATTCATTTTGGCTTATCGATTCAGCGTTCTTTTACTCGTCATCTGTCTTCGAAGTACCATGGAAAAAGAAAATGAAGAAATTATGACGATAGACTTATGCACTATAAATTTATTAAGCAAACGTCGAAAAATGGCAGACTTAACTCTTTTTGCACGGAATCCTAAATGGAAAATGTATCAACTCAAAACTTTTATTATTTATCAAATATAAACCTGAAAATTGCTTATCCATCTCCACCAATTCATCAAACTATTATAAAAAAGATATAGAATATTAGACAGTATATTGTGTAGCTTATTTCTTAAAATTAATGATAAGTAGTAACAGCTGACAATTACTAAGTTTTAGGTTTTAACTATTACAACAATTCTATGTAGTATACATCTTCTGAATAAACTGTCCTAACTTATAAAAAAAAATCATTTACCCATATGTTATTTTAACCTGAGTAAAAACTCACCTTTAAAATGTATATGATACTTATACCACTATACACATTAAAAATAAACAATTTATTGGATATTTTTTGTAATCTTCAGGTTAATTCAAAGCAAATATGTAAAAATGTAATTTTAAAAAAGAAGCGAATAATATTTGGACGTCAAAAATTGTTACCAAATGTACATGTGAAAATCCTAATTGCACATAAAAATGCATTTTTCGGTTTTTTTTCTTTGTAATATTACATTAAAACTTAAGGTGTCAGTGAAAATGAGTAGATATTATTGTAAGTATTGTAAGCAAAAATGTGTTATGGTATAAGCTGTGGATACATATTATTTGTGTATGTACTGTACTAATTTTTTGTAAATGAGAATAGACGCAGATTGTGCAATACACTGGTTTGTGTGCTTAAATAAATATATTTTTTTTGCAGGCGAACAAACAAAAGGTGCTTGTCTGGTACCTAAACGAGCGTTACGCGTGATGGAAGGTGAAGTTAACAGAGTTCTTCAACTGACAGGGTCTTCTGTAGTGCCTATTATGTACCAAGTTCCTAGGAAGGTATGTATTTAGAGATGCTTTAACTTGTTGTAAAATAAAGCCTCTCCACTGTTTCTTAAAAACTTAACGTATTGCTATTCAGACAGAAAATATACAATAAGAATTTAAGAGCCATATTACAAATTTTCACTCTGGGAGATCAAAGAACTAATCTCCCAGAGTGTCACGAGTTAACAATACCATAGTACTATAGAATAGTACGCCGACTCGTCCCCGAGTGAGCGATGATAGTTTATACACGTAGGGTTGTTTAATGCTTTTGGGTACTTTAATGCTTTATTTTGATAGATTATATAATGTCCATATTTCGAGCCCCACACAAAAACGATAATAGTGAAGCCGTGTGAGATTCGTGTGACTATATAAGAGATATCATTCTATTTTTTTTTTATTTCATTTGTTTAGAACAGTAGCTCAATCCAGAAGCTCTAATAAATGTCATTTTATGAAAATCAATCTCTGCTATTTTGGGTTTAATTAAAAAGTTAAGCAAAAAGCGAGGCCGCTACAAACTATGGCAAGAGTTATTCTACACTATTCAATAAGTCCAAATTAGTAATATATTTTTATTTCCGAGATCGAGAATGGTATAATTTACCATTTTACGCAAAAAAATTAGTTAAAATGTAATATGACTCTTAACCGTATCGAGCCAATGATACAAAAATTACAAAGATAACTAAACAGATTTTTAGAACAATTTTGCGACTTATATATTCTACTCTTTGACATTTATATAAAAATCATAGTTTTTTGTAAAAATGAATTTGTAAAAACAAGGTATTAAAAAATCAATCATGTTGTTTATAATATATATGAATTAGTACTCGCAGTAGAAGCTATTCATTAAGGACTGAATTGTATGTATTGTCAGAGTTATCGCGAGTATCACGCGGACCTATACCCGGACACTAGTGGTTCTGTGACGTATTTGAGTGCACCAATGTGGCTCGACAACCAGGACCATCCCGTGCCTAATATATCTCTACACCCGGACGCTAACAATGCCCAGGTGAGTTGACTAACAATATGACTACGGTTTGTAGTTTGGAATGGTATAGTTATTAAATAGGATAAGTATGCAAGAATATGTTCGCATAGATTTTTTTGACCTTATTTAAATATTAATGATTCAATATTTTTATGTTAGTTTATTATTAGTAACTAACTAGGTAACATATATTGACAAAAATTACTTTTTCAACCCGTTTCCAAGTGCAAAAACTTTAACCAATTGCATTAAATTGCAATTCAATTAAAGTATGAAACTTAATTAGTTACGTGACAGATCCGAAAAAGCATTCTATGCCACTAACGGTTTTCAATATTAGCCGTATTATTATGTCATATTTCAGTAACAATAATTTAAGCAATAACAGCAGAGGTAAAGAAATGTTGATAAGAAATTGAGATAAATCAATATCTAGTAAAATATTTGTACACCGCTAAAGTAGTAGTAGTGAAGCTAAAAGATCTAGATGATTTTGAAAATCATTTTTTTTTTAATAATTAGAATAAGTTTCAAGTGTATTTCTGCTGTCGATTCAGCAACAGGTCTAGACGATTGTACTTCAAAATATCTTATTAGTTATTCTTTTTTGTGCTAAATGAAGATGTTAAGTTACAGTTGCTTATCAATGATAACTTTGACGTTTATGGGTTCCCTTTTGGCTTGTGGATATTTTCTACTAACGTCTAGGTAGAGCATTTTTAACTGAATACGTAATATCTTTCAGGATAGGTGAAGGTTTGGTATTTTAAGAACCTGATACTTCTAAAAATACTTGCAGACCGTGTTTTGCGAGTATTTTTATAACTTAAATAATAAAGACAGCATTAGTTTTTAAATTCATATTCTATGAAGTTATGAAAAAGAGTACTATTTTTTAAGTTATGATATGGATTTTTGCATGTTTTTTATTTAAATATGTTTTATTATTATTTATACATATTGATTTAACATAGAAACTAAATGCTCGTTTCAGTTCAATGTAATAACGTTTCACTCTATAACAAGACATATTTTGTAGTGGTAATTCATATTTTCTTAAATTACTTGTTTCATTAGCAATTTCAAAATAAAAAGAAGATGGTAGTTGTCAATCATATTGATGCCACTAAAATAGGTCTTCAGTATCGAGCGGCTTATAATCATCGTCGTGTATTTTTATTTTATTTTATAATTTTAATTATGCGTGTGTATTTATTTTTAGTAGAATATGTGTGTAGTCATTGTGTTTTATTGTGTTGGTGTGTTAGTTTGATTTTTTTTGGGTGAATGGCTCTTCCTAGAGTTCTAAGTAAGTTGATTTTTCTTTAGCAATTTTTTTTTTTATACTTTATTTATTTAAATTAACATTATCCTTATACCAAACACAATTTTCAGGTAAGACATCGAGGAAATTTAGAAGAAGTGGTGAAAGCGATTCTTGCAATGCCACCTCCGAAGAAGTTGGATATCAAAAAAGCAACAACGCCATCTCAAGAAGAGCAAGCGAAACCAGTCCTCAAACCACAGCCAACCACAGAAATGAAAGACGAAGATCGCATAGACTTTGTAAATGTGAAAGACTTAATCAAAGGCATGGAGAGACAGAACAAAGATCCTAAAACTGTCGAAACTAATGGGTTCCATAAGAAAATTATCGATAACGGCATCGATAGTTACGAAAAAGTCGAAGATGTTGAAAGCGAAAAGAACGAAATCAATGAAAATGAGAAGTTTGAAAAGACTGTAAAGGCCAATGAAAAGCCAGAAAAGACTTTTGTGAAAACCGATAGTTCTGAGTCAACGGAGTCGAGTCTATCGAGAAGTAATAGTTTAATAAACGGTATACCGTCGCAAGCGCCTAAACCTTTGCCGAGGTCGTCCATTTCGGAAGCGGGGTCTGCCGAAGATCATTCCGAAGCACCAAAGCCGAAGCCGAGAACAACAGCAGTACCAATATCCGGTTACAAGGTTAGATGAGCGAGTTTAGTGTGTGTTTTGCGATTGACAATTGTCTTATTTTGTTAATGATATGGTTTTATAAGTTGTGACACACTATTTATTTTTCTTTTTATAATTCGTTATGATGTTATTATTGGTTCTGTTTTTTTTTTTGCTTTTTTGTTTGTAATACCCCTATTAAAATTTATATGTAGACGTTATGAAAACTAATGAAAAATCACTCCGTGAAAACTATTAGCATTCTGTAATAAATTTAATTAAAGTGAAGTTAGCGTCGCGTGCAGTTTTGTCCTCGATCGGAGCATAGAATTTTTTTAATGCTTTGTTTAATTATATACTCCATTGTTGGGAACAGCATCATGTATGTTTGTTTCCATAACATAATGGCATCTTTTATCTTAAGTTTATAGTGATATTTTTTAATGTATTTTAGTATTCAATATACTCTATAAGTAAATTATCTACAGCCACGTCTCGGCCCGAAACCGTTCTCAGCGTCAACAGGAAATGAAGAGTTCTCCTTCGACAAGGTTTTCTCAGTACCAGCTGTTCCGGGCATGACTAAGTCAGATTCTGGTAAGTTCCTTAGTAACTATAATTGTTATTTAAATTGATGACATGACGTAGGTATGAAAAAAATTGTAGTCAGCTCCTGGTCTATACATTAAAAAAAATAAAGAGTTGTATAATGTGCTTACCATACCGGGGGAAACTATATTTTAGAGATAGATTGACCATGCATTTCTAATGATTGAATAACCTATAAGCGACACTCTTACATGTTTAGGCTATTATCCCTCGCTCGGGGTCTCGAGTGCACCTACTTATATAAGGCCGTTCAAACTATTACCACAGCATATTTGTACTGTGGTAATAGTTTGAACGGCCAATCCAATGTTTAATGACACGTTAAACAATGAAATTTTTCTGTGGAGTTCTCTTAGTTTTACAGCTTTTGAATGACTGGAACAATGTGGATGATATGATTGAAAAAAATATAATGATATAATGTGAACCGGGCATAACTCATTTTTTTAATTTCCTTACTACAACGCTTAATGATTAACAAAACAGATTTAAAAAATAACTGTCTTATTATGCTTTTTATTTCAAAACCTCAGATGGGCTCATAAGTCGGTTTTACTAATCCTATTCCCATATGGTTGAGTTTTGTATAATATATTTAATTTTATCAATATATTTATTCTACGCAGCAACATCTTCGTTGTCTGCACCAGGGGCAACTACCCCTGCGGCTTCGACGCCTATTGTGAAAGAGCCTTCCGAGGAAAAGGAAAAATCTCTTACCCCGACAAGTGATGTTGAAGCTGCACCTAAAGGTAAACGAAAATGGAATATACGCAATAATAATAATTAATTGGCAGTAAAATTTTATTGTTTATTCTAAGCCTATATTTTGTGCGTCTTTTGTCGGTGTCGATATGCTGATATTTTGTATAATAGTTATTTAATTTGCGGCACGAAAAATAGAATATTAAAGATTTTTTTCAATACCATACGAATAGAATTTCATAATTTTTTTCAAATCAGGTTGTTTTCCCGCTGATTTGCTCGTAAAAAGTATAAGCATATGTTACCCTATGCATATTATGTGATTTTCCTTATGTAAAAGAATTTAAACTCGATCTTGTAGTATTGGCCTCTATTCAATGCAAATAAACGATCAAAATTTTCTTTTTTATAATCTTAGCACAGAAAAAGATCCTTTAAGACGCAGACAAGAGTATGCGTTATTACGCCAGATTTAATCTTATATTATCTTACAATAGTTTTTCACCCGCGTTGTTTTGTATTATACATATATTTTTTCCTCATGAATCACTCTATATTGATAAAAATCGTATTAAAATTGTTTGTGTAGTTTCAATGATCTCAGCGAGAAGCAATTTTGTTTTATACTATGTATAAAATTGACAATTCTGACGAAGACGCGTCTGATGTGTTTCATCGGCTTTAAAAGAATTGTAACAGGTTCATTACCTTTTTAAATTATTTTGGTTACAGAAGACTTTACTAACGGCAAATCGGACACTAGTGTAGAAGAAGACGTGAACTCATCCGACTCGGGATACAGACCAAAGACGCCGAGTACTGCTGAAAGGAGAAAGATGTTTGAGAACACAGAGTAAGATCTATGGTTTCTTTAAAGTTATTAATGTTTTTTGGAAAAGTTCTCGAGTCTGTTGGTAGTTAGTACTAAATTGACTGCTGGATTTGATTTTTATTGATAGCGGTTCTTGTAATGTTTGGATACGTTTGCAGTGGCACTCAGTCTATAGCGGACCGTCGTCGTAACTACGAGATGCGATCGGTGAGCGTCGCTGTTGAATCTGATACACCACCATCACCCGCACCGTTGAGGTGACGTATAAATAAAATAATTATTATTTTAAAAGAAGTATATCTCATTAATATTGATTAAGGCAACGACAGCATGGCTATGGTGAAAAATAGCCGCCAAAACGTTTGTTAAAATATTCATTTTTAAATTATTTTATTTATTAACTTGAGACAACAAAAGTCAAAAAGTTGCCCACAGTAAAAATAATAGTAATGTTTGATTTAATTTATTTCTTTTTTTATATACCTAGTTACCTAACCAAATATGGATAAATTTATTCATACATATTCATTGTGTTTATCATAATAGAATACAACTACTTTATTAACAGGAGACGAGATTCATTTAAGTCGCGCAAGAGTCCCGATCGTGAGGACAAACGCGCGTCTGTGCCTAACGTTACTACTAAAAGGACTTCCACTGTGTTCGGTGAGATAATTTACCATGAGATAAATAAAATGGTGTACACTTGTATTCACGATACTGTATTAATTTTATAATATTATATTTAAAATTGAATTCTATAGGTGTAATAATATTTTGAACTTGCTTCTTATGATACCTTAAATAGAGAGCCCTACGTCTAAATTTGAATATTTGTATAGATAATGAGGCATTAAACTAATGAACGTCTGTGTAACTGACAGTTATATAATAATCTATTATCTATTATATATATATAAAAATGAATCGCAAAATGTGTTGGTAAGCGCATAACTCAACAACGCCTCAACCAATTTGGCCAAATCTTTTTTTAAAATGTTCGTTGAAGTTCAAGGATGGTTTTTACGGCGAGAATAATTAGAATTATTGCTGGAAAAACCCTAAAAATAGCCCTTTTCTTTTTCCCATACAAATGATTTGTAACTAAAACGTAGTCAATTTGAGCTTTATTGCTATGGTATAAAGTTCATATTAAATTACAAGCACTCACTGTTGTCTAAGCAATGTAGGTGTGTTCCTAACGTCAAAGATCATATCTATCAAAACAATGTGCGTGTGTGCGTTGGAGCACAGAATACATAGTTGGAGGAGTTTAATGTCGCGTTCCGAAACTCGCGTTTCTTTTGTATTAGTTTCGGCACGCGAGATAAAATGCATCAGTTTCCACGTCATTACATGTATTGCCGGAACATTGATGAAAATACGCTCTGTAGTAGCAAAGCTGTTGGGTCCTAGATAGCTCATTGGTTAGAGCAGTCCCTGGATCGCGAATGGGTTCGAGTCCCATTCCGGGGTACAGGTAGATGGATTCTTCCAGCATTTTTCCTTGAGAATGTTTATATATTTTTTTAATTCGAATAGTTTACTTTTATAATGCTGTTGTGTGTAATGTGTTTTTATGATCATAAAAATCTCTTTTTTCTATATTTAATACTATTACTATTAATACATTGCAATAATAATTATGATTCACATGATTAACAATAAAGCGATTACTTACTTTTAAATCCTTATATATGTTTTATTTAATTATTTTTTATTCACAACGCCCTATCACCAGGGTGACGGTTCTGTTCAGGAGAATTTTTTTAAATACGTAGGCAAAAAAACTGCCACATTACAAATCTTTTTGACAGAACGAAGTCTGTCGGGTCAGCTAGTATTAATAATAAAATAAAGAAATGTTATAAAACTTAGTAATCTTCAGTTCCTTGAGTCATGATAATTTTTTTTTCTGAAAATTTAAACGATTGCGCTTGTAATGCACTCATTAGTTTGTCATTGAAACAGGTAAAGTATCAAAATTCCGTCACCTGAAAGGCACACCCGGTCATAAGTCGACGCAGATAGAAAATATCAAGAACATCAGTCGCCAGATATCCGGCGAGTGTAACGGATTCTATGGTGAGCTGTGCACATTTATATTAGAAACTTAACCTGTTTGTATACACAAATTAGATATACACAAAGAGCTCGTGTCAAAATATATCAAAGTTTGTATTGACTGATACTTCAGTATTCGAAGTACTTACGGTATATATGACTCGGTAACCGATGAGCAGGCCAGCGATTCTACCATGTAACAACACTGACATCGCTTTCCTTGACATTGAATTGACTAAAAGCACTTAAGAGTTCAATCGAATGTACATAATATATTATTGAATGTTCAGTGCATTTTCTTTGTCACGTTTTAGTGCCTGCAGTCTTCAATATAACTATACTTATCGCATTCCATCTTATTAGATTAACTCAAAATGCACTGAACGCTTAGTAATATATTATATTTGTTTTAAAAGTGAATCTGTGAAAAAATGTAATCGGATAAGGCCGCGCCTTGTACTATATATTTAATGGAGGGATTATTAATGTATGACTTAATAACATACTTAAATACTAAACTGAGTGGCGTTATATGTTTGCGAAGAAATCACTTTATTGGCATTAATTATGGATGACTAAAAATACTAAACATAAGCTGCTAATGGTGGCAAATAGTTGTCAGTTGTGAAAATAACTTCTGGCGAGTAACTTTTTAATCGGTTCGAGATCGGCCTTCATATAATACCCTTATGAGATGTATGTGTGAGCTGTGGTTATAATATTGCTAAGTACTGTAAGACTATTTTAGGTAATATATTTTCTACTCTAACATATTATTTTTCTGAATACAAGATTCGTTGTAACTATTTATAGTATTCCTTTGTCCATTGTGATGTGCAATAAACTTATACATACCTTATATTATTGTCTATGGTATACACGGCTGCACGTCAGTTTAACCCAATATTAAATTTATACAATTTTGCATTCACAATGCTGTACTGGAAAACATTAATAATGAAAAATGCTTAAAAGTTCAGAGTATCTGAGGCTGGTGGATTTTTTATTAAATCAACTTCGTTTTCAATGTGAACATCCTGGCAGTGTGTATGTCAGCATATATTTAAATTTCGAATGTCTCGCCAACTTACAACTACTATATTACTCTGCTAATCCTAAATAATTAAATATAAATAAGTTTTTTTAAACTCTACCCATAACACATTAAGGTTTTAAATTAAGTGGAGATATTTGGTATATTCATAGCGAATGGCGTCCGTTGCGCTGTACCACTGGGCGGGGGCGGAGGGAGAGTGGGCGTGATAGAGTTACCATGCGGGGCCACGGCAGTGGCCCGCGCTGCGCCCCTCCACCCGGGCGGGTTGCAGCCCTGCGCGTTACTGCATCCCGCCGTGCTGCAGGACTGGACCTGGGACCCGTTCAGGGATGACAGGCTGCTGGTGGCGTGCGATGACGGTCTAGTGCGCGAATGGATTATACCAGAGCGCGGTGAGTATTGCCTAATAGAAATATTCTCTATTTTAGAGGTCCTATGGCTGTTTTTCAAATACGACTATTATTTATACTAAAATTGACAATTACTAATACAGCTGATCTTTTCGCACCTCCTCATATACTATCTGTATACAATTCTACGGTTGACTGGTAGAGAATGCCTAATGGCATTAAGTCCGCCATTTGTACTGTGTGCAAAAAAGTTTAAATAAAGAAAAGTAAATAAATAAATTATATCAAGGCTGAGACATAATGCCAAGAATTGTTGCCTTCAAAAAAGGTAACAAACAATATATTTGTATAATATCAATTAATATGAAAAATCTTTTATTTATACAGGGTTATTTGTAAAACACTGGTATTATAAATAATAACATTGTTCTATGATTTTTGATAATATGTTACTTTTTGTTTTTATACAAAAATAGACTTTGAATTGATATACTGCTTATCATTATCATTATTTTACGTCCTCACTGCAGAGGCTCAGGCCTTCTTTATGTATTGTTAAGGAGGAATACGTCATGACCCTCCTCGCTGGTCCAATGGATATACCGCTCGTATGTTATTAATTCGACGCACATCATTGAGATTTTGTCAGCGATTAATTGAAGTGTCATTTTTTCTTTTATGAATAATCATAATCCTAAACTGTATAAAATTATTCTAAAATGAGGACTAATTTAGGTACCAGGTTTAAACCATTATCCAACCAAAATAAGTTAAAACTTCTTAATTTGACGTTTTCTGTGCTGTGATTGTCAATTTGCTTTAGGTTTAAACCAAATACTAACTTTAGTCCTTGTTTTATATTAAGATACATAGTGCCACGACAGCTAAAAGTATTGGATTACGATTAAACTCATGCGTATTTAGTCATACCAGTTTGCTGGTGATTTACCAATAACCCTGTATATGTAAATTGCTTTTCATTTAGCCATCCATTATCCCACAGGCTTGCAAGAATCCACAAACGAACCGAACAGAACATTCGCTGCCCATCCAGACAAGATCTACCTGATACGTTTCCATCCGACCGCTTCTGATATCCTCACAACTGCCGCCCACGATCACACCGTCAAGATCTGGGACCTGTACCCGGAAAATCCTGTGCTTGCAATAACACTGAGCGGTCACACCGATCAGATATTCAGTATTGATTGGTCTCCGTGCGGAGAGTACTTGGCTACTGTGTGCAGAGATGGATTGATCAGGGTATGTTCTTTTTTTCTTACATATAAATATGTGCAAATTCTATTGGTCACTAAACTAAATTAAATTAAAATGGATTAATTTTTAGTGTAACAATCCGGAGAATATGCTCATATAGTTACCCGCGTATAATAGAGCTTCCGTAGGTGAGAAAAATTATTTGAAATCCGCTTTTATTATGCGAGCCAGATACGAAAGAATAAGATCGAGTTTACTAACGATTTCACGGCTTAACTGTCATTTCTGTAGCAGTACTGACAGCAAAGAACATTAAGTTCGCCAAATAAGTTTTGGATTCGTTTAAAAAGAAAAAAAAATCGTTCCACTTTTGCATACCTTAGGACATCTTGAAGTTGAAGCGTAATACCACCAAGACAGCCACCGTGACAGTCGTATTATTAATTGGATAGCGGATACACGAATTTTCCGGTTATAATGACGAATGTTGACATGATTACAAACATATCAAAGTGAATAGCGATAGAATCTATATCTGCTCTACGCACGTCTAAGAATTTGCATTGCACTTGTTTATTTTACGACAGTTCCTAAATTGTGAATTATGAGTGAGTACGTGAATAAAAATGGCTAAGGGAAAAAGTTTCTCTATTGAAGAACGTTTAGAAGCTGGCGATTCGCTATTGCGAGTTACTGTATATGAAATAAATAAATATTTTTATTTCAAATGTTTATTTTTGTCAGATGGTTATCTTTAGTATGTATTATTGAATACAGTGTAGTCCGTTTAGTGGCGACTTCGTATATAACAACCGGCTGCTTTTAGCTACGAAAGTATAGGCATATGTTTGTTTTTAAAATTGAGCCGCTAAGAAAGTACATCTATTTATTATGACTCCGGTTATTTTGCCGACCGTATTCTACACATAATACGTACAAACAAATCGAAGTGAATAGCGATAAAAGCTATCTCTGTCTCACGCACCCCTCTTGCCTGCGCATTGCGGACTGATGCGACTGTTTACTATACTACAATTCTTAAATGACGAGTAAGTGCGTGTACCATAATGCTAAAGCGAAAAGTTTCTCAATTGAAGAAAAAAGTGTTATATTACACACGTTTAGAAACTGATGAGTTGAATGTAACGATTGCGAAGGCATTTGGTGTAAACCTTTCGACAATATCCACGATAAATAATCCTAATAAACAGTGTTCCGTTTATTACTTATGCATTTTGTACATATTAAAAGATGTACAAAATTTTTCGGATATATATATTTCAATAAATGTTTATTATCCATTAGATATACAAGCCTCGTTCATCTTCTGAACCAATAAGAAGCGGACCAGGGCCAGTGGGTAGTCGCGGGGCTCGCGTTGTATGGGCACTCAACGCTACACATCTGGTCATCACCGGATTCGATAAGTAAGCTAATATAACATCAATATTATTAATCATCATCATTGTTATCACCAGCATATTAATATCCCTATTGCTTGGGCTCAGGCCTTCCCTATTGATGAAATCGAATAAGTTGAATGGGCAATATTCCACCACAAGTGCCTAGTGCGGATTGGTGGATGTTAATGTTATAAATATAAATCGAAAATATCTAATTTGCGTATGTGTCTTGATGACAAATCTTTATCGAGAAAAAAGGAGTACTCGGTTTTATGCTGGGTACTTCAAACATTACATCATTCCATAAACAGCTTCTGAAACGGATCGCGATAGCTTTTGAAATTAAACAATAAGGCCACTGATATACAAGTTATAAAGCGAAAATTTAACTAGAGGAAGCCTACGATGCAATTTCACAATTAAATTGACCTCGTGTTGAAAAGGTGATATCGGAAGCAAAAAAAACTAGGACATTAATGAAAAGCGTTGTGAATGTCAAAGACGCGTGAAAAGCCTGTTCTTTTTTTCTTTTAATTATCTCTACTGATACATATTCTTTTTTAGGGTTCCATACTCAAAGGGTAAAACGGGAACCCAGCCGTATCTCACGAAACGTGAAAGCTAGACAGTTGACTTTTTCACAAGCGGATTCTTGCTTGGTTTTGCTTGATATTGATAACGACAACAGCTAGATGCTTAAATTTTTTACACGATACGCATTTATATAGTAAGTTAGTAACGAATATTTAAAGGGTCTCCCATATAACAAACTTTTTTTTTGCTCGTTTCTGTTACGGAACCCTTTGTGCGTGAGTTCGATTCTTGGCCAGTTTTTTATATAAACTATTATAATTATATTGTTTAGAGTGTCAGAGCGTCAGATCCTACTATACAAGGCGTCTGATTTGTCTGCGCCGGTGTGCACGGTGGGATTAGACGTGTCTCCCGCCATATTGCAGATACATATCGACCACGATTCAAGCACTCTGTTCCTAACTGGAAGGGTGAGTTATGATACTTCATACGATAAAATATTGTGAAATTTTTAATGGGAAATGTTATTCATTGTAGACACGTCAACAGTGTACATGTCAAACAATGGTAGATTATGATTTATTACGAATTATATATGTACATAAAAATGGGGATTCACTTACTTTGGTTGGAGAAGGTTCTTATTCTTCTTCTTATTTAACGAATATATAAAATTATTTCTAATCTAATCTTAGTGGATAATTACCAATAAAACTTACCTATTATTTTTCCTAAAGATATCCGGAATCCATCTTGAGTCAAGCATCATCCTTTTTGTGACGTTTCCGGTCCAAAACACTACCTCCCTTCTTACTTCCGGCGCCTATGCTGCCATCTAGTTTGCGGGTAGCGAACCAATGACTTTTAGGCACGAACGCTTACCGTCATTATACCTACTCTAGATGCACCAGGTAGAACTTACCTGGATTCCGGATATCTTTAGGAAAAATAATAGGTAAGTTTTATTGGTAGTTAAAACTCTCTATTATTTGTTCCGTTCGATATCCGGAATCCATCTTGAGTAATGTGTTTGTTATCTCCTGGTGAGTGCCATTGGTGACGCTATAATGTGTTGCAGGTATAAAAAGTCAAATGTAGTCTGATGAGAAAAAATAATGCATATTATAAGTATATTATGCTATTACATTCATAGTACATATATTATGCTGTTACATAACAATGCAATTATAATAATTATTCAAGTGTTTCGGTAATCTAAGCTAAATAAATATTGGCTTATCTGTTATCGGTCAATATCATTAATTAAGAATAATAAAAATGTAAATACATAGATATCGGAATTTTCTTGATTGTCCGATTTATCAGTTTTCGATAGGACTTCTTAAAAGTATGTTCTTGGCGCCAGTTCACAGTTTCAGTAATTTATCCATCGGAAACAGTTCCAGTCAATTTAGAGATGGAACTGCAGATGTAATAGACCCTGAAGAATCTTCTACATTATGTGCTTCTATTTAACAATTTTGAGAACAGAGTAGTTAACTCGTGAAAATTACTTCTTTTTGGGGCTCTTTCAATACAAAAATTGATCGCGTGTCCAATACATGCAATCGAATGATTTGTGTCAGTTAATCATTTCTATCCAGGCTGACATAATTACTATTATCTGTTTTTAATACAAAATGGGACCATAAGGCAAAAAATCATTTTCGTCCCTGTACTTCAAAGGTTAAAAGGGTTAAATAATGGATTCGGCGACCTTGAAGATTGTGAAATTATGCTTAATTTCCAGCAACTTAAATAGAGTCAATTCTGCCAATCTACGTAAAATTTCAATTGTACTATATACCTGAAGTCTAATATTATTAGTGCAATGTCTTCCTAACAATTCAATATTGACAGATATATTTATTATTTTATGATCTAGTAACAAGAATGTGTCATAAAGGGTTGTAGTCGAAGCGCTATTGACCCTCCACCATTACGCCGACATTAGCAGAATTTCCCTACCGGGCACTTGTTATTTGCAGAATTAATACTAGTAGATATTTATAGTCGCTTTACATTAAATCGATAGTTTCAAGATTTTCTTTATTTTATTTTGTTCCGTCCGACTTTTAAATAGATTTTCTGAATTTCGGGGGATGAACACCTGTTGCCATACCTATTGCAGTATTTGCGGAAACAAATCGTCAGCCAAGACACTTTGTCCCATTTTGGAACAATCATAATGTACTAACTTGCCTTGACGCTTACTGGAGTCGAGAACGTATTTGCGGAATCATGTTTGAATAAGGCCAGCTTGCATTTGCACTGATGACGTCATGCGTTATGACCTATTAGCTTGCTCGTCCGTCACATCCATTGTCATGAACCTGGGAATGACGTGTGCTTTTGTCGATGGAATAAGTTCACATCTGGTGTACATTGGGCTGCTAGATTTAGTATTCAGGCTATGCATAATTTCTGAAACTGCCTTGTTCGTGTCATAATTACAAAAATTTCCTAGATTTGGTCCCCCATCTTTGTTTATGTACGGGAATCGGTACAGTTCTCTTAGCATTTACATCTAGGCATTCCGCGAAATGAAGACTCGCGTGAGTAATTGCCTCGAGTTGAGCACTCGAACAGATTTCCTATGCACCTGTCCTCGGATGTTGAGTGATTTGCGTTGCATTTATTGGAAGGTATCATGATACAACATTTACTTACCATTTTAAGTCATTCAGTACTGGGTCTAGTATTCCGAATAGGTAGTAATAGTTTTAAGCTGTCGATGTTAGTGTTGCAGTGTGCGACAGTGTTATCACCCTGTTCGAATCACAAACGAGGCAAAGTCGAGTCTCACCATTAGGAACTGGGCCTGTCTGAGGGACTAACCGCTTTGTACAATCTGATGCTGAAGTGCCATGCGTAGCGTGAAGCGTTCGGTTCAAACAGGGACTTCACTAAATGTTTAGTACTGATTCTGGTAGTTTGATTCGGTGGTAATGGTGATCTTTGGGCAACTGTCGATGGTAGTATTGCAGTGTGCGATAGTGTAGTCACCCTCTTCGAATCACAAACTAGGCAAAGTCGAGTCTCCCCATTAGGAACTGGGCCTGTCTGAGGGACTAACCGCCACGTGTAGTCGCCTCGTGCTGAAGTGCCATGCGTAGCGTAAGGCACTTCGGTTCCGACAGGGACTTACCCCTGACTTCCCCGGCACTTCCCGGCACCTCGTGACCGTGTTGGTCACGATGCACCAGGCAACGCCGAGGAAGCTCAGAACCAGCACACACTGCTCGAAGTTGAGAGACCACCCTAAGCGTTGCTATTGTGGTAGCGCAGTTGTTGTGTTGGTCTAGGCAGCAAAGTTTTTGAGTACCGATGGCAGTCCAAAGAGACACGTCAGATGCATTAGGTAGGTTGTTGTATGCCAGTCTCAAGAACCTGTGAACCAGATGTTGTTCGGCGATGCTCAAATGAAAATACTTTTGGCTCGGATATATTTTCGTAAACCATTCGTTTTGTATGAGAATGTTCGGAATACGAAAATTATTGATCAGTCGAAAAGGTTTTATTTTGACAAATCAGTGTCGTTTTAAATGAAATTGTCGGGCTTTAACATTAGAAGAGGAAATGATACAAAACAGGGTGTTTTTTGTAATCTCCAGTATATTAATTTGAGCATTGCAAATGATATTTGAAGATGGCTTAAAATCCCACGCATAAAAATATAATTTTTATACCATCACATACCTACATAGTTTAGATACCAAATGATATAGTTAAACACTTGTATTATGGAAATCTGAAACAACGAAGGTAACAACACCCAGACCAGAGACAATATAGAAAAGCTCATTATCTGTATTAACATGACCGAGAGTGGAATGCGGGAGCTCGGAAATGGTGACACCTTGGAACTGGTGAGCCACTCGCCCAAGATTCCACATATGCAATCTGGAACATCCTGATTGTTCCATAAACTTACAGATCGCATTAGATAGCCTCCTCCAATGTGTCATGTCATGCATTGTATTTATTTCTAAAGTTTAATGAACTGGTCTCATTACCATTTAAATATTGGTGTGTACTTCTGGTAATCTACCTTGAATCAACTTGCAGTTGCAACCATTTTATGCACCCCCTTGTTTTTTGGGTGCAATATACTATTATTAAAGAAGAACTTGTTCGTTCTTCCTATCAGCCAAAAGACGTCCTGAACGAGTGGTGGGGAAAAATGTTGGACGATTCAAAAGAGAAGTCTATTTGAATAAATATTATTTTGACTTTGACTTTGAACTCTGAATTTGGCAAAAATTTCTGTAAAGGCACCTCAGAAAACTTCGCCACGGCTCTGAACACATCAGTGCGTCTGCCACTTAATATTTGGAAAATATAATCCTTGTTGAATGTTGATTAGATTTTATCAAAAGCTCTTTAGCATTAAGATCTTTAGCAATAGATCAATCTACAATTTGTTGTAAACTAGTTCTAAACTAATTGATTCATACTTTAATTCTGTTAAGGTATTTGTTAATTTGCTGTAGATTGTACCATTTCTATAAAATATAATTATAATGACTTCTATTCTCGCAAATAAAGATCTTATCTTAAATCATCAAATTGTTGTAGCAGAAACAAATCGCCTCAACTTATAATTTAATTTGAGCATATTTCATCTAATTTGGTTTCACCATAGACTGGGTCTTTAACGTTATTAAGAAAAAAAAAAATCCTATTTGAACTTGTGTTGATTGTTTTACTATAGTAGGTACATAAAGAAAATTATCACCAGTCGTAACCGCTGCAAGTAGGAACTGTTCAGAACCGTGGGGTCGTAGGGAACGTGATGGTGGCTGTGGTTGCCATAATTGCGGTCCTGGTATGGATACTTTGTGCTATTTTGTTATGGAAAAATGCACAGGTGGATTTAGTTTTCCAGTTTTTATCATGCATTATCAAAAAATGTCACTGGTTGGGGTAACAAATCGAATGCAAATCACTTACAGTTTTTCTCGCCTCTGTACCTTACTTGCTCTCTCCGAGCTGGAATCCGACGACACTGTTCGCTGAGCTCGAAGACAATAAACACGCCTGCTTCAATGCTGTTTTCTTTGTTTATTTCGCTGTCCCGTTGCTCCATTACGAAGGGAGGTTAATTTTATATTCATTTCATTTTAATTTTAACACTAAACTATATAATAATAAGTATAATTTGTGCACATTTTATGTAGGACCGATGTTTTCGCCACGAAAAACGACGCTATAATGACGGTAAGCGTTCGTGCCTAAAAGTCATTGGTTCGCTACCCGCAAACTAGATGGCAGCACAGGCGCCGGAAGTAAGAAGGGAGGTAGTGTTTTGGACCGGAAACGTCACAAAAAGGATGATGCTTGACTCAAGATGGATTCCGGATATCATAAACTTTTTTAATGTAACCTTATGACGTTTCACATAAAAACACAATGCATTTGATACAATGTGTGTTGCAAATATCTTCAAATAGGAATTTGAAACTGATGCTTCGGTCGGTGTTAATTTATTCAAATCTAATTCATAATTCAGACAGGACAACGTCTGTCGGATTAACTAGTAATTCAATAATAATTATCTACCAAATCAAGAGTTTTAAGGCATGCACATAAAATAATGTCAAATAGATCCAATAAATAATAAATATTCTTATTGAAAAATTCTTAAAAAAATCCACTTTGTCCCTGACATTCTGAGATGGGGTGCGAACCCACGACCTTTCAGAATCCGAGCGACTGCTCTAACTTATTTTTTAAAGCATTTTTCATTCAGAATATTATAGCATTGTGAATAAAAATTGATCAAATGTAACGATAAATAATAAATTTGATAAAAAAATATAAATATAACATTCAGATAATTAATGTTTGTGTTGATCAGGGTGATTCAACGATCTACTGCTACGAAGTGACATGTGAGGCCCCGTTCCTATGTGCGCTGTCTCATCATAGAGCGGCCACGTTGCATCAAGGCATCGCTTTCCTGCAAAAGAACTTGGTTGCTGTCGAAAAGGTGATTATATATATTATATCAAAAACCATGCTTAGGAATCTAAAAATAGTAAGGCCACATTCATTGTGGTACTTTTAAAACTAAAACAAAATGGCATTAATTTATTTTAATCGTAGTCAATTGTAATAAAAAAGTAATAATTATACTCCTGTTTACTATATGTCACTAGTTTTCCACCAGCGGCTTCGCCCGTATGATCCATATTAATCCTTTCTTAGTGCTCACTTACATCATAAAAAGGAACCTCTGTACCTAATTTCAAATTAAATGAACTAACATTACATAAAATTTTATTGTTCAGGTTGAATTTGCGCGAGCACTACGGCTCACTAATGGAAACATCGAACCGTTGTCGTTCACTGTACCTAGAATAAAGGTAAGCTTCTCTTTTGTTTGGCAAGTGTGTTATTTTTTAATAATATATTCTCGGTCAGGCTCCTTTGTGTCGTACGTAGGTCATCTTTTTATTAAATAGTAAATTCTCTTAAGTAAGTACAGTACGTACTTGTTCTTGTCAGATGAGTATGTTTAAAAACTTTATGTTAAGTTGTTTTGTTTACATATCACATTGACGTAATGCATTTGTTGGACAGCATTGTTACTGGTACAAAGTTAACTTGTCGAAATATTTTTATGTAATTTATTTAAATTAATATAAACATTTGAGGCCTCACTAATAAATACAATGTGTATGAGTTGTATAGTTACACATACAGTGTTATGTCTTTTTTTCTACAATGTGTATGAGTTGTATAGTTACACATACAGTGTTATGTCTTTTTTTCTCTCAAACTGAAAGTCGCATTGAAATGACGCGAACAGGGTTATGTGTAATTAAATAACGGTTTTAAGTTTGTTATTACGGTACTACTTAATATATGTCGTTGATTAGAGTGAGCTGTTCCAAGACGATCTGTTTCCTCCCACTTTCGTGACGTGGGAGCCCTGGCTAAGTGGTAGCGAGTGGTTGGCCGGCCGCACTCCCCCGCCTCGCACTGCTAGTCTTCAGCCCCCCGGGATGGAGCCCTGTGAGTATTCATCATCATCATCACCACCATCATCATCATCATCATCACTAGTATCATCATAATCACTATCAGCCGTTTTGCGTTCCGATTGCGGGCGCTCAGCCCTTATGGATGATTAAGGCCCAAGGCATGTTGGCCCAATGCTGATCGGACGGTATAAACGATTGCAAATGTAGCCGGGACATTGACTTAAGGTGCTTTCCGAAGCACGGAATTGCTGGTGGTAATATTATTTTGGCTATCCATCTTGTGACTGACCATTGCGAAAGTTGTTTAATAACAATGAAATAAACACATTGAATGTGTCACTTTGGTAAACGGGATTATGATAGGTGCGAGCTATTTCTGTGACTCATTTTTATAAGTCGGTCATTGATTTAGCTTTAGCTGTTTTCCAGCGACTTCATTTTAAAATCGGTCCCAGTGGTGTAATAAAACTTTATAACATACGAACATAACATTTGATATTATATGTTAAATAAATATAATTTAGTGTCGGCCCACTCGACCCCATCGCCGGTATCACGAGAGAGTCGCGAGAAGCCTCAACAGAAACCGAAGCCAGACCTTATCCGATCGCACGTCCCAAGCGATGCTAAGGAGAAACAGGATAATGTGAGTATACATTTTTTTTATTTATAATGGGCTCGCTCATGACCTCAATCTAGCCCAAGGACATAAATGAGATCTTAAACATAACACAAACACACTATTATATTATGTATGTATGCAGAGTACGTATATACATTCTATTTATACTTATATATACATTCTTTTTAACGTACTAACGGCAAAGGTGGCGAGAGCGATATTGGTGCGGAAATAAAACGCCTATCTTCCTAAATGCTTATGTTGCTCTCAAAAACAGGTGTTCGTCAAAGATTGGTGTCGTTAATTAATAATAATAAAAATAAATAAACAATTACAATGTTGTTAATACACAAGGTTAAACTGCAGAGTAAATTTATGCTAATCTTGCAATTTTAGTATTGGTTCAAATTCATATTATAAAAAGAAAAAGCAAATTACTACCTTCGAGGAATAAATATTACTTCCGCAGAAACTCGTACTGTGTTAACCTTTGCTAAGTCTCTGTTTAATAATATGAATTTTGACTTTAATGAATTTGGACTATATATATGTATGAAACGGGTATCAACGCGATAGATTGATAGTTACGCCGTGGTCAACCCGTGACCTTGACAATATTAAAACTATAAAAACATAAACATTTAAAGTAGGTCCGTACAGCTTTCTGAACGGACTACTGATTTTAGTAAACATTTTTTACGATTTTTGTCGGTTTTGTGCCCTTGCTAGATTCTTGATTCTTTGCTAGATTCTAGAATCTATTAAAAGTATCGATCTCAAAACAATATCGAATAAAAAGTATCGATAACTTAAGGTAAGACAAAAAAGTGTTGGTTCGCTTCTACGCCTAAACAACTGAACCCATTTTAGTTAAATTTGATACAGAATTAGACTTAATATTGAGAAACGACATAGGCCACCTTTTATCGCGAAAAAGAAGTGCAAATAGGGGATGAAAGGTTGCATGGAAATTTGTCATTATCAAAATTTGTTTTTAGGCAATTGATAAGTATAAATAAATATTTGACAACAGAAGGATTCTCAAAGAAAAATAATTCTGCTCAAAGGCACTATACCACGCGTATAATATCGCGAGCAAAAGGTAGTATTTATAGCTATATATAATACAGTCAATTGATCTTACAATGATTATAGTTAAGTAATGTTATTTAAAACTTACAATAGGATGGCTGATTTAAATGCCACCGTAAAATTAATTTAGCATATTAATTCTCCGCTTACACGGCACTAATCTCGCTTTGTTTACGAAATGGCGTCAAAGATTGGTCTATGTCTGTAATCGCTTAAAGTTTTTACATAACTTCGACGAAAAATTGCACGATTATAAATTTAAACATCAAGTAGTTACTAGAACATCGGCAGTAATTTTACTCGTATGTCACAATTGTATGTGAATATTGCTGTTCCTAAATTAGTTAGGGTATAACTTTGTCTCGTGATCACGATATCTGTTATAGCATCGAAATAATTTTAATTGCCTATTTAATCAAAATAACCTATAACCGTAACACATAAGTGAATTGAGAGTTAACTACTTTTTTATATTTTTTCCGTCGTTGAAAGCAAGCAATTGCTGACGTTCCAAAAATCTCATCGTATCTAGCGTAAGTAACTTGTAGCTTTAAAGAGGGCTGCCCCAAACTGCGCCGCTAAGTTCCGAGAAAAAAAGGACAAGTGCACTAGTCAAGTTTTCATGTCATTCCGGACCGGAAAAAATCGGACTGCCGGTCCTGAAAATTCATTGTAGTGCACAAACGCGGAAAGTAAGAATCGCCAGAACCCTTCAAATTATTATGTAACGAACTTAAAACAAATGATTAGATTTTTCTTTTCGTTGTGTGTGTGAGTGCGTTCTAATTATTACGGCTAAACTTGTACTACATCCACGGTTGCTGGTATTTTTAATAACAGATTGCAAGGTTGCTGGTATTTTTAATAACAGATTGCAAGGTTGCTGGTATTTTTAATAACTCTCTATATTATTACAAATTTAATGTAGGTTATACTTTGTTACAGATTATGAAATCTATGAGTGCTAAAATGCAAGTGGACCTAAAGCTAGAGCAAGACAACATGGAGGGGGTGGACGAGTCCGAATGGGACCAGTGAGTCGGCAATAAGTGCAATTTTTACTGTAGCTTAGCGAGTCAAAATTATTATAGTTGGCACCTTGTCAAATCGAAACACCGTTACCATAAAAATCATGAAGTGCGTTTTTATATTAATCAAAATTATAAAATTTTCATAAAGGTTACTAAGATTTCCAAAATATAAATTTTATATTTGCGCTCGATACTAATTTGATTAATAGTACCTTATTTAATTCGAGTCACTTAAATGACATCTATATTATAATGTAATTTAAAATTACATGTAGAGATCGACTTTATATACTTCGGCGAAGGGTCGATCTGCACATTTAATTGACAATTTTCAATGTAATTTTTCAGACTTCAATGGGGGATATGCATACTGATTATTATACTATTACACAAATTCAACAAACAGATTTCCTTAAATACAATTGATATTTTAATAATCATTCAGGTTACCAAACTGGTGAAATAATAATAAAAGCATAATACATAATTTAAATTATAATCTTATGATTATTTTCCTACATTGATGTTCTTGTAACAATGGTTTATTTTCGTGACGAGAACAAAATAATATGAAAAAGATTTACATAGACATTATTCTAAAACGATATTGTTGGTGATTATATATGTTTAACGCTATTTTGAATAAGACGTATATTTCCCATAAAAAATCGTAACTTATGATTTTTATGTTAAGAGGTACCGAAATATAAGTTAGACAAGGTGCTGTTGTATATGTATCCAACATTATGACTATTGGTAATAATAGTAGTAACTTATCCAACTATTCCGAATTCAAAAATGTGGTGGATGAGACAAATGCAACATTCGTCCTTAAGAGGCTCACTGAAGTTAGTCGATCTGTAATTTTTTTACATGATAAGACTATTTTTGTAAATGTTAATTATTTAAGGACACATCATAACGATTTTACTTATATCCTTATATATGACTGTATAATTGTGAGATTTTGTTTATCGCTTATTTACAGGGCTATATGAAATTAATATTATGGCATTATATGAAGGCATTATAAATAAACTTTTCTTAGATATCGGCTAAACCAATATTTACTGTTTTCATTGTTTAGATATATTAAAACTTTCAAATATATGTCTACAATGACCGTAAGCATTACACTTTTAAATCATATATACAAAATATTATTAACTGATAAACCCACACCTGAAGCAATCAGAAGAGGCTTTACATATACATTTAGTTTTATAATAGTTCACGAGTAATTAAATAGAAAAAAAGCTCAAAATAGAGTAAAAAGAGTAGCAAACCTTCAAGTAATATAATGCAATAAAATTGAAAACCTCACCTCCGTCCTTGTAATGCAATGGATATTTAACCTTATTTTAAAGGTATTAATATTGTTTTCTATGAACGCAGTGGTATATTAATACTTTTTGTTGTAAGTACAGCAAATCACATTTTAACTTATTGCCTCTATAGTAAAAGCCTCGTCTGAATTGTGTTCTCGAAAATCCAGCGACGTTAGAACTCCAGAAGTTCCGGAGATTGTGGAAGTATTATATGTTCTGCACTGTATATCAATTAGTTATCTGAATCCTTATTATTGTTACCTTGTCCTTATTATACCAATTGGTGTGCTGTTCCGCTTAACGTAAATCCAGAAATTTTGATGTTTTTTTATATTGAATGATGGATTTTAATTGTATTAAAAGCAAGATTATGTTTGTTTGACTCTCATTATTCTTTTGCAGTGCAGTCGTGTTAACTGGTATTTTATTTCCCTTCATACAAATTTTTGTATAATTATTGACATCTGTCGTATTCTTGATTCTAATGTAACAATAGTTATTACAATCTATTATTTCCTTCTATGAATAAGCGTTACTTTTATTTTATATATTTTGTATTCAAACTCAAACAGCTGTCTGATCAGTTATTACAAACGTATTACTGTTTAATATAAAGGATTATACCGTTTGTGATTTTATATACATAATAGATTCTAGAAACTTTATGTGTCAAACTTTAGTTTCCAAACGGACCTTGATATCTACGCAGGTTTAGTAGTGTTAGTGCGTGCTAGATATTTATATATGGAATATTTGCAATTTAACACTATAGGTATATGTACCATACACCATAGTATTCTACGACCATATAATATTTTATAGAAATTTTTCAGGAGTAAACTACTGTAACGTGAATTTAATATAAATAGCTCTCACTCAAATATTATAGACATAAAATTAGATACGATACATTTATAAGAGATTAATAACTAAAATATTTGTGTATTTATTAAATTTTTTATGGTATTCAAGTAACCATTTTGATCTCTTTCAATTGCAATAGGATTCGTTAATAATACTTGATATGGATGTATAGTGGAGGCTCTATTAACCTGGTCTTTCATTAGGCTTTTGAATAGTTAAATATCCGGATATTTTAATAGGCGATGAGAAGCGATTATCCTTCAAGAATTAAACATAGCGAGTTTTTATTTGTACATATTACAGACGCGTGGCTGTGGCGTGACAGCAGCGCGTTTAAAAGGTCCACAGTTAATGCTTAGCATACTTAATTACGGTTGAAACGTTCAGCAATTATAGTTTGTTGTAAAAGAAATTCCTCTTCATTGCTTCTGCAAAGCGAATTCATATTGTAGTAATTTTACAATCGAGATCCGGATAATCGAGTCTCTTCTTGTATGAGAATCTCGTGATAAGTACCCATTTTGAGCTCTATATTAATTGTAATAGGATTTTTTTTAGATTGGGTTATTAAATCAATGGTACCATTTCGGTATACTACTAGGTATTAATATATGAGAATCTCATTTATGTATTTTTCACACGTTTAATCAAATAAATTGTTTATATTTACATTAATTAGTTGATGATCCACTCGCTCACATATGAAATACTTTATAGGAATATAACGATTTATTGAATAAATAAAAGATTACCAATTAATGCTCATATTAACGTTTTAGACATAGTTTACGATTATATTTATCTGCATTAAAATGAAGTTTATCGGATAAGGTTGACTATGAAGTTGTATTTTGTTTCTATCTCGTCGATGAATTAATACGGTCGGCCATGTGGTGTACCAGTTTTGACAAAAGTTCTCGCGAGATACAATTATCTCTAAAGTTTACTCTTCTTACGAAGTTTAAATGCATTAATGCTCAATGAATTAATTGTCACTGTCATAATATTATTGCAAACGGAAATCAACCTTATTGTGTTATTATATTCAAATAAATCTCGCCCGTAGGGCGGTAGACTTATGTTTTTGGCCGACTGTATAAACACGTATGAAAATATGTATATAATTTTTACATTTCGTGACTTTTATTCTGTATGCAAAAAGAGTCACGTCGAGTCAGTTTAAAAATCTATATACATATTTTTAGAACTGATTGTACCTTACAGAATATCTTGTAAATGACGTTGTTTGTATACAATCCCTAAAATGTTAGCAGATCTATCACTATATTTCTGTCTTATAATTAATGTTACTTCTATCTTTGTTATGGAAGATGGTTCAGAACTGATGATCAACCAATTTTGACATTTTTAAATTATGAATATAATAATCAAAATACACATAAATTTTTAAGTAGACAAAAAGTGATTAACTTATTTGACCATGACTTTGATCTCTTATTATATATGGCATAATTGTATAAAGTCCTCTTTTGATAATTTACTAACGTTTAAAATTTTGATAAGAAAAATCCTGACATTTTCTTTTAGATAAAAAATATTAATTAATCAAATACATTTGTATTATAATCTAATAACATTATAGAACATATTTTATTGTATTTTTATTATTTAAATTTACGAGATATACAATTTTTTTTATTGATACCATCATAAAATTACCTATACAGTATCCTATATATTTTATAATACATAACAAAGGATTAATTAAAAATAATAATTCACCTCTGTTTCAGTTTAATAGCCAGTTGTACAAACATCCGTTAACATTGTCATTAGTTTAAAGCCACATTACCCATACAAATTTGACATTTATTAGAGCTTAAAGGCGTCATTAAACTTTAATGGACGTTTGTGCAACTGAATGTAAATCTGTGAATATTCTCGGTAATGTGAAATTAGTTTAATATTGTCCCACATAAAATATCTAGTTTGGTTAAACTAAATAGACATAAAATTCTTCACATCTTAACTTTTAACATTCCTAATTTGCCATACGAAATGCATTTATTAATACATTTATCATGATATTATAATGTATAATTCCTTTAATACGTAAGAACACATAGGGTACCCATATTTTTAGGGAATTGACTGTAAATTGTAAACAATGTTTCTATAATGGAATACATATTGAAAATAAAGTAAATTGTAATGTGATTTCAAAGCCGTAAAGCCCATTTTGACTTTTTTATATATTAAAATGGGTTGGACGGGCGTGGCGATTTTATGTATATCAAACATTTAAACGTTTTTCTTTAATCCGTATGTAATATATTATGATGTGTTCGATTAGTACCGCTAGTGGATGCCATAAGAAACAACACGTTTTGCTCAAAACGCCAAAGAGTTTGTTTTCTTGTCACCATAAAAATTGTTTATTTAGAAGTTGATATTTGAAAATTAATTAGGGCCTTTTCACTGACCAATATAGATCGATGGACTAGAGCTGGTGTATGTCTGTCTCTGTTGAATGCCTTTTTGGAGGAGTGACAGAGAAAGAGTTACAACTGCTTGTAGAAGAAACATGATTTGTCTGAAGATGATAAAAATCTCTATTCGCAATTTATATTGACTCGAAAGAAATATACGATACACCTAACATCTTGAGCCATTATGATAGATTATTATTTTTTTATCTCGCTCCTGTATGCAATAGTGCGAGTAGGATAGAATGACTCGAGGGCGACATAGTCTTTCGTATTAATTACTTGAATATAACTCATGTATTGTCATTTTATTCGCTAGTCAAAAAGTTATCCTTTAGAAAGTCTTAAAATAAATACTAAATGTATTAAACATTTATTTGTAGTTAAGGTTTCTTTATTTTTTTATTTAAGCTGCAATAGTTTTCGTCAGTATAAAATGTATTAAGTAAAATTAAGTTTTGGATTAATTATTTTCATTATATCTATATGAGTTTGATATTTACTGAATGATATAGCAAAATGCATCTTAATAAATAATGCACACGTAATCATATCAAGTACCAGCTATAAGCTATATTAATTGTGACACGCACCTTTGATTATTATTTAAATAATAATTCTAGATGAGTATTTCTCTTAGTGTAAAACAATATCTAAAAAAAGTAAATTAATGGAAAAATATTAGTTTTCTTTTATAAATATTACATTCTGCAATATAAAAATATTCTCAAAGAGTATCATTTAGATTATTAAATATATTCATCCAAATTTCAGAATCCAAGCTTTATGATAAGGTTTAAAAGGTGCTCCACTCTTCAAGTACATTTAATTGGGCTTGTTCTTTCGAAAAATGAAATAGGATATTGTTCATAGAATACTGAAGAGCATCGACGAATTTAAAGCACAAATATTAACAGGCTCCCTAAAATTTAACACAGCAAAGTTGTGAAGTGACAATAAAAGACGTCGAAAAGAAAAAACAATCTTCCAAAACATCCTCCAGTTATAAAGATGCACACATCTATCGGAAAACTTGTGCCAATTTTTTATTGTTTCTGTATGTTTTATAAACAAAAATTTTGGCGTAGCAGCGTAGGGACAAAAATTCATTCGAAAAAATTGTATAGGTATGATTAATTTATAATATTTATTATGCTTTCGATAGTCATATTGTTTAGAAGTGACATTGTAAATTTAAATATTAAAAAGATTGTAATCGTTGACGAAATTAACCACGTAAATGCAACTGACGGATAACTTCGAGGCGATTCGATGAAATCTCCTCTTTTTTTTGTGTAA